ACCTCACAATACTGTTAATGAGATCTCTTTCTGTGCCAGCACTCTGTTTGCCCTTTGCTACTTTTAACGCACTCTGAAATATAATATACCTCTTGAGCAGCATAATTTTTAAATTCTAAAAAGTCTGGGGCAGAATTGTGCTTTTAAATTTTAATATAGGTATAAGTTTCCTTAATGTGTAATGATTTTCTTCAGAAGAAACTTGCTTTCTCATTTATTAACAAAATATGTACCCAAAAACAAAAATATATATCATATTTGAACAGTTTGAGGAGGACGAAATGCATTATTCCATAAAAAAGTGCCTAGTGGATATAATATTCTGGTGAAAATCGTTTGTGTGTCACTACAAAACTAAAATAAGTTTCTTAGCGACCCAATAATTTTTTGTTTCATTATTCTCAGCTATTATACTAATTGTACTAAAAGAATTAGAATGCTTATTTTTTCGGTTCTCCTAATTACGCTTGTTGCAACAGTCTAAACAATGGCAACAATTTGCAAGTTGTTCGTGTCAGTCTGATGGGTGACAGTGTATCTTCTCCCTTGGATTCGCAATCTCGACGGTGCAACATAATTAGCCTTTGAGGTTCATTGCATTTTAATTGGCTTAATACTATTTATTGTTGTTAGTGTTAGTTTCGACTGAAAAAGGGTGACACTAGAATTTGATGCATGTTTGTTCCTACATCGCGAGTATCTTTGTGTTTATACAGTTTATAACAATTCTTGTAATGACAACAATTTGTGCACATTGTTGCCAACCCAATCATTGGGCCATGTTTCGAAATGAAAACAACACAGACGCCTAAACTTTTGACGTTGTCATTTGCATTGTCACTCGCCGGCAAAAACGCAGATGCAATCGCACAACCATACGTTCGTGCAGTTCTACGTAGATGTAGCTAATAGAAAGTGCTGGCCTTCGAAATCCATGAGTTATAGGCAAACATTTTGTCTTAGTAATTTTATTATATATGTATGTATAAGGTTGGAAGGTATCTCCCTTCCGCTTTTTTGCTCTTCATTCAATGCTTTATAAAAAGTGTTACAGTGATCGGATTTAGTTAAAATATGCGCCGTTTTGTTCGATGATCTGTTTCCATCTAGACGGCAACTTCATAATACCTTCCTCGTAGAAGCCCCCCTCCTTATTTGCGAAGAATTCGGACAGCCACTTTTCACAAGCCTCTTTTGAGTTCAACTTCACACCACCAAGGGCATTCGCCATGGACAGGAACAGGTGGTAATCACTTGGCGCTACGTCCGGGCTATATGGTGGATGCGATAAAACCTCCCATCCGAGCTCCCGTAGCTTCTGACGAGTCATCAACGAAATGTGTGGTCTGGCGTTGTCCTGGTGGAACACCACACCCTTCCTGTTGGCCAATTCTGGACGCTTCTGGTCGATCGCCTGCTTTAAGCGGTCCAGTTGTTCGCAGTAGATGGTAGAATTAAGCGGGAGCAGCTCATAGTGGATGATTCCCTTCCAATCCCACAAAACACACAGCAAAACCTTCCTGGCCGTCAATCCCGGCTTGGCCACTGTTTGGGACGATTCACCGGCCTTCGACCACGACCGTTTTCGCTTGATAATGTCGTATGTGATCCATTTTTTGTCGCCAGTCACCATCCGCTACAAGAATGGGACGAGTTCGTTCCGTTTCAGCAGCATATCGCAGGCGTTGATTCGTTCCAGAAGGTTTTTTTGCGTCAAATTATGCGGCACCCAAACATCAAACTTTTTTTTGTATCCAGCCTTCTGCAGATGGTTCAAAATGGTTTGGTGACTAACTCCCATCTCCTGGGCGATGTCACGAGATGCCATATGCCGGTCTAACTCGATGTATTCCATGATTTGATCGGTATTTGTCGTCACAGGTCTTCCGCCGGCTGGCTTATCCATGGTGTCGTTTTCACCGGCTCTGAATCGTCGAAACCATTCCTCCGCGGTTCGAAGTGATAGAGTACCATCCCCCAAAACACCATTAATCTCACGGAACGTTTCTCTAGCGGATTTGCCTTTAACGAAGGAAAACTTTAAAATAGGGCGAATTTCGGCGTTAGTGAACTCCATGTTTACACGTCTATAACTGTTGAACGCAATATCCAAACTAATCATGCATAGCGTTGTTTTGTAGGTTATGTCAAGACCTTTCAAATTATGTATAGTGTTGCCAGATACGAGCTCTGTAGCGCTTTGTACATAGCCGCGAAATTCAAAAGACAAAAAAGCGGAAGGGAGATACCTTCCAACCTTATATAATAAATGTATGTATGTATCTTTTAAGTTTTTTCCTAAAAAATGTATATTGCGCTATATTAACTTTTTTCTCTTTTCTATTTTCAGAACTCGTATTCAGGTGCGTATTTGCGACAGAAGTTAAATTTTTTCCACAATGATTTGGACAGATTCAGCATTTTCACAGGTATAAATTATGTATAATACGGCAAATGCCTTCACTTTTTGGTCTATATACAAAAATGGATATGCAATCAGATACCGTACAGGGAAAATTAAAATATAGCTTTAAAAATACCAAATTTTAATAAGTCGACATTTGGATAAATATGTTTAAATGTGCATTATCATACTTAGCCTTACCATTATGCACTTTGATGCTAATAAAATTTGATTTACCATTAATTTATGACTATATTGTTCAACGAAAAAGCACTTAGTTTAACAACGGTGCGGTGTTTTACTAATGTTCGTAGTTTATGGTAGCACACGATTGTTGATTAAATCGGAAATGCCTTTCAAAATCAACCCTTAAATTTCTGTTGCGTTTAATCTAATCGCTATCGATAATTAACCAAACGCTGTACAAGTTGCAGTATTAGGCAAATTTTACGTTACAAATTCGAATAAGGTGACTGTATCGAATATTTTGTTTCTATGACTCTACATTAATACACACTTTAATAAATTGACACTTAATTTTTTAACGTTCAAATGCTTAACTCTTTTTCTAATTTTTTTTTTTGTTTTTATTTAAAACCTTCAACCGACATCAAATTTTGCCAAGACTCCCACATAATTCTCTGATTCTCTGCTTGTGGTATAATTTTTGAAGAAATAGAGATAAATATATTATTGTCTAGGGTTTTGAATATATTGTAACAGTTTAACAGTTATCTTTATTAATTAAAACATTTCGAATTTAATTGTTTATTTATTGAGTCGTAGCTACGTACTGTCGCACCCTATACCATACTCGGTGAACGTTTTTAATCTTATTTTACAATGCATAAATGCATTCGTCATAAATTTTAGATAAGACACAACAGGTGTTACGATCGAGGCGAAAGTAAAGTATCTGTGTACATATATATTTTTTCTTATCGGTTATCACTTTGTTGCCATTGAAAGTAAATGCAAATATTCCTAACTCATTGAAAAATATTCGGGTTTTATAGATTGTTAATATCTATAGAGATATAGTGAATGAGACATTCAGAGCTGATGAGTAGCGAATTTCAGAGTATTATATTAGTAGTTCCTGTTTTCGGATATACATACAAGTATATACAGTGTCGGACAAAACTTAAGCACGAAGTTCACTTTGTACACCTTTAGTTAAAAACAAAATTGTCAAACTTTTAATTTTTTATGAATATAATAGGCTTATATGTAAAACAAAAATTTTCAAACTTAACCTCTTTTTTATTACAAATAAGATTTTGAAAATTGATTTTGGTAAATAAAGTAGAAAATATTAATTTTATAACAGTAAATAAAGTATACGCAGCTAAATGGTAATACTTTTATAGTAAATTTCGTGCTTTAGTTTTGTCCGACACTGTATGTACAGAAGCAGTTAACAACTAGAAAAATTTAAAAAAGAAACAAAGAACTGAGATTTCTGTTCAGAGAATAATTAAGTATATACAATTTTTAAACTTTATTAATTAAACCTTTCAATAACGCATTATAAGCTGGATCTGCAGGTAAAGTTAGGAGCGGACTTATATTATATTATGATTTTATAGAGTGCATAGGTGATAATACTTTTGGCAAACTAGCTCAGTCATATCAGGTCGATGGACTAGTCTAATTTTTAAATAATAAAATATATATTTACATTAAAAAGATTCTTCACGCTCGATAGTTCAGGCAGATACTACAGAGTCCTTTTTATTTTCCTTTTCAAAATCATGTTTTCTTTTAAATTGATGAACTCGCTCATACAACAACAATCTTTAGTTTTTGGAAATTTAATTTTATACGTAAATATTTGTGGACAATTTCAATTGAACTTGATTATTGCATTGAATATTTTTCAAATTCGTATTCAAAATTTTTTCCAGAATTCGATTCGTCGGCAGCGAATGGTTCCAGTTTGGATTGCCTGAATTTAATTGTGCAGAATATCAGTCGATCTACAACGCAAAACACTGCAACAGCGATATCGGGAAATCACAAAAGCAATAATAATCTGCCCAATAACAATATTTGCAAAACGAGTAGCGGCAGCAGTGAAGTTAGCAGTTGCGCTAGCTTAAGTGGAGGCAGCAAATACAATTCACATAATGCTACAAACAATGTGCCAGTGACGCCCTCACCATCAGCAGCAAGTATTAGCAGCAATATATCGCAAAGCTCCTCGCAGTCATCGCTCAACGCAACCTTTAAACAAAAGTGCACAACGTGAAATTTAATTAAATGAGGGACTTATGATAAATTGTATTGAAAGGGTTATATTTACTTAGAAAGTAAAATCTGATCAGTATCTGTATATATAAAGTACCATAAAATGACAGTCATTTACATCGGTCGCTTAACAAAAAACTAGTGAAGGATACAGTCGTTTTACAGAAGTATAAATATTTTAATATTGTACATACATTTACTTACTTGCAATTAAGACCAAAGAACAGTTAGTTTTTTAAAATTATTATATGTATAACAATTCTCTTAACGGATTTTTAATTTATATTAATACATTTATTTATTTACCTGTAGATTAAATCTGCTTAAATCACTTTATTTTTAAGTTGTACATTTTTTAGCTAATAAATTATGTATAAATAATATAAACAACAACAATTTAATTTTGAATTATTTACAAATGTTAATCCAGTTCTAATTTTCGGAAGGACCCACTAACTCCGCTCAATTCGCTCAATTCCCACTCCTTCTTATGTCCAATTCGCAGTTTTTCATTTGTGCCAAAGTTGCCATCCTCTTTGAAATGCTCCCTATACAACAACAAGATTTGCTCAAACGATTTGATAGCCTCCGCTAGGTAGCCATTGTTTCCGCCATATTCGACGGTAACAGCATCACGTGGAATGCATTCGAACAAATGCTCGGCCTTTTTGTGCGCCACAAACTGGAAGAGTAAAAAAAGAGAACTGTTTTAAGCAGTATCTAGCATAGTATCTCTACACTATAACCTTGAATGTCAATGTACTGGGCAAAAATGATGGTATGAAATTGAACACAGATACTCCTTCGCGTCTCATATTTATGACATGGATTTCTTTTAGTTTCAAGGGCATACAGTTCTCCGCTACTGTGTAGCCCTTCTTCAGGAGAAAAGAGTCAAATTGCATCATTAGATCGACACCAACGTCCCGGCAATCTATTATATATGTTAGACCCACTATGCTGGCATTGTCGCTTTCCATAGCTAAAGTCTCGAACAGAATAAAAAGCAATTTAAATGCTAAGCGTGGGTGCCATTTCTTCGAATCGATTTTGCAGTACTGTGAGATCATGACAGCGGGTCCGTCGAGTGCGATCGGCTTGTTAGAAATAATGTGTATTCTGAAACGGGAGATTATGTTGAGGATTTAGTAAGATCTGTGTTATTTACAATTCATTCTGATTGTACAAAATCATATTCCATTTCAAGCACAATTTTCTGGAAGCACTAAACATTTTTCCTTAGATTTCCTTGATCTTAAGAAAGAATTGGAGATCATGTGTATCAGCATTTATTTCACAGAACTCATTCAAGGATTACTTAAAATAAACCAACTTTATTTATTTTATAAACGAATATGTCGAATATTCATTATATTCTGAACAGCGTATATTAATGTTGTCAGGTTTGTAACACCCAAAAGGAAATATCAGAGACCTTATAAGATGTATAGGTACATAAATGATCAGTGCGATGAACATAGTCGATTTAGCCATGTCCGTCTGTATACACGCGAACAAGTCCCCCAGTTGAGATATGGAAAGGTGAAATTTTGCACACGTCCTTTTTTCCAAGGAGTTGCTCAAGCTCTTGTATGGAAACCAGTTTTAGTTGAGATATTTTCACACAATTTGGCATATATTATTGTACAAGGCAACACTACTATATCCGAACAAATCGTATCACGATATTATAGCTGCCATTTAAGGATGATTTTATACGCTTTTATTATATAAGAAATGCACTTGTGAAGGGTATTATAGCTTCGGTATAGCCATTTTTATCTTGTTTTATTTTAAGTTTAGTTCCAGGCCTTATTTATCTTGAGTCACTACTTTTATTCTCAACTCACTGGTCTGCAGATACGCAAATATAATAATTATTTAATAGATTGTTAGCCAGACAAGTTAAGATATTATTGGTTTTGGATTTTTTCGAGCGTTTTCGAGTTTTCTTGGTGGTTTCCTGCAGGAAATGCGTAATTGTTAATAGAAATTTCGTTGACTATAAACCAGAAGTATTCTTCACGTCTTGTGCGTACCTTATACAAGCAATAAGGCATTGTTGCTTGATATTTCAGTTCACTCAGTTTACTTTTCCTGATTTCGTGCCCATGATTCTAAATATTTTGTGCCTTAAATACGTCGAACGTAAAATGAAACTCACCCTGTTCGATAGAATTCAATTAACTCATCACTCAATTCACGTTCACATAAAACCTCTTGAAATATATTCTTAATGGCATAATAATTATCAATACGTTTTTTTGTCTTCTCGAGACTGAATTTACACCGACGCAAGAAAGCTAAAATAAATTGTGGATTATTAGATGCTTTCAGATGTGGAGACTTTCTTATCCATTCTTGTATGACTTCGATTTGTTCAACGGCCGTGTCTGGATTTTCATTACAATTTGTGCGCGCCAACTCTTGAAGCACCGGATCGAGTTCACGTAAAGTTATTTCGCCCATAATCAATGCGTTCCTATTCGCATATGTTGTTATTTCCGCCCGACTAAAATCATGCTGCATGCAATATGGCAAATATGAGTGCCAATTTTAATAATATGTGTGGTAATTTTCTTAATCTAATCTATGCAATATCGACCTCGTCTAATGATTAAACTCTATTCGGTGATAAACTTTTACACTCACCCCTATAGAGACACGCCCAAGACAAGGTACATGGTGGTGTGGGAATATACCATAAACAGTGAAGCAAATACTGTCTCTATTACATACAATTGATTTTCTTAATAAACTTATGAGTATTTCAGTTTGCAATCCATCTGTAAAGTCTAAATTACAAAGTCTTATAGGGTAATAATTGAAAATATTTGGAAATACTTTTATTGGTTTTAACGTTAAATTTTGGGCGATTGTAAAACTCTTAGGGTCGGCGGAACATTCAGCGTTTTGTTTAAAGAATTCAATAAGAGTACATATCTTGTTCTGAATATATAATATTTATAACTATCGATTGAGCTCGCAAGTATACCTGTAGACTGAACAAAAATTTAGTTGGTATTTCAGTAGTTGAATATCCGTTGTCATCTTGATTTTTTTAACACCAGACCTATGAACCTCGCGTGGGCTTAGCAGGCATTGGTCAACAACTTGCTTCTGTTCGCGGCCCTTTTGGCCTGGAGTAGAACACAAGAGACGTCCTGATCTACTTACCTTTAGCAAACTTCATCTTGCCGCAATCGTAGGACTTCTTTTTGAACACTGCCCAATAATGTACAATAATGCGGTAAGGCTAAAAATCTTGTCGTTAGTAAGTTGTCAAAGTTGTATAAAAAAAGTTGTCCAGTCTTTGGAAGACTGAAGTTGAAACATCTCGGCAGTCATATTTTCGGCGAGACCTAGCTGAAGCTGACATTAGTCACCTTAACAAATTTGTGATAGCCTCAAAGCGTTTTGTTGATGTATGAGGGTATTTTGATCAATTATATAGAAGTCTTAAGTACTTCTACGGACTTGCGTTCTTAGCTATCCAAATGAGATTCCTATTAGGATCTACCTCTAACCTAACCCAAGGGGTTGTACATATTTCTTGCACGCTATGTCTTCAGCTTTAGATAAAAAATCGATCATCAATAATGACAGTATATAACAAATACACTAGTTAGAACTTGCTATTTCTGATGTGAGAATATGTAGTTTTTTATTGAATAAATTTATTTACTGTGACTCATAAATACAATAGATACTTAATTAATACACATATGGAGCCAATTAGTGGAAGCCGACTGCCAATGACTCAAAAATTTAAGTTTAATGTGCTTTAATACCTGATTTGCATGTAAATATGGTATATATTTTGGATATGTATATATTTATGTATATGTCTTTTTTAATAATTTTTAATCGACAATCAATTTACGAAAACTGCCTTCTGCGCCAAACTCCGCCTCATATGGCATAATCTCACCACGTCGTAACTGTTCAACAGTGCCGTAATTTACTTCGTCTTCGAAGTAGTCACGATAGCTCTTTAGCAAATCTTCCATGTACGAAACACACTCATATAGATGCCCATTGGTGCCACCATATTCCTCAGGTAAACATTTTTGTGGTATGTATTGATAGAGCTCTTCCAAAGATTTCAGGATAATCATCTGTTGTATGAAAGAGAAAGTTATTCTATACTAATGTGAGTTTCAATAGGTAGTTTTACATGTACTCTACCGGACTCATTTTAACGCATAGTGTTCGCAAGACACCCAGCCAACTTTGTAGTTCTTTGGGCGCGTTTAAGCAATAGGTTACATTTATGCGCAACGGACTACACTCACTCATCCAATACCACCATTTCCTTAAGAGACCACCATCCAATTGAGCCGCGTGCTCGACATCCAGATTTGATAAATCGAATATTTGTACCACCCCTACAATTGCAGCATTATCATTCTCTAGTGCTATCACTTCCATACCCATCGCAATATAAGCCATAACATCACGCATGTGAAAACGTTTGGGGCAATAGCTGACTCGGGTAATCATTATTGCAGCGTGATCACTACATATTGGAAATTCCGGGAAATACTGTAGTCTGTGGAGACACATAAATTTTACAAATATATGTATGCATATGATTCTATATTTTTATACTCTCGCAACTTGTTGCTACAGAGTATAATAGTTTTGTTCACCTAGCGGTTCTTTGTATCACCTCAAACTAATCGAGTTAGATATAGGGTTATATATATCTAAATGATCAGAATGAAGAGATGAGTTGATATCCGTCTGTCTGTCCGTCCGTCTGTACAAGCTATAACTTGAGTAAAAATTGTGATAACTTTATGAAACTTGGGAAATATGTTTCTTGGTACCGTAAGACGATTAGTATTGGAGATGGGCGTAATCGGACCCCTGCCACGCCCACAAAACGCCATTAACCGGATCAAGACTTCCTTTAATATAACATTTTGCCAACACCTGAAGTAATTTCCCGGGCTTTGATCCTTGAAAGTTGCGAGAGTACAAAATGTTCGGTTACACCCGAACTTAGAACTTCCTTACTTGTTCATAATGTTTTTTCGATCAGAAGATTTTAAGACGTTTTATGTTTAACGGGAAATTCTTATGGAGAGGTTTTCTAACAAAACAAGTGTTAGAGGACATTTTTAATAAAAGCTACAAGAGATGAGCTTCAGATCTCACTTCATTTGTTAGACGTTACCGAGTTACATTAAGAAAAATTAAGACGTGACTCTGGTAATCGTTTTTATACTTACCCTAAGCGATTGATGGTTAACATTTTCTCTGTCACACGACGATTCGATACGATCTCCGGACACTTTGTATGAAATGTGAAGAAGTCATCAATGCGTTTCTTTGTCTGCTCCAAACTGTAGCGGCAACGCCTGAGGAAGGCAATCAGGAAATCAGTCGATGTACGCGCATGCAAATAACGCTGCTGATAAATCCAGGTTCGCAATACAGTCAAATCCTGTTGCAAACGCTCCGGTATCTCGTTCAATTCCTCTCGTGCGATTTTCGCTAATTCCGGTGGCAAAGGACGCATTTTAAGATTTCAAAAGAAATCAAATTAATATTTATGATACAACTCTGATCGTGGCGTGTCTGAACGATGCCAAAACTGAACCGCTACTAATTACTAATATCTATTATTAACAAATGAATGTACTAAAGAGTTTTCGCATATTATTTATGATCTGGGATAGCGGACTGATAACAATACCATTAATTCATGACAATAATGTAATGATGAAACTGACACAGAATTAGTCTAAATAATTTTTCTTATCATTTATCTGGAAAATTTTATTAATTTTATTAATTGCGCACATAGAATTTAGGGCTTAGCGTATGCAAGTATGTATATTTGTATGTGTTGTCTACAAAGCTAATGAAAATGGATGTTCAACTCTGAAATTGTCATTAACAATAAGTGTCCGTTTAGTACATATATCCATACCAAGAATTATTCGAAAATATTATTTTATTAAATACAATTAGTTTTATTAGGATTCAAATAGTTAACGTTATATTATTCGAGGTTTTAATAACAACAATACTACTTCAGATCAATTAAAAATGTCCGAGAAAGTACATTTTTTGAAAACCCTTGTGTGTAGATTTGGCCTGCCTTCAAAGCATAAGTTCTTTTAATGAATCGCACAATTCCATGGGAATAAGTAAAAACTATTCAGAAAGAAAGTCGAGGAATAACATGAATCTTCGAACTCTAGAATTTCATCGATAGCACTAGGAGAAATAAAACAAGAAAGTTTGGTGTATTTTGTTGGATTTCGTGGTCTTTGTGAATACTATAAATTCCGATAAAATATTACAAAGAACTTTTAGTTTCTCGTTAAAGCACTAAAACTTTAATTTTTGGGAATTTTAATGAGATTATTTTTAATATTTCAACAGTAAAACTTTAGGTAGTATTTAGGTATATATACAAAGAAGTAATTCGTTAAGATTTTTCACTCTTCTGCAAATTTTTAAAATCCTCAATTTCCTCTTAACACTTACAGCTCTTAAATTTTTTTTAAACGTTGGTGGCATTTCGCTGATGATGGGATCATCTCTCCGCCGATCCCGTACTAGTATGTGAAAAGATACCGCCAACATATGGAACACACAAGTAATGCTCATATATTTCCCGTCAAATGTTACTTGTCAACGACTGAAAACACTTTAATATTCTGCTTACATAGTAGCGACAACAACAATAAACTTTTAAAAAGTAAGAATAACAAAAAATTAATATGCTTACAAGTAGTGACAGTGTCAATTACCCCCTTCAATTGAGCTCCCATAGCTACAATGACACATAGTGATCGCCAAAAAGAAACTAAAGCAAAGCGAAGAAGCTCCCTGAGTACATACAGGAAAATAGAAAGGAGCTAATGAGCCATCATTAATATAATTTATACCCGAATACGAGTATCATGAGCTGTCGTCGCACTTCACTGGAGGCATTCTGCGCATTCTGTGCACTGTAAGTAGGAGAGCCTGAAGCTATGCGGCATGAGAGCACGGTGATGTATTTAGCGGTTGCGTGTGCAAACTGTCAGTGAGATCAAAGCATTTTTCCATTATTTGTTTTTCGTTATTTCAAATAACAAATAGTGTCTACCGCAGCATGAAAAACAAGACAAGTCTCGAATGGAAAGAACTTTAGAGTTGGAAGGATACAGTAGGGTCGTGATAGTCTACGGAGGCGATGTCCTTTAACAGAATGTTAAAAATCACCATATAAAAATATGTACACACATATATCTATTTAAACATACATATATAGTAAAACATTTCTCTGAGCGGTTGTAGAGTTTTCGTTTTGCTGTTGCCAAGAGCAATCACTGCTCATCGCGACAGCAACATGATCATGTCAACAGCTGACACATTCTGTCAGACCAATTTGCAGAGACTGTGCCCGTGTCATGTTCGTCTCTGCGACTCAAGCCGTAGGTGTGCCACTTAGGAAGCCAAAGTGTATGTAAATGCTGGTACAATAGTTCATAACTACACATGTGAAAACAATCGTATGCCTATATAAATTGGCTTGTACGCCTATAGGTAGATATGCGCAAGTAAATTTGCTGATGCTACAAGCAGACTTGTCAGCGCCCCTGACGTGACTACAAACTATAAGGTATATGTACGTATAAATATTGAGCTTCATTTTTTTCCACGGTTTTCGAGTGCTCCCATGTCAAATCATAAATTGAGTGCTCAACAACACATTGTCAAGCTGCCGAGTTGACGCGCACTCACTCACATTTACACGCTTACTCGCTTAATTGTCAGCTGCATTTCAAGCATAAAATGCCGATCACATTTCAAAGGCGCTGTTGCATCCACAAAAGAGTAATATAAATATATATTTCCCCAACGGCGCTACCATTGCTGGTACTCTTTTTATGTGCGGACAGCTCTCTAAATATGCTACTGTACACACTATATTTCGGCGCTTCGAATGTGAGGGTGCTAAGTGTCCCGGTTGATTGCCATTATCCGGATGTGTCCACTTTATTCTTGTTGCTGTTGTTTGTTTGTTGCAGCACATTAGTGCGCTAATCAGATGTGACACAACATTTAAGTGGATGTAAAAGTTTTAGGAATTTTCGGAATGGCATATAAATGGTATAACATTTAGATTTGGTAAAAGATTTGAAGTGCTATCGGTTGCACTTTATCCTTACAGACTACGAATTCTATAGATCCCCAGCAAGTCACGGGTATCGAAACGCCAATATTCGTGCATATCATACATAATACAAACACAGCATGCAACTTTTAGGGGCTTTGCGTAAGAAGGAGAGGAATGTGCCTTTCTGTTAGAACCAGCAATTGAGCCATAAGAAACTTATAGAAACTTTAAGTCTTTGGTAGCGCTGTTGGGTAATTAACCTATAATTTAACCGATAGGTGGCTTGCACGGTCTAAGCTAAGTTAGTCAAAAATGGTATTGGAAATCCAATAGATTTGACGTATATGTCTCATAGAGGAGTTTTTTTGCCTTCAGAAAAATTTAAATTTTTTAAAAAGGATTGATTAATTGTACTAAGAGAATATTGAATAAGATTATTGGGAAGTGGATTAGAACTATTGTAATTTAAATTATGTTATGTATTATTCTGAATAATTTTTTGTTCAACTAGACTCAGAATAATTTCTTATTATATTTTGTATGTTATGCAATAATACAATATATTTATAATGTTATGATGTATGATACTGCTTATATCTTCTTGTATCTATGCACAGGTGGAAACAATTCTATAGAATGTACACCAGAAGTAAAATATATAAATAAAAGACAAAAAAACAATGAGCATATAAGGGGGCGTCCCAAAATGACGTGAGGTTTTTTTCAGGGTATTTTGTCGTCGGGATTTTCTCTTCACCTCCCTGACGTGAGGAATTTTTTAGAATTTTTAGAACCCCCTGGCCATCTGGTGAGATGCCGTAATATTTTCTTTAACTCCGTTCCGTTATTTTTTAATTTATATTTCGGCTCTAAGTTCCAGGTTCCGCATTCCTCTGAGCACTATTGTGAAATTTCCCCATATTTTTATTCTAGGAACATTTTTTACTTAAATACTTTACTCTCACGTAATTTTACATCGTTATCTAATTGAAAAATACAACGTGAGATTAGAAATTGGACTTGCTTAATAATTCTTCCCACCGCACAGGTTTTGCTAAATTACATAATAAAAGTTCCATAACTCGGAAACTATTCGACCAATTTGAACAAGTTTGATAGGGAATATTAGCGTGGCAGCTAATTAGCATGATTCGAGAATGGATACCTAACACCTTCTGTTGTTTTCATTCCCCATATATAAGTTAATATACATACATATAATAGATATCTTAATAAAATGGACTAAGAAATTTTCTTTTGATATGATGCGAAAAATACGAAAGTCCGACTACAGTTAGCTTCATTGGAATTTAATTGGATAAAATTTACTGATCTACTAATAAAGTAGTCCAGTATGCGGGTATTAAAAAAATATATATGTATATATATTTGAATGTTCGGTGGAACTGAATTCCCATTAAACTAATTATCACTTCCTTATTAGATAAAAGCAGTAAAATTACGTGCTAACTCAGAAAATATCCATTATAAAGAAAAATGTTGTAATCGGAAAAGTGTCATAGAGTTGACAGCTGCCGCACGTCTCAAAGGAGCATTTCGCATATCGACAGTGTACTTAACATAATTGTAACTAGAAGTATTTAATGTCATTTGTAAGTATAACTTTAAAAACAAGGATTAAATAACTCATGAGCCAAATAGCAACTACTCTCAACAACATATCCTCCTTAGGGATATTTGAAAAGAAGGAAAAAGGAAGTACTCGTATTTTTAGTTACAAAGACAATGGCCTCTAAAGTACTTGGGTATAAGTCATTCTATGAATGTGCATGTATGTATGTAAGTGCTTGGAGCTAAAAATATTCACTTACATATTAGTCTATTTATTGCTTTTAAGTAAATCTTTTGGAATACTCGCACTCATGTATACATATATACATACATGTATATAGCTATGAACGTACATACTCATACTCGTACCCGAAGGAGTGTATAGCCCATTTCGCTTTTCAAAGCGGCGGAATGAGTGTCATTCAAAATGATCGCTTCAATTGATGAGGGAGAACAACAACGTCAATGTAATTCATACATAGAGATGCGGTGACGGAAATTTGTTTAACATTTTTAATTTTGCGTAACGAAAAACGTCATATTACAGCAGAGAATAATTCATATCAACGACGAGCTCCAAGGCAACAACAAAAATATGCATCCACAATCGCTCCAAGTGAGAGCGAATTGCAAAAGGTCTACATTAACAACTACTATGTTTTTATATATGTATTTATGTGATGTAAGCATGAAAAACGCTTTCGTCTGTTTACAATGAAAAATAATTTAGCGTTACGGAAGCAGCGGAAAAGACGAAATTACGAATTTTCACCATTCTATCTCATTATTTCATGGGGGACACTGTGGGTGTTTGACGATCAAGGCGTCACCGCGCCGAGCAATGACAATGCAGTGATCATTAAAACATCTCACGCTCGGTGTGTGCCAAGAAGGATTAAGTTGAGCGACAACTGCCAGTGGAGCAAAGCATTTTTTTTTTTTTTGAAAAATGTGCAATAAATAATGCATTTCTCTCAACCATAAAATCTCCATATATTTTTTACTGTCTCTCTTTCTACGGCGTCTTCGCTATTTAATATCCTGTGTAATGGTCTTCATAGCTTAATAAATTATTTGGTATAAGTTTAGTTGCATATTATAGCGCTTATGGATATACATATATACAAATACATACAAATACAATATATAGTAAGCTTTTGCACGTGAATATTTGGGCAATAAAAATTATTTTAAAATTTACTGTGGAATTCGTCCTTAATGGCTTATATTTTATTTGAATTCTTGGATGGAATGCAATAAAATACTTGTACATTTATATACATGTCCGTCTGTCGGTATATATACAAACTAGTCCCACAGTTTTTAAGCTATCGATCTGAAAATTTGCACCTGTTCTTTTCTCACTAAAAAGCCGCTCATTTGTCGGTACGGCCGACATCGGAACACTATAGCATATAGCTGCCATACAAACTGAACAATCGGAATAATGTACTTGTATATAAAACTATTTCATATTATTATTTAAGGCAATAATCCAATCTCCGAAGAAATTATATAAATCGAAAGACTATAGCATATAGCTGCATTATAACTTCACGATCGGAGTGCTTGCATGGAAAACTTTATTTTTGACGAGCTATCTTCACGAAATTAGACACAAGTTATTATTCAAGGCAACAATGTATTTTCATCATATAGCTGCCATAAAAACGATCGGAATAAAGTTCTTGTAAGCAGCCGTTGTATTTGTGTATTAGCTTCGGTGCAACCGAAGTTAACGTTTTTTCTTGTTTTTCTATCTCTTTAACTTTTCTTTTACGCTAATAGTGGAAAACAAGAATCGTTTTAAAGAAATAGGAATTTTAATTATAGCGATCTTTCAACATTTGGATAACATTTTTGTTCATTTTGCCTCAAAATTGATTTTACTCCCGGCGTTTTTTCTACTTCCACCAATTTCTAGAGGTCTGAGCACAGAAAAAGTCAGTGGGGACGTATGTTGTTTTAAATAAAACAATGGTCATGGTCATATCCTAACTAATGATGATTGTCATTCATTATAAATAAAATAAAATGTAATTTTTCTTCAACAAAATAAGAATTAAATTTCAGGAAAGCTGCAAAAGTTAGGCTACCCATAACTTAAAATATAATATATTTAAATATTACACTTTAACTAAATATTTTTCAAAATTTATTGAACAAGTTTTTAACTAATATTATTTGCACAAGCAAAATGGTTTAAGACCCGAATTACTGTAGAAATATCAATTAGTATAAAATGTAATTTTGCATCCATGTATGTGCATATGTGAAATTGTGTGCGCATTTAATTATAGACAATCGTGTGCCATGAATGCGCTGGTAAATTAATTGTTATCTCGCCGCGTACACTGTCATTCAGAAGCACTTCGACGGCATGGTTTTCGCTGCAATTGAAATAAAAATTTATTAATAAATCAAATTTAAAGTTTTAGATACACAAGTGTATTGAAGCAATTAAGCCTCATAATATTATACAGTCCTCATTTTTCTTGGCTAGTGGTAAATTAATACCCAATTTTGGTAAAATATCCTTAAAGCTACTTAACATCAAAATACCGAGTACAAAAACAACAATGGCAAACATAAGATTTCAAACACTAATTTTAGCAACCAAATAGTGTTTAGTATTCCAACACCACATAGTTTTCGTTCGATAAACATGCCAACTTGAATTATTTAAGTAAAATATATTTTTTATAGGTGATATAAAAACATCAAATAAGGGATCAAAATTTCTTTCATATAAACAAGTTTTAGTAGTGTTATTCGACAACATTCGTCCGGTGAATTAACTGTAAATGAAAGTAAAAATCTCAGTATTCGCGAGTGCATTATATATTGGGAATAAGATCGTAGTTAGACAATTGGTTTGATATTGCCTACTTCGATAGGCTTCAATTAATGAAAGCAAATAGGCATTTTTTGCAACGAAAACGGGATCCAGGTCAACCGGGTCACTTACCATAAATGACGTTGACAAAACAAACAAGTAAGGAAGTCCTAAGTTCGGGTGTATTCGAACATTATATACTCTCCCAACTTGCAAGGATCAAAACCCGTGAAATTACTTCAAGTGTTGGCAAAATTTTATATTAAAGGCAGTATCGATTAGATTCATCCCATTTTTCACACAAAGACATACTATTATTGAGAGTTTCATTAATTTATTTTATTATATGAATTTAAATTATATATCCCATTGACCGATATTTTCGGTAAAAAGTCAACTATAGGCACTGAGGGCCACATATTCCAGGGGCTTGAACAGTTTTAGGTCGATTTAGACAATTTTTAGTCACAAGGTGGCATACTTTAAACGCATTATTCACGCAAACTTTTACCCCGATACAATCATTGTTGCTTGATTTGCATAGTGGAAAGTGAAAGAATCAGATGGAATTGAAAATGGTGTTATATGGGAAATAGGCGTGGTTGTAATCCGATTTCGCCCATTTTCGCACCATAACATAGAAATATGAAAAGAACGTTATGCACTGAATTTTGTTGAAATCGGTTAAGCAGATCTAAAGATATGGGTTTTCACCTAAAAGTGGGCGGGGAGACGCCCACTGTCTAATTTTGAACGCGGTTCCTATAAAGTCATCTCATACCATCGCAGAGATAAAATTTAATGTCTCTTGCGTGTTTTGTGCTTGATTTATTGCGCTTTTAGTAGTTTTTAGCAGTACCGTTATATGGGGAGTAGGCGGGGTTGTCACCCGATTAAACCTATTAGGGGCCGCGACCACGCCCAGTTTACAAATAAATTGTAAACTGCAGATGCACCCTCGTTATGTGATCCTGTATACCAAATAACAGACTTGTATCTTATTGCGGAGCTTAGTTATGGCAATTTATTATTTTTTTGATTAATGGCGTTTTGTGGGCGTGGCAGTGGTCCGATTACGCCCATCTGCAATACCAACCGTCTTACGGTACCAAGATAAATGTCTACCAAGTTTTATAAAGATATCTCAATTTTTACTCAAGTTACAGCTTGCACAGACGGACGGACAAACAGGCACCCGGATTTCAACTCGTCTCTTCATACTGATCATTTATATATACATAATCCTATATCTAACTCGATTAGTTTTAAGAGATACAGACAACCGTTAGGTGAACAAAACTATTATAGTCTGTAGCAACATGTTCCGAGAGTATAAAAAGGATCGATAAAGAGGAATTTGGAAAGACTTCATCCAAAATTAGTAGCGGCGCTAGTTATGTGTCAATAAATTATGATGGATACCGTATAAGCTACTATTGAGGCACTTGGATACAATACTGATGAATTTTCTATAAGTAAGTCCTCAATTCCTGAAGCTATTATTGAGGCACTTGGATAAAATACTGATGAATTCCCTAGAAGTAAGTCCTCAATTCAAAGAATTCGCACAGAAAAGGACAAAGAACGTGCGGAACCCATTAAAACTGATTTTCATAATGGGATGTCACAGCTTGTGATGGTTCACTTTGATTGCCTACTTTAGGCTGTTCGCAAATCAAAAGAAGAACGTCTTCCGGTAGTTATTTCATATGGAAATAAAGAATAATTGAGAAAACTCATCAGAAAGAGAACAGGCAAACGCGGCTTCGAATACTATCGAGAACTAAGTGATCTCTCAGTGATAATTTTAGATGGAGATAAAAATCGAAAATTTAAAGGTCGATATCCACATGCCATACGCTAAGTAAAGTGGATGGCTAGGGCGATTTATGCACTGAAAATAGCACTTCTTAGCGCTCAACTGAAAATTACAAACAATAATAATGCGACACTGTTTGATATTTGCTTGCCCTGGCTTCAATGTCTTTTTATTGTAAAAGCACTTTATCAGGATTTATGCCTTTTGAAATCAATGAAGACATATGAAAAAATCGATACAAAGATTTCGAAGGTGCATTACAGAAATTCAGTCACCATCTTTGGTAATTAACCGTTGAAAAAGCTGTTTTATCATTATTTGATGACAACGCAGACCAAGAAATTAAAATAAAAATGGTTGTAAGCTTAAACAAAGAGAGTCCGTCAACCCATGAAAGAGCGGTCAAAATGATACATGAATTTCATGGTTTCATTGCAATTGATACATACATATAATATGTATTGATTCATACATATAATATGTATATGTATATAAACAAAGCACTTTTAAGAAAATGTTGCAATTTAATGACAATGAAGTGGGTCGCACTTATAGATGCAGGCGTGCCAACATATCAAGGGCGCACGTAAGTACGCCAAATATTTAGAATGTATGTACATACATATGTGCATTGCATAAGTACAGAAGTGTGTTAGTGCCTTACATCTTAATTGCATTTTAATAAACTCGCCATAAAAGTGTGTTAACATTAAGTTAAGTAGCAATTCAACAACAAAAAATGAACAACAAATGCGTTTGAAGACGCGTGGCAAACACTCCCACTGCTACATAAATTGACTTTTACGCACTTAATATTGTAGTACGAAGATGTATATATACATATATAAATATGCGATGGCATATGTACATACCCATTGAGCAGCACAGCAGCGATGCGTTGATCGGGCCGCTTGAAAGCAACCACCTCCACGGCCAAACTCAACATTCTCGCCTCAATACGCACCGAACCCTCGGGCACGAATTTCGAAAAGTGGCCCATGCTATAAAATATTGGTTGCTTGTATATTTCCGCGCGATCTGTTACAAAAAAACATCGTACTTTATTACAAAAAAAACTTTCACTTACTTAAATATTCGCACTTACTTGTGGTATTCACAATCACCGCCGCGTCAACATAATTATTCACATAACTCGGCCCACCTTGCTCATCTAAAACGATATTCCAATCGATCCAGCCATTGTAGGAATGTTGCAGGTTGTGCAGAATATCACGTGCGTACTGTTCACCCCGTTCCCATGAACCAAGTTCGGGTCCATGGGTTTGCCATGGCTTGTCTCCTATGGAGGATTCAGTATTAAGCACGATTTTGCCTGGCAACTGCGTAACTGTCAAATCTATTAGATTGGGTGCAAACATTTCATCCCAATATGAGTGTACTGCGAAGCCGTCTAGGTAGTTAAGAACACCTGGGCGCGTGCGATTCATCTTAAAAAAAATAAATCATTAAAAGTTTAGTTTAAAAATATGAGCAAAGTACTGGAGAGTTACAGGTCACATCTAATTATGGACTTGAAAAGGCAAGGAATTTCATTTAAATTTTTTAGGTCTAGATCCAATAAATTAACGTATTTGGTTTGAATTTATCATGGCCATATGGATTTCTCTTAATAAAAGGTCGAATTATTATTATTTTATACAGGAAAGATCAAGCGCCGTTGAAAATGTGACGATATTTATACCGTCCGATTTCTATTGATTCTAAACAAGTAAATGCCAGGTTTTAGACGAGGGGATAAGAAAAGATATGAATAATCTTTCAAGAGTAGAAAACTTTTTTTACTTACAAAATAAATATAGTAGACTAAAAATTGGTTGGTGCATGTATTGTACATATGCATCGTTGTAGTCAGCTCATGAGAAGCTTGTTCAGTTTAGTTTTGATCGTAAATAACATTTTATATTCGCGTACTCACTTGAATAAACCACCAAGGGTAAGAATATCGTTGATCGTCATTTCCGAATATCAGAACATTTTTATATTTGGATTTTCGGATTGTTGGTCCAAGGAAGTCATTTAGCCAAACTGCCTAAGAAAGTGTAATTTACAACAAATTGTATGTGTAAGATTTTGATATAAGTGTCATTATATTTTTAAAAAGTACCTGGTTCCTTGGTATCCAACCAAGGCTCATGAAGTGCACGAAAAAGAAAAAGGCGATTCCGTTAAGCGGCTCATTACCAGTTGATATAGCCCAGATCGGCATATTTTTAGCATCCATTAACTCTAAAAATCTGCAAAAAGAACAAATATTTAACCATGTTTAGATGTATGATTAATGTTTGTACATAGCAACCCTTTCTTCGATCATTTATAGGCTATATATTTATTTATATACGCATCTGAAACGTCGACACAGAATAGATAAACGCAATTTTTGGGTACTTCTATGGATATTTTGAGATTAGGAACTAACTTTTATGACTACCATGACCCCGATTAGGGTAATTTATGCTTCTGAGATCTAAGATATTATATGTATATAATCTTTCAACTCACCTCAGATGATAATCAGCCCAAGTCTTATAATATACAGTCTTCAACAATCCTATGCCTGTCCACTTTCCGTTTGTCTTCATCCAAGTTGGTGAACTCCAAGCCGCAGCCATGATTTTTAAGGTTTCCAAATCGGATACTGACTTTAAACGCTCCATTTGTTGCACTTTAATTTCATCGCGGGGATCTAACTTTTGGAAATTTGAAAGTTTGATATCATCACGAGGCTCCTCATTATAAGCCCAAGGGGCAAGATCAAAATCACAGCCCCCAATTGGGGTACGTAGCATATTGAAGCCGATACCATCTTTATGATAATATGACCTACAGTAACCAAATTGTAATAACAAAATTATTTATTTCGAAGAGTTTCAGAGAAGTCAACTGTTCAATCAATTTACGCGTACTTGTAAATGTGATCTTGAAGCTTCTGATCCAATAGTTCCAACAAAAGTGAAACAGTACCGGTGAATGCACCACCAAAACCTGTAACTTTTTGATATTCCACTGAGCGATTCACTCGCAGTTTCGGTGTGAATCTGGAAGTTGAACCTGTGATGAACACTATTTAATAAAAAGTGAAAACCAATTTCTAAATAAACTTACGTTCGCTCGTATCAATCAAAAGCTGTACAAAATGTTGTCGATTATCGACGATCACCGCTGAATTTTTGAAATCGTCGTTGCTTTCATTTAAACTTATCTCTGTATTTGTTTTTGTATTAATTTCGCCAAAACTTAATTTACTTACAGCAAAGCGTAGGCCTTCCTACGCGTGGGGTTGGTAGGTGTGGAAAAGAAATAAGAAAGTTTTACAAAATATAACAGTGTGGAAGAGTAAAAAAGAGAGAAAATTTATTAAGATTTGCTTTTAATTTCACATAAACAATGACTGGTACCTTGCTTGAAGAAATTATTACAAGCTCGTTTGAGCTTGGCTGGGGATTCTCCAAATAATCGCAGTGATCTGCCGTGCAAACACACACTAAGCCGTATTTTGTTTGTCGGGGCGTACAATAACTGCTTGCGTTAGCTGAGATTACAAAATCGCTTTAATGATTATATTATCAAACCTTTTTTTTCATATTTCAAATATTTTTTACCAGTAAACTTATCGTAGTTGAAACTTAATGACAATAAGAAAATTATTTTATAAATCATTTTCACAATTGCTTTTGTATTTTGTATAATTTTTAAGTTTCGGAGCAAACACGACTTCAATCGAAAAACGTATATCTCTGAATAATAGTGAACTTGCGATTCGTACAACCCACACTCGTTCGCAATTCAATACCTACTGGCGTGACAGCACTCTCAGGCGTTTATACTTTGGCTTATCAATTCATTATTTCTACGTTTGTTATTATTATTTTTTTACATACTTTCCGATTCGCTCAATTTTACATTTTTGTATTTATTTGCTTTAATGGCTTTTGTTTTGATAACCTTTTTCGTGCTGGAGAGTAAATATAGTTAGGATTCGTTTCATTACGCTGACGATAATTTTTAAAATGAATGATTAAAATACTTATGGTGAGTACTTTGATGGCGACAAGGTTAGAACACACCTTCTTTTGGAAATTTCCAAGCCTTAAAAATTATTTATTAGATTATATTTTGTATAATTTACTTACAAACAAAACTTGAGTTTATGTACTAGCCGACATGTTAAAATTTTGCTTTCGGTAGTTCTTTTATAATACTGTTACAAAAAATAGCTTGTTTAAAAAAAGTAAAAGAACAATTGTAGTACATCATCAATATCAAGCAAAAAGTATTCAAGAGGTTTTAATTAGACATATGTATTTTTAAATAGAGTAGTTAACGCATACAACTTCCCGGAAAGTATTCGACCAGACTTCCGTTCAATTGTTATTCTCGGACAGTTTGATTCAATTTCCCCAGTTCGTTTTTTATGACCTTCTTTAACAATATTTTTAACCAACGATCCCATTGATTGCTTCGTTAAATATTTTTAAGCATTGAAACATCTTGAATTTTTATTTTTGAATACAGTTATCAGCTTTTTAAAAAATTTAGGTTGTGGCAAAAACAAAGCTTCTAAGAAAGTCTTCCGGAAAGTTTAAGAAAAATTTAGATATTCTAAAAATGAATTAAAAACAAGAAAAAACGGTAAATATAGTCGGTTTAGGTCCAACGGAAACGTTATAGCTCTTTCCAGGCAGTTCTAGTTGTTTGATATAGACAACCTTGAAGTCCAATTAAGTTTACTTAGTAAGGAAAAAGATCTCTTTTTAAAATCTTTATCTCGATTTTGATCGGTCAGTTTTGAATGGCAGCTATGTGCTATGGTGGTCCGATCTAAGCAATTTGTTCGGAGATTGTACTGCTACTTTGGAATATATATTATATAAGTATTGTAAGCCTCTTCGTGAGGGAGCAAAGAGCCCGTACCATTAGACAAGAATTTATGCCAAATTTCGTGAAGATATCTCGCCAAATAAAAGAGTTCTCCACATAAGAACTTGAATTTTATCGTTCAATTTTTATGGCGGCTACCATATAACTTGTAGCGCTCAGATATACATTGGCGGTTCGGAAAAGTGAACCGTTTCTTAGAGAGAAAATAACTATCTCAAAAACGGAGACACTAATTCGCATATATACAGACAGATGACATGACTAAATCGAATCAATTATAAATATACTTAATTTAGAATCTAATATCTATGAGACAATATTGCTCTGAGTAACATTAATTAAAAATTATGGAAATTCTCAAACTCTGTAAGGCGAAGGATCTTCCCGTTACAATTAAGATATCATATTTGGGGAGTTTCTCAGAGTACGAAGCGAAATATCTATGTGTGTATATATCAGCAATCTTTAGTTAATAACTTGTTAATTTATAAAAAATTGGATATATTAAATGATTAATTATAAAGAACAGTATGAATTGATTTCAGAGGTATATTAATCTTAATCGAGCCTTGGTTTTTATCCCTAACTTCAACGTTGTCGCTGGCGTAACCATTGAAAGTTAAAAAGTACGCCATTAATTACCACATTAATGTATGCATTCCACAAACGGCCACGCTGCCATCCGGTGTTAAAAAGGCAACTTTATCCACATTGACGTTTGTACGCTCTGCAGCAATACGAGTTGAACCTCCTGATATGAACTTTGAGAAATGACCCATTGTATAAAACATCGGTTGTATGAAAAACTCATTAAGATCTACAAGTGAGGCATACTCGTACTTAATAAAAACCACCATTCGGGAAAACTTTAGTATATCGTCCCAGGCCGAAGGAAACTTATAGTTTTTGTTGCAAAATGTCAAATAACCAGTGTTACCTTATCGACATCTTTTGTAATTAAACTGAAAGAATTTATAACAGATAATACCCTAAATACAGGAATCCAAAACATAGAGAAATAAACTATTACAGAGCATTGATGTTAAGTATTACGTTATACCCTCTATGACAATCTTACTTTTTCCTAAACTTCTTTATGCGTTGGGGGCCTTCGGCCGCGCTTCAAAAAAAATAGCCCTGGTCGGTCCAACACCGGGGTGTATCAAAATATTTTTCGCGCAGAACTTCTTTTTGCGTTGGCGGTCTTCGGCCGCGCTTCAAAAATATAACCCTGGTCGGTCCAACACCGGGGTGTATCGAGGTTTTTTTGCGCAGAACTTCTTTTTGCGTTGTTTCCTGTATCTAGGGTATAATCTCTCTGTTTATTTTATTTTTCTTCGTTTACAAAATATATTAGTATGGCAACACTGGTGTTTTGACATTCACAACCATTTTGTTATTGTCAAAATTAATAAAATTGAAGAATGATTTAAATATTGTAATAAAGCTATTTTTGCAGCATCTTGTATAAAAAAACAAATTCTAAAAACGAATTAGTCAAGTGTTGGTGGATATAAAAGTAAAAAATATAAGTGTATAATTCATTTTAAATCGCAAAAATACGTACTTTAAATAGTTGAAATTTTCAACTTTAAACGTAAATATCTCGAAAACTATAAGTTTCTCGCGGCTATATTTATATATATTCTTGATCTGGAGGATCTTCTCTATCCGTCCATACCCATTTTGTCCCCGAAAGCCTATGACGGTATACTAAAGCCGACCCCACCATTCACCAAAAGTAATACAAAAATACATTTTACTTGTCATATTGGCAACTGACGGAGCATTGACGAAATTGCTCACATAATTCGGTCCGCCCTCTTCATCCGAAACTATGTTCCAATCGATTCACCCTTTGAAATCGTGCTGAAGATTTTGCTGAAATTGCTTGCAAACTTCTCACCACGTTTCCAGGAACCCAAGAGAGGTACAGCTGACTGCCATGGCTTATCACCGATACAGGATTAACAATTTTGTCTGGCATCTCTTTGCGAGCGACGTCAATGAAAACAGGCTCGAAAATATCATCTCAATACCAATGCATCGACAGCCCTGATCGACAGATAACCATACGGCCTATTATAAAATATATATTAATAAATATTTTCTAAATTCTGAGCAAAGTTTCAGAGCTTGAGTTTTAAAAATTTAAAAATTTTCAATTAAACTTGTAACAAAGTTTTTATTCGAGTTACGACAACTTTTTCTATTTACCTGCTGACTTGGGGTCCAACCTAAGCTTAAGAGTTTTATAAATATATTTAAAAATACACCGTTTGTTGGCTTATTTTCGGTCGATATGGCCCAAATCGGTATTCCGGCCTTTTCATAAAGCTCAAGCCAACGTAAATGATAATCAGCCCACGTCTGATAGTATTCTTTTTTCAAGCGACTTATTCCAGTCCATTTATTGTTGGTTTTCATCTATCGTGGCGAACTCCATACGGTGGCTTTTATACGCAAATTTTCCACGTTCGATACGAGCTTCAAGCGTTCAATTTGTTCAATTCGCTGTTCATAACGTGAATCAAATTGTGTGAAATTGCTGAGGGTAGTATCGTTTTCGGCCAGTTCATTATGCGCCCAGGGTGCCAGTTCAAAGTCAGAACCACCGATTGATGTGCGCATTAAATTGAAGCCAATACCGTGTTGGGAGTAAAATGATCTAATAACTAAATTGTGCCATAATTTTAGAACTCATTTAAAAACATTAGGCGTAAGTTCATACTTATATATGTATATGATCTTGTATATCTTGGGATAATTTATCCAAAATACAGCTAACGGCGCCGGTAAGCGAACCACCAAGGCCGGTGATGTTTTTAAAATGCTGCTCACGATCCACTTGAATGGTCACCTTACGAGGCAGGGCTGAAAGAATATTAAGTAAATGCGAATTAATATGCAAGGTTCTGTATTTTGTATAACTCTGATCCACAAATTTTATAAAATGTCTATTCGACTCCAATATTGGTTATTTATCAAAAAATGCACTTTAATTTTCAACACTAAATTATTTGGGTAAATTTTTATTTTAATTACCTTTCTTAAACACAATTTCACCTTGTGTGCCATTCTCCAGACTCTCATTGTAGTCAATAACTTGAGTAAAGGCGATGTCTTCATAGAAAAAAATATTTCAAAAATGCTTCTAACTAATTTTTCAAACGGCAGAAATTGATAAAAAAAAGACCCGAGCAGCCTTATTATATATCAAATGTATTAATATTAATCATTTTCCCACTTATTATAAGAACCCTTAAGAACCTATAAATACATTGGATTTTGTTTTGGAATGGAATTAGTCCAACTGAGGTCCAGGGAAAATTGTATGATATATGTAAACGATAAGTAAAAAATAAAATCAGAAAACATAAGCTTGTTTATCACTGGGATGTAAATGAAGTGTACCTGTGACGAGGAGACAATGACAAATTCATTTTCATTCTCCGGTGATGGATTATCTAAATACTAGACCTGTTGGATATTTTCTTAATGCACATGAAGTACTTACTTGACTTGATAGCGCTGAAATTAGTAGAGGACAAGATAATCTTAACAAAATTAATTCATAATTTAATTAAAAGTCAATCAACAGAGAGAGTATTGTTTAGTACTACTAAAAATATTAAATATTTCAAAAGAAATCTAACTCTTTTGATTAGAAAATCAGCTATTTCGACCTGTAGCACGACAACTCATATATCCAGTAGGGCCAAATCACCCAGCAATTGATCTTGCTTTGGTGAAAAGCTTTCGATTTTTAAATATCCATTCCGACGTTTTGTTTTGAAATATTCCTCACGGTCGAGTTACCATCTCCCGATTTCAGAGGTAATTTCAGGTTCTACATCTTCACCAGGCCATTATATTTCCAGTTAGAAGTGTTCAAACGATTTTTCTTAAATTAAGTACATTCTGAAAATCAGTTAATTTTTTTCAATTTGTTTAGTTTTTTAAAAAATTAAAGTTTTACAATCTTCTGTAAGTTCTGGTACTTACTTGTATTGGATGAATTTTCAACCACTCTTAACGTCGTCTAATATCTTGAAGCTCTCACTTCACTTACTTGACTCGAATAGAGAAAATATAAAAATACTCACCTACAAAACCTGCTAAAAAGCATAGAACAATTAAGTTCTTTAAAGAACCTTTTGAATCCACCATTTCGATATTACTTTTATTAAGTGAGCGTTAACTTGTTACTCCAATGCCTTTAACACACCAATAATCGAATAGTAGCGCAAATTCAATGCTTAACCCCTTAAAATTACTATCATCTTCACCATGTTATCAAAAAATCGAAGTAATCATTACTATGTACTTTATTCTACTGAATCATGTGTACCCATAATGTACTAATGTTCACATGTATGTCTATTGAAGGTATCATATTGCATTATACTTGTAGGTTTATTACATTCTGAAAAGGTGTGCAAAAACTTGCAATTGAATATTAACTAACTGTAAACTTGATATTTACCTTTATACTCAATGACCAATCACAATTCCATATTCCCTTTTATTAAAATCGGTATATGTATACGAATTTGAAATATGAATAAATAAACTAGTTTAAGCATATCCAATTTATCCGCTCTTTGGTGTCGCTCAATGCATTCACACGAGTGACTCGAGTCCGACAACTTGAGACAGACAATTTTCTGCATTTTTTCATAGCACATTCCCAAATTTTTAGTTAGTTTTTATTCTTATTCAACCTTTTCTATAATATTACCAAATACATTGTAAATATTAATTTGAAACCGAGCGTACTTGCAATCATGCATTGCAGCAAACTGTTACCAGCCACTGTGCCAGCCGAGCACGAGCGGCAGTATTCCTTCGCCTCGTTGTATCTTCGCCTTCCAAAAATCGGTTTGAACGACAAATGACTCCATGTGTGAACACAGTCTATGAATAAAATACAAACCGGAGAAAACGACCATAGATAAGATTTGCATTTAAGAAATACCAAAATATATATAAACTCCAGTAGACTGTAAGTATTAACTACTACACAAATGTACTTTCATTATAAGGCGACCCCAGCAAACAAAATTTATTATACTAGCCGCCTTCCATGCTGCTAAGCTCTTGATTAATAATAAGATTTTTACCAGATGTTTGTGCGAATCACTACTCTCCAAGGTTAGGCAATCCGAAGAAAACCGCTGGATTTATATTATAACCAATATTTTAATGTTGAAAGTATTATATTTACTCACATATTTAGTAAACTTTAAAAAATTTCACCGTTTCAAATTGAAGAGAAAAGTGGGGTAAGTTTAGTAGGTTGAAGCCAATAAGAACAAAAGTATAAAAAACAAACAACATGTGTTCCTTACATTTAATCAAATCAATTAAACTTCTGTGCAGCTGCAGGTAACTGATCGCTATGCCTGCACGCAAATTTCCAATTATTCATAAAGCTCTAGAAATGTATTACAAAATATAAATGCAGACATACCATATAGACATGGCTTCATAATATTGTATTATAGATCTGTTCTAGTTCCAAAGTGACACATTTGACCACCTCAGACACTTGAGAATTTGATTATCGGGTTGAGGATTACAAGATGTAGAACCGATACACTTTTAAATTCAAAAGTTCACATAAATTACTTCCTTTTGTACAATTTAATAATCTTTTATTTTTATATTTAGAAAATCGTAAATCAAATGCTTCAGTCATTAAGAAGGTAATAAAGTTACGCGTGTGTCTCCCATGAATACGGCAATGCTAAACTATAAATAGAAGTAACTACTAGAAACTTGTTAACATTTCAATAATAATTTAAGTACAATATAAAAAGCTTATCTTTTGATTAAAAAGATTGACAATAAAAAACACAAGTTGCTGATAACTTAAGCACTTTTATGACATCAACACTGCGAATAGACTTCACCGATTTTACTAATGAAATCTTTTTTACCCGGTATTTTTATCGAATTTTATTAATTATGCATTGAAAACTTTTGAGCAGTTACGATTGAATGAATAAATCTATCGCTTAATTTTGATACTTGGTGAATCGAACAAAAAAATAAGAGATAACATAGAACAGGATTATGCCACTTAATGAGATATCCATTTCTTTTCATGTATTTATTACACTGAATAACTTTGGTTGTTGCTTTTTTGAAACCAGGGCTCAAATATGGTGAGCAAAGAAATGGCTGACGAGCATGGGGATTTGAACCACCGCCGCTAGTAAGCTGGTGTAACACCAATTCAATCGGTACTACGTCCGTAGTAAAAATACAATAGTTAGGTACATCTACTGTAATCAATATATTATTTATTTATTAATTTATAACAATCATTTGAAGGAAATTCGAGGGTAGTTGCACTTTTATTATTTGGTTTATGTAGACAAGCATTCTAGTTTTAGCTTTCATAAATAATAATGCAAAAATGGTAAGAACTCTGTGTGTTATGGAGAAATTAGGGCGATTGAAGCTATAAGCGAGATCATGACTAAGAAATCTGTTGTATTTTCAAAGTTTTTCTGCCAAAGACTTAATAAATCAATCGTATTTATTATTTGATAGTTGGTGGCTCGTTTGATATAATAATTAACGTAGACTTATTAGTATTTCTTTATATTGTTTATGTTCAAGACTATTAAAGAATCTTATTTAAAGATTTACCTGCATTTATAACACATATAATATATTTCACGCTACTCCAAACAATCGAGAGGTCCATAAAGTTCTAATAAATCCGTGCATATACAATACTTGTGCTCGTATATTTAAAAACGAAAACAATACACTCATATAAGCTTTTTAATTTCTTACTTATCTCAGTCGAGTACAAAAGGAAAAAAAAATTAAAACAAGAAAAAACGTTAACTTCGGTTGCGCCGAAGCTATAATACCCTTAACAAAAATAAAGGCCCCTTACAAGAACTTGATTCCGAACGTTCAATTTGTATGGCAGCTATATGATATAGTGATCTGATCTGACCAATTTCTGTGGAGAATAATTTGTTGCCTTAAGCACTAACTCGTGCCTAATTTCGTGAAGATACCTCGTCAAATGAAAGAGTTTCCCATACAAACACTTGATTCCGATTGTTCAGTTTGTATGGCAGCTATAGCTATAGTGGTCCGATATCGGCCGTTCCGACAAATGAGCAGCTTCTTTGGGAGAAAAAGAAGTGTTCAAAATTTCAGATCGATATCTCAAAAACTGAGGGACTAGTTCGCGTATATACAGACGGACAGACAGACGGACATGGCTAAATCAACTCAGCTCGTCACGGTGATCATTTATATATATACTTTATATGGTCTCCGACGTTTCCTTCTGGGTGTTACAAACTTCGTGGCAAAATTAATATACCCTGTTCAGGGTATTAAAACATATCTAAGAACAATTAACCAATTTGTTCAAAACAAATCATTTTTAATCTTTTTCCATTAGCAGTTGGGGGGCGATAGCCATATATAAATCGCAACTCAAACGCTTAACTCCACAACGGGAATTATTTAACAAATGGCGCAGAATACAAATTCTATTGGGGTTTTCTTGGCTATCAGCTTAATTGGTATCCTTGTATGTGAGTATCTAAAATGTATAGTTCAAGGATATATAATATAATTTCATTTATTGCTAAATTGATACTGAATAAACAAATGTTATTGTCACCTTAGCGCATTCTAATCAAGAGACTCTGCCATGCGCGCTGAAAGAGTATAGCACTGGTCTCGTATGTGTTTGCAATTCTAAGTATTGTGACTATTTGGATGATCCGACGCCAAACGAAGAATATGTTTTTGCTGTTGTCTCTTCGTCAAAGGTAATTAGATCACTATTGGGTTTAAGTGAAACTTTGAAATATTTAACTCTGAACTATTATTATTATTTTTGGTTCTTAGGCGGGCCTGCGCTTCGAGACGACACGTGGCCAGTTTAATCTCTACAAGAAATATTATATTTTCGATTACGATCAGCTCACCGTCAGATCTATGCAAGCTCGTAAGTTGCTTTTATTTGTGATTATTTTCCTCTTTCATATCAATGATTTAACATTTAGCGGCTACTGAAAGCATTGAGATAGAAGTTGATAGAGAGAAACGATGGCAGAAGGCTCAAGGTTTTATTGGTTCGATATCCGAATCAATTGAAAATACTTTAAAAATCTTCCCAAAAACATTGCGAAAGCATATCTATCAGTGAGGAAAAAGCAACATTTAAGTGTTCGACAGTTTATGAAATGCTTCTCAATTTGTAGATCCTTCTTTACGCAACACGGTATTGGCGTCGATTTCATGCGTGATCTGGTATTTGGTGTCAGCGAGAAGTATATACAGGATTTGGATCCTATTTTTGGATCATGGGAGCGTGGTGAGGAATTCGCACAAACCTTATTAACACACCTTAAACACGATACCAATGAATCGGAACGGATAAGCTGTAACATTTTGTTGGACCATGAGGGCGGCGATGCGCCAATGATTGCCAACACCACAAGTAATATACATACATATACTTATATTTTACAAATACATATTTTAACCAAACGTATACCTTGATCAGATCACCTTGAGGTTTACAAACAACCGCTGTTCTATACAATGGGGCATTTCACGAAATTCATAGCTGGAGGTTCGGTTCGTATTGCTGCTGAAAATAAAAATAATAATGTGAATGTGGTGGCCTTTTTGAGAGCAGATAAAAGTGTGGCCGTCATCATCTTAAATCGGTATTCATATATCAACAATAATTTTGAACAGTTAAATTTACTTTACTTTTCATTTCTTACACTAGTAATCCCGTTAGTGTTGATGTTGGCATACAAGACACCTATCGCGGAGCTGTTTTATTCAAAATCCCTCCACAGTCGATTCACACTGTCCTATATATTTAAATATATACCACATTTTTAATATAATATATATATTAATATGTACTTAGTTTTTATACTTTCAAACTGTAAATATTAAAAGGAACCAACAAAGCATCCGTTTCAGAATTTAAATCATCTACATTTAGTATATTCTTATCGGTATATACTCATAAAAATAAGAGGGTTGCTTTTTATATTTCAGGATTCGAAAACAAAAATAAATATTTATTATCGAAATTGCTTTATTGTTCTTTAAAATATTCTCCATTAAGATCTACATCGTATCTTTAGTTGTCGAAAAACGTTGACCTCTTAGTTAACGTTTTACGTACGGGAATAAAAAGAAATAATTCGATACCAAGTCAAGACTAAACAGTGGATGACTCATCAAATCGATGTTTTAAGTACTCAAAGAGAGATGCGACATGTACGATTTCTACAAAAAAACAAGCAACGATTTGCTTGGAAGTGCTTCGTGCGAGTTAAGGAACCTATTACCTATCACATTATATCACCAAAATATCCTAAACAAACAAACATCAAAGCAACTATATGTTTTAGTAAACAGAATGTATCAAAACAACATTAAACAAAATAAAACCAAAAACCCTATCTTAGAACAAAATGTTATACGTAAAGAAATTACCAACGAGTAATAAGTAAACACACTAGTTAGTATACATTTGATAGCAGTTAGATCTATGTAACAAGTTAGTCTTAAGAATATCAATAAATAGTACACATTTCGGTGCAGCTCAAAAGTATATTTTTAATGTTTCATATCGTTTAAATGATATTAACTTGCGCGAACAACCTTTTTTGGATTTGTCTCATCTCCCATGCAGTCGACTGCTGTTAACTTTCATGCTAATATTCATAAATCTACGATCTATCATCTGTCACGATATCATAGACGTGTTTCAAAGCACCGCTATCGAATTTTTTAACATTTCTATCGACCAAGCGACACGAGCTTTTTTTTGAGTGATTGACATCTAACGTGAACAAATTTTTTTACAGTCAAATGTTCGTGCAATATGGACTATATGCTGGTCCCACTAATGCCTATAGTTGTCTCAATCTCACGATAGGTCACAAGACGATCTTGCAATATCAGTTTGCCCACAGCATCAATAGTTTCCGAAACAACAACTGATTTTGGACGGCCTTGACGAACTTTTTCTTTGTGTGATTTACGGCCCCAATTAAATTCACCATACCATCGATAAACACTAGTCATTGATTTAATATGTTCATCGACGCACTGTTGCTGCGTTAATCCACCTCGAAAGTTGCAAAAAATGATCGCGCGAAAATGTTCGCGATTTAATTCCTTTTTTTTTGGTCGACATGAATATTTTAAGTTACTGTTAGCAACACAAATAACGCTCGTATAACAAAATGTTCTGAATATGTATAACATCAAAAATGTTGTGAGTTGCCAGATTGCTACACTAGGGTTGCCAAGTCCCGAAACATCAAAGGCAACCTACATACATAAGTCTAGCTTAAATCTATCTTTAAACGGTAAGCCAAAATGGTGTATATTTTAAGCACAATTTAATCTGTAAAGATATCCACACTCCAGTTTATTAATTTTTTTCCGATGTTCCATGTTGTTGGGTTTGAATATGCTTTGATTACAGACATAACTCTTATGCATTCAACAACAATAAAGTGAAACATTTTCGACATGCTCAATACTTTGATCTATTTTTAGGCGTACATCCTCCAATGACGTCAGTTCTAACGCAGATCGATATGTTTGTGTATACATTAACAAGCCTCGAGTTTAGGTTAATTTAAAATTTAATTTGATTTTACCAACACACATGCATGCCTGTACACACGCACATCCAGCTCACACTGAATGAAAAAGGCAGTTAATCCTTTGTAGACATCCTGTTTGAGACATTGTTATGTTTTTATGAAGTATTCAAGAGCACACAATATATGTATATATGTTTAGTTAAAATAGTTCAAGCATTGATTGTTTCTGTAATATATATCTATGTATATAAAAGTGGAAAATACATATATATGTATGTATGTATGAATAAGCATATATTATATATTTACATATACGTATTTAGTGCTACGACATATATATATGTATATATGTACATAGTATATTATTATTTAAGTTGAGTTTGGCTACAAAATATTCCATATTCCTTTGCATTTAAAGCACTGGCTCTGCCACAAAATAGAACTTTCTTTTCAACATTATTTGCTTCCACAGCGATGATAAAGCGCTTTAAAATTAAATGAACTGAAAAATTGCTTTCGGAAAAAGAAGACAAGGAATCCATAACCAGCTGTGATCCATTGCGCGCAGAAGGAAATTTACACATAACTTCTCACACACACATTTATATGCACACATGTATGTTTGGCATAGTGTGTATGTGGGTCAAAGGCGTCTGGCGGCATGCAAGTTATCTGCCCTGTTAGCCGACACAGATATGAAAAGTGCTCTACAGTATTTATAGGCAGCTAATTTTTTTACTCCAGCCTCAACAATGGCAAAAAATACTAAAACTCGGCACTTCAGGATACACAATAAGGCAGTGTTGCTATTAACAAAGTACTCGCTTCAGTAATAAGGGCCTAGTGCAAGGTTGTGATATACCGTAGTCCTCAGATTATTGTTGTCTATTTAATGTGAAACTCGATACAAGAGCAAATATAGCTATGTATGTATGAAAAATAGGTGAATTCCAAAGCAAGAGGGCGTGCTTTTATTTAAACAGAAAGCAAATGAGCAATCAAAGTAATAATTCTTTATGTATTACGACTTTTTACTAAACAAAGCTGCATCAATTGTCGATCTCTGAAATTTACATCATAAGCTTGTCCAAAGAAATAACAGGCTTCATATGTAACTTTCACCCACTGGTGCCAAGGAATAATAATTTTCAGAAATTCTAACATCATCACTCTTTTTGGCATGCCTAATGTGTATGTACATCCTTTATGGTGCATGCGGTCACTTTTTCCGGCTGAATATATTTTGCTGAAAAACTCCTTCCACGCCACGGGTCGTTTTGTTGCCACCTCAACGTAACATGTCAATGGATAAAAGCCATAAAAAGCACACCCGAGTGAGCACTGTAATGAATGGTAGCATGCAACAGGCTGTCGCTTGCGCCTTGCCGCCTGCTTGTGACTATAAAATGGCTCGGCGAAGTGTCAAAGCTTTTCAATTGTTCGTCCACTGCCGGAGCGGTGACACCTGTTGAGTTGCGAAAATAGAAGGACAAACGCGCGTTTTCCCACCACATCCATGCCGCCGATTTGTTACAATAAATGGAAGTGAATTGCCTTTGTTGTTAGTGGTTGTGATTTTGTTCGTGAAACAATTACCGTTTATTGAATTTTTTCAACCAGCATATGGCAGCAATCAAAAAAGCTATAAAAACCAATTAACAGGCGCGAGCGCAATTAATGTGTGTGTATACAAAATTATATACATATGTGTGTGTATTGAAATCGGCATATCATTAAATTCCTGAAAATTAAGCTGATTCCAACTAAGTGGGTTGCAAAACTAAAATGTTTGAAGAACGATCTGCCGAAGCGGATGACGATCGCAAAAATGTTGCTCGCACAGCATCGGCTCTGAACACATCGGAAGCTGAGAGACGCTCATCGACACCGAAATTCGGAAATACAAATCGATGTATAATTGCCGTTATCGTCTATCTGGCATTATTACTGGATAACGTTCTGTTAACTGTGATTGGTAGGCCATCAATTTCGTTGTGCTTATCAATTTCTTTTACAATTGGACAAACTTATTTTTTATATTATTCTTGTAAGCCAAAAAGTTCGTATCGAATATTATAGTTTTATTAGTATAATGAATCAAAGGCAATACCATACATTAAATTATAATATTTTAGTTTAATTAAAATCGATTTCTAAGTTTTACTAAAAACCATAATCATTGTGAACAATGTTTACTGAAAAACTTGTAATCCCACATATACTCTTCATTTGAGATAAACTGTTTTACAAAACTATAATAGCTCGAGTATATAAATTATAATATGTTCTCAGAAGGAAGCTTTGGTTTGTTAAATTCCGATCCATATTACTATAAAAAAGGTACGATAAAGACATTTTTAATATAACAGAAATTACTGTTATGGAGCTTGTGATATACTCCAGATAGACAAGACGACACCTTAAGGAGAAAAATTATGGCACACTGCCTCATATTCACGAATAAATTTCTGGATTGCAAATGTTTTCCTCCGATATTTGAACCAATAATAATCCGTAGTTCGGGTAAAATGCGAACGATATTCAGTTCCGTTCTTCTTTCATATTAGATTTTTGATATATATAGTAAAGCTCGGTTTTTAAGTAAATCAACTTTTCTCGCTCTTTTAAACATCAACGAATTCATTTATGATATATATGTATGTATGTGTTTAAAATCGGGTTTTCCACATTTACTTTTCGTTTACCCAATTACGAACATCTTATCTTTATACAAAATGCACTCATATTCGCATACAATCCACACGCAGTGCCCATATTGCCCGATTATCTGGCGACTATAAATAACCGGGCACATCACACTCCATTGGAGATGTTCAACAGCCACAACCACACAAGCGATGCTGCCAGCCTTGGTATCGCCAGTCCTTTTATGGCACCACCCAGTTTGGCTCATCGATATATCGATGGCGCACATCAATCCATACAAACAGTTATGACGAAGCATCCGATACCCGGCAAATCGATGGTGAACTTTACGCTGCCGCATGGCGATGATAAAGCGACGTTTTTGTCTGCGGAACATAAGCAATTGCGCTACATAAACGCGGGTGCGGGGGTTGACACAACAGCTGGTACATTGACAAAAAGCTCAACCACCGGAAATACCATAGGCGCCGGTGATAAACCGGTAGAAAACCAGATCGATGAGACAAATTTTAATGAGTACAGGGCTCGTAGTGACGCCAATCCCGCCCTGGGTACCACTACAGCAACCACTGTCACCGACAGCAACCCTGACGGCAAGGACACGAAGGCACATACAGATTCAAATGATAGCTTGACCAGCGAAAATAGCTCCATTGGCATACTGTTGTCCATGAAGGCGCTAGTGCAGTTAATATTCAATCCGATCGTCGGTAATCTAACTGCCAAATTTGGTTACCGTTTGCCGATTGTGGCCGGCACATTTTTGCTGCTCCTCTCCTCATTAGGTATGTGTGTGTATATTGGTATTTTAATTTCGGCTGTAAAACTAAAAATTTTGGATTTACACTTCGCGCATAGTGTTTTCGGTGGGTGAGACTTACGTAGAACTGTTGATAGCGCGCGCAATTCAAGGAATTGGTTCGGCTTGCATTGGTGTGTGCGGAATGAGTCTGGTGGCTCAGGTAAATAGATGTTCAATTATATTATACATGCCAGAAAATGTACGAGTGTGTCAACACATTTTTCGATATTTCATGTTGCAGCACTATCCGGAGGAAGACCGTCGTTCAAAAGTGATGGGCATAATTTTAGGTAGCATTGCCTTGGGTGTGTTGTTGGGATATCCTTTCGGGAGCATACTTTATGATTTGATCGGAAAGTCAGCACCTTTTATAATACTGTCTACAGTGATATTTCTGAATTTGGGTAAGTGAAAAATATATAATTTAAATTATAGTAGTTTTAAGAATAAATGATCGGCCACGTCGAAATCTAGAAGCGTAAAAACCTTATGTTTTTAAAAGCTGTCGGTAATAGACCGCTCTAAATCTCAGACAGTATTTTTAAACTGAACGGTTTGAAGATGAATGTAATTATGAGATTTTGATGATGAAATAAATATGACAATGTTAATGGTGACATGAACTGTGAGTTAAAAGGTACGACTGATCCACTACTACTAAGAATTTAGAGATCCGTATATTACTAAAACACTTTTTACAACTTTGGTTAGACCTATATTGGAATATGGCTAAGTTGTCTTCAAACCTAGCTACCAAATCCATTCTGACAAGTTAGAGTCTGTTCAAAAACATTTTTTTCTTTTCGCCTTAGGGCATTTCCGATGGGATTCTAGGGTAAGTCTAGCTCCATACACTAGTCGTTTAAAACTTATAAATCTACCTACACTTTCTAGTGGTAAGGAAATGCTTGGCATAATACTCTGAAAATCTTGAATGGAGCAGTTTACAGTTCTTTTCTCCTGTCTGAAATTAAATTTAATATCCCGGTTCGCTTTTCGAGGCAGTTTATGACATGACATATACAAGATTTTAATTCTCATTCCAGCACATTTGACTTATCTGACTCACTTTTCAAAATTAAAAAGACTTTATTGTTTTCTCTTAATAAATAAAAATGTAACAATTTATTATATCGTAACTAATCTTGGCTGTTGAAGTTTTTGTTTCTGTAGCTGAGCAGTTTTAGATTTCAACACTGAAAAAACTCTATTGTATTGTAATTTTCTGACTCGGCTAACTCCGCACGTATGCGGATTGCCCCCTCGCGTTGGTTGGGCGGGAGGAGGGTAATCGTTGGGTTATTATTATTATTATCCAGTAGTTATTTCGAATCACCACGACAGTCGGTCATACGAAACAGACCCTGATTTCACTGTTTTCTTTGTTGAAAATTAGTTGGGTTACAAAAATATTAATCAATAAATCATGGCGCCGACGTATGTATAATGTTCTTTTTTTTTAATACTTACCATATAGGAATGCAGCTCCTAACTATGGATCTCTCCATTCAACCCGAGGTAATACATTTTTTTTTATAAACGAATGTCAATATTTAGCATTTGAGTTTTTTAAAATTTACACGTGTTCTCCACAACTCAGGTTACAATTGACAATGATGAACAGCGGCCAAAATGGCGTCCTTTGCTCGAAACTAAAATGATACTTGCAATTGTTGTGGCAATATGGTTTTCCACCTCTACAATGGCTATATTGGAGCCCTGCTTGCCCATTTGGTTGATACAACATCTTCACCCCACCAAATGGCAATTAGGTACGGTGTTCATACCGGATTCCGTAGGGTATTTTATTGGTACCAATTTCTTCGGCACATTCGCTTATGAATATGGACAAGTAAAAATTTCATGCATTGCCCTGCTGTTGGTGGGCATTTCATCGATCTTGGTAAGTAATTACCTATGAATCGGCGAAATGCAATACTAAAATATATAAAGTTGTGTATTCGCAGATCCCTAGCGCCATAACAGTCAGCCAACTACTGTTGCCACACTTTGGGTTAGGACTTGGTATTGGTATAATTGACGCTGCCTTAGTGCCGCTGTTGGCCACTTTCGTTGATGCCACTTTAGCGCAGGAGGAGCAAGACGGCACTGGTAGCGGCAATTCCATGTCAAGCTATGGTACTGTTTATGCCATCCAACAGACTTCTGTCAGCTTAGCTTACTGCCTGGGTAAGTATATACTTTTCGGAATACACAATATATTCTTTCTACTAGTGCTTTATCCGCGTAGCTCCTTTACTGGGCGGTGAGTTGGCACAAACTTTTGGTTTCTCTTGGCTAATGCGCATCGTCGGTTTCTTCAATATATGTTATGGTCCAGTTTTGGTGTTTCTACATCAAAATTATAATCCGAAGGTAAATAAAAACTGGTAAATTCTGTAATAAATAGTTGAGCTACAATACCAGGTGGTTCAAATTCAAGCTTCTTTAGGTTTTAGGTATTTAAAAAGAAAATAAAGGAGAATATAACAGAAGTGACAGTCCATTCTATTACTTGTGTTATAAGAATTTTCAACTGGAGATATTGTGATTTCATGGACGATTTCTACGTTTTTCCTAAGAAAAATAAAATATAAAATTTCCGTAAAATCAGAAAATTTTTATCACCATATGTATTACATACCTACATTTATATACGAGTATGTATATAATGATTGTACATTTCGTTATCTTTTTTTATACCAGACTATACGTGAAAAGCATAACGAGCTGTTGCTAAGGAACAGCGGACGGGACTCTCAATACAAACAGCTTTACAATTCGATCGACATTGAGTAAAAACGCAGCGAAGGATCACTTACATTAGAAATCATTTAATCTTTTATATCATTTATTTAGAAAATATTGTAAATATGCAAATAACCTTAGATGTAAATCATTTAAATGTCGATTAAAATCAAATTAATATAATAGTTGGATCCGATCTGGCCGCATTCCCTAATGTATATCCACCTGTGAAATTATTTTGATTATGTCGTGTTTGCCAGCGTCGGCGGTTAAAAAAGTGTCAAAAAATGTAGAAAAAAGATTTAGATAAGTTTTCGACACTTTGAAAAACATATATAAAAATCTTTTCTTTTCTAAATTCAAAATTCTAAATTTTTCAACTGATTTCCTTTTGACATTGCAAAAACAGTAACATGAGTAAAAGGCCTTTAGGTGAGTATTTGAATTGCACATTGTTAATTTTGTTACCGGTTTTTCCTCTCCATAGGTCCCGGACCCGGCGCTTACATGCTGCCGCCGAATGTCGGCTATGACAACCATGATGCTCGTAAGCAACGTATGCCACAGTACTCGTTTGGCACGCGCTCATACAAGCACGAAAAATTAATTGGCCCAGGACCGGGAGCCTATAAGGTGGATACCTTGACGCGTTATGGCATTAGTCGTGGAAATCAATTTACGATCCAAGGCAGAACATATGTGAAAGGTATTTTTTCCATCCATTTTTTGGCATGTGCCTTCAATTATTTATGCATGTTACTATTGTGTTTGCAGAAAAACGATTTGGCCCAGGACCTGGTGCACATGATGTACATCTAAAGCCGTTCTTTAAGGGCACTGATGCGCCAGCATATTCTATGTCTTGGCGCAATGCCTATAACTTCAAGAGCTCTACACCTGGTCCCAATGCATATGGTGTGGATGTGTCACCAATTAAACCGGGATTTCCAGCATACAGCATGTAAGATATACACATTTATAAATCTCTGAACATACTTTGTAATTTCATATATTGTCTCGTATTAAATACAGGGGCATGCGATGTGGTATATCGGGTAAACAACATTCTCCCGGACCAGCTGCTTATGGTGCTGGAAATCTCTCGGTGAAACTACCACGAAGTCCTGAGTATTCAATTGCCGGACGAAATCCCTACTATTACAAAAAAATTGGACCTGGTCCAAACTATTATGATCTAATGTACTATCGTCCCGGTAAATCGGGACAGGCTTACTCGTTCGGTATACGACACAACGAGTTTGCGCCACCAATGATTGTTAAGTGTGATAATATGTGATTGCAATATTAAGAAGAAATCATATTTCTTATATTTGGGTTCTTATTTTGAAGATAAAAGTTATGCAAGTTTTACTAGATTATACAATTGATTATATGGCAATAATAAATTAAATCGAAATCAGTTCGCTAACTTTTTCAATGCAGTGACAACCTTTATTTACTAGACAGGTTTTCGAACGTCTTTTATACGCTTAAGAAGCTTTTACACTTAATTTAAAACTGGGAATTACATTTTAAACTGGGAAGGCAAAGAAAAGGAAGGGTTTCAATTGGAGAATATCTAGTACTCGGAAGTATGTATGTATATTTATCGTGTAACAACCGGAAATACTGGTGTTACCCAAAGCAAATGTTGGGATATTAAGATAATTTCTTCAGAATACTAAAATTAATAATTTATAGATAAGACCGTAATTACGTTATAGCAGAATTTAGGAGTGAAAAATTGATAAAAATCGAAGCTCTAGTGTAATTGATGAGGCCAATGTAATTATAATTTAATTACGCGAATAACTTTGGTCCGCTATACAACACTAAGTTTGTTCTGAACAGCTGATTATCAATTTCTCTACCGAAATGAACAGAAACAAAACAAAATGTATACCACTAATAACAAATGTCATGCTCTAAACTCTTGCCAAGGCAATTTCTATCACAAAAGAATCTATTTACTTATAAGAATATTAAGGGCAAACTAAATATATTTTAAAGTAAATTCATAAAATTTACATTTAAGACATTATCCTGTTATTAATATATTAATTGCTGTTCATATAAAAAACTAGAATTTATGGTGTTGAAGTTATATCATTTGTGTTACCCTTTGCTGCTAATTGCATTCGCTTTCAATTTTCGTTCGTTTGTGAAGGCAGAAAAATTAATTCCGTTAATTTTGGCACAAAAAATCGAACAAAACAACAAAAAAAATTAGCAAATAGGGGAAAAAATAGTATAATTATAAAATCTTTTTTAGCAAAAAAACGGTAAACACATTATTAAAAAGTGCCCATGTGCATATTTGTCCGAAAACGAAAGTTAACACTAAAGAGAGTAAAGTGGGTGTAGAGTGAGTTATAATTAAGGATCAAGACACGTAAAAACGAAGTTGTTTTATGATGGCAACGAATGCAGATAGTGACCACAATCAGCAGCAGTTGAGAAGCGGTGAACACGAGCTACAACCCAATGATTCGGAAAAATTTCTTCAGGATAAAGGGGCAGCAACTACTAATAAATCAATAGAAGTAAACTCAAACAATTGTTGTGTAAATTCCATTGGATGCACATATGTTCAAGAAGACGAGTCTGTAGAGTCCGAATTTTTGCCTGTAAAACTTGGAACACCTATTACTCGAGAACAAATGCCAACCGACATATCAACTGATAGCGATGCTAAAGGACAAAAGAGTCCTGCTTTGGGGCGTGGTGTTGGCGGCGACTTGCCTGCGGACAATCAATACTTCTTTGAAGATGAAGTTTTCCGCGTTGATAAGAAGGGTCGTGTCAAATTTGGTCTTGTAATTGAGACGTCTGAAACATATTCCGGTGATGAAGATGACGATTTCGATGACGTGCTTCTAAAAGGTGAAGTACGAGTAGCATGGTATCCTGATGGCAAAGAGGAGGTGCAGCCTGAAGGGGCGGTAAGTGGATTAATTTTTCCGAAGACAACCATTTCAAATACTTATTCACATTTTGTTAAGTAAAAAGCATGAAAATAAGCTACAAATACTACGCAATTGATTATGGGTATTATACTCACACATATTCTTTACATTACAAAATAATGATGAGGTTATGGCCACATAAATAAATTTTGACTTGTGTAACCGTTATATAAAGTTAGTGCCTGATTTACATATTGCTGTTACAAATACTTTACCCCTATCAATTAATTATACATTAAAAGAAGTTTTGGTTTCTATTTCATCCAAAAAGATTGCATTAGCTGATCGCACTTTAATGCCAGGTGATGTTGTGCGACGATTGGTGCCGGGCAAGGACACTCAACGCGGTTACTGTCGTGACATTAGCATGCATGCCGATGTCAAAGTGCTGGGAACAAAGTATGTTATTAAAAACGTAATGACAGAAAGACTGCGTCCGATCAATAATTGGCAACGAGATAGCGCCGTTTGCTTAGATTCATGGGTGGGAAGCACCAAGGATGTAGAAGAAAAAGCTGTATTAAGGTTACCGGCAAAACAAATGTAAAACTCAAAAGACTTACATTGATTTATTTTACAGGTCAACTGCCGGCGCTCGCATGGAAATCTCATCCCACAATTTTTTTGGTTTTACTGATTATAATTCCCGCAATACACACGGCATATTTAATCCTCATGTATTTTATCCCGGGAACACTGTGGTCGGACGATTGCCATCTTTAGATGATGTGAAACTATTAACACCTAATATACCGATACATAAAAACAAAAAAGGCAAACCTTTCAAAGCAAAAGTGAGTAGAACTACAGAAAATATATTGTGTTTTAGAACGAAAGTTTTGAAAATATATATAATAATTGAATTTCATAGTATACTATTGAATCAGTTGAGACCGATTCGGTTTGGGTTCACTGGCAATGTAAGGCTCTCTCTGAAGAAAATGCTATTGACACCAGCGTGTTAGAGCAACCAAATCCTTGTGTGAGCGGTGAAGACTTGTTGCGCCTAAAACGCCTGAATCTCTTCGAATCATGTATGGTACAAATAAGTGATCGCAACTACTTAAAATTCTCTAACCTTGATAACTTTATAAAAAAATCACAATGGGAGAAAGAGCAAGGTTTGTCTTATTGTCTTTTATAGAGTATATTTGATTTCTATTATTTTCAGCTAGTAAATTTAAAGTAGCGTTAGCGCAAATCCAAAAAACCGAAAATCAGTATGGTGGTTTAGTCAATTCCGTCGGTCAAACTAATGCCGGCAGTAATAGTTCACATCATATGGAGAAAACCAAAAAGAAGTCAAGTTTAATAGATGCTGATACTAAAAGCGCGAAGCCCAAAAAATCTACATTAAAAACTGATAAGCTAGGCAGTTCAAATAGCAGAGACAAAACATCAAACGAAACTTCTGTCGATCATAGTGCATCCAATTTTCCATCGAGAAAAGCTTCAAAAACCAGTGGAGAACCAGAATGGGTAACAGACGATGATGACGAGGACGACGATGAAGACGTTTACTTCAACGATGATTTCTGTGAGGATCGCGTCAGTACTACAACCTGCTCAAGTCCTTCTCCTCATCATAGCCCGAAACATAGCAAAAGACATCTATTAAAAAAGAAAAGTAAAGTACCTACCAAACGTTCCTCTTTGATGGTTCCAGAATTTCAACCGAAAGACGGCGATGAATTAGTTACCGAAGCTCTTTTAGTATACAGTACTGCCACAGTGGTTTGGCAGGATGGTACCGTGGAGGCTGGCATATCTTCTACACAGTTGTACCCCATACATCATTTAGATAATCATGTATGCTGGCACAATGTAGTACTTTAGATAAATTCTAATAATTTATTGTTAGGAGTTTTTCCCTGGTGACTTCGTTGTATGCGGCAAGGAAGATGGTGATATAACTTATCGCGACTATGGCGTTATACAAATGGTGGATCATCAGGGGCGCACAGCACGCGTCAAATGGTATACAACATATACATCTGCTGATGAACCGAGGTAAGGGTTTATTTGCGTGCCTGGGTTAACTTAATACGAATATGAAAATTTTTACAGGCCGAAATACAATGGCGAGACAGAAGTTAGCGTGTATGATTTAAAAGATCATCCTGATTTTCAATATCGTCCTGGAACTATGGTTATACGCGTTGCAAACTTTGTGGGTGCGGATGCCACATGTACCGCAGGTCAAATCATAGATAATTTCATTGACGGACGAGCGAAAGTGTGGTGGGTTGACGGACATATAAGTATGTGCTGGCCGCAAGATTTATTTGAAGTTGGCCAATACGACCACGCTGATTGGGGACACGATTCGGATGACTCGTGGGAGACTGAGTCTGAAAATAGTGAACTAGGAGGAAGCACGCCAATAATAGCGCTGGAAGAATCCCACATCATAACAAACATTGAGCGTACACGCATTGCTATTGCACGCCTTGAGGAAATTTTCAATATGAGTCCGAATTTGCAGAATGCCGAAGTAAGTCCGATTAGTAATTGTTGAGGTGGTCAGTGACAGTTTCATGTTGTGTGCATATTTAGGTTATGCGTAATTTGTTAAATGTTTACAAAGGTTGTCGCTACTTGGATCGCTTATTAAACACCAGCTTCTTTCACGAAGACAATTTCCAGGTAATAGTTTTCTATTTACGTGTAATAAAACTAACGAAATATTTAAATAAAAACATTTTCACTGTAAGGGTCTAATTGAACGTGTACGCAAAGGCGGAACTCAATCGATTGCGGAGCGCGCACAAGACCGAAAAAATCGTCTATTTAGTTATGTGCAAGCTACCTCACCAAATGTCAAGCATCAAGCTATTGCGCCTCTGGATAGTGTAGAAAAGACGCCGCCAAAACAACTTACCGATGATAAATACGCCGGCGGTGCGCACGAAATCGCCACCATCACTAATACACCTAAGGAATATGCGCCGAAGATACTCTTCAACATCTCCCCAACACCGTTTAAATCCCCATCGTCCGGGACAGGTGGTGGACCATCGAGTACTATCACTTCTCCGTTGGTACTACCTGTGCTGAGGTTAAAATCGACCACATCGATTTCTACTGTAACACAAGCACAATCCACACATAATTTGTTCGAAAACGCTGGGGTAAAGAAAGCCTCTTCAAGTACTACTGAGGCACAGTCAAGTGTTCATAATAGCGGAAATGCAGATATTAAGACCTACACTGGTGGCGCCAATATATCCACGCATCAAAAAAATATTCTGGCACAGAATAATCAATTGCTTAACTCTGCAATGCTCAACATTGAAAGAGCATTTGAGAAAACTTGTCAATTAAAATCAGCAATAGGATCATCACAGGTAAGCTGTTTATAAGTATTGAACATATATATACATATAATTTGTATATGGTAATTACAGGATGACTCTGGCAACTGTTCGCGCAATGAAAACTGTGATGGCAGTTCCACCAGTTACTCGGATCTCACTAACGGTTCGGTGAAAGTTAATGACGATCAAAACTCGATGTCCTGCAGCAGCATTGAATTTAATGAAGACGCTGCACCTGAAATGGATTGTGTGCGCCTTTGTGCTCTACTAAAGGAACAATTGGTTAAATGCATACAACAGATTCGGGAAAAATACTACAAAGGCGAGAATATTAACTTAAGTGAAGTATTCAGTTTTGACGGAATTGAGGAAACACAAATTGAGGACCCTATGGAGGTAGATGATGAAGAGTCAACTGAAGGCCAGGATCCTGAAACGTCCACAATAGAATATAAGCAACAAATAAACCTCACTAAATCCGACCCAGTTGCTATGAGTACACCATCGGAAGCCAATGCATGCATATCGCTGGATTCTGTTCTAAGTTCACCCATTGAATCAATTTCCACTTCAATCGCGAACTCTGAATATTTTCAAGTTTTGCCTCAAGCACCGCCCGGTCACAAGTTTCAATTGACTATTTTTCATCCGAATAATACCCAACAATATTATAGAGCTGTACAACGTGAGCATCGCATGCTAAAGACTTCACTGCCGCCCGGCGTATGGGTTAAGTAAGCATATAATTTTTTAAATAAATACGATATATATATTTACATAAATTATTTGTCTTAACTGCGTAGAGTTTTTGAAGATCGTATGGATTTACTAAGTGTTATGATTGAGGGCCCGAAGAAAACACCGTATGAAGATGGCTTATTTTTCTTTGATATACAACTTGGTCGCGAATATCCGAAGAGTCCGCCATTGTGCCATTACATCAGCTATTGCTCCGATCGCCTAAATCCGAACCTATACGAAGACGGCAAAGTTTGTGTATCTTTGCTAGGCACATGGGCTGGACGCGACTCGGAGGTTTGGGGCACAAATAGCACTCTCCTACAAGTGATCGTGTCTATACAGGGTCTCATATTGGTGCCCGAACCGTACTTCAACGAGGCTGGTTACGAAAAGCAAAAAGGCATGTGTATTCATATAAGTAAGGCACACTTGTAAATCCTTTAATTATCTATTACATAGGCACTCAGCAAGGTAGTGAAAACTCTCGTATGTACAATGAAATGGTTATTATAAAAATGGTGCAGTCATCCACGAAACTGCTGCAACAGCCACCAGAACTCTTTCGACAAGAAATATGCGAACATTGGAATCAACGCGGCCTTTCAATGTATGAACGCATTAATGGTTGGATGGAATTATCCAAGGCCACGACAAATAACCAAAACGAAGAGGCTACAGCGAAAATTGTATCGGAGGAGATGCACCAGCCGAAGCAAACAAATACAAATGAAGGTAGGCAAAAGCGCTTATTTAAGCTCATATCGGTAGATAAATCATTTACAACTTGGCATTTCAGTCAACGCTGAAGAACCCAAAGTTACGTTCGCTTCACCCGATTTTCCACTTGTACCTGCAAGCCGTGGCTTTTGTCTAACATTAGCTGGCCTCTTAGAAACTTTCAATTCAAAATTAGTAGCGTTAAAAGCGGAACGTAAACTACTAGTGGGGAAAAGTGACGCAACAGCGACTGAACGCCACCTTGAATAGAACGCGATATCGGCGCCGTTCATGATAACTTTGAGCCTATTGCTGGCTTAACGGCTTTAGATTTTCAATACTACAATTGAAAATTGTAAAAAAAGGAATAATTTATTTTGTATTATTATTATTATTATTTTTTTTTTTAATAATTTTGCCTTTTTATGGTGCTTATGTCCGTTTACTAAACATTAGTGTGAAAATCACAATTGCATTGCTGTTTAAATGCGCTTAAACGTTGTCATATTTATATACATACACATAGTATATCGCTAGTTTTTGTATTAATGCAAAGTATTAAATGATAAATTTAAGTCACACACCGAAACTCACAAATAAGCATGTTAATTTATAATCATGAAAATTTGTTTATCAAAATTGTAACAAGATAAAATACTTTAGCACTAAGCGAATACAAAATCATTATCACGAGTTTGTTAAATTCTTGGAATCTCAAAAATGCTCTTCTATGTATTTGTAATGGAAAATAAATTGCTAGCAATTCTAATAAACAACTGTATATAACTAAGTATATGCGTGGTGCGTAAATTATGGCACAATTTCAGCAGCAATGTTCGAAAAAGTCTCAAATTTTTGTTAACGATTCAAAATTATTATCAATTATAAATAACTCATAAAGGAAGTAGATTACATATGGATTACTGCACCGTTTCTAGTATTATTTGTTTATTATTGTATTTATAAAATATGGTATACCGTTGGTGTTGAATATTTCAAATTGTGATCTTCATTATTTATAATTTATGCGAAATTAGTTTACATCCACCTGATATTTTAATATTAGTTGTTTTGCCAAAGTAATGGTTTGAGATTCAATTACACTTATAATTAATACTAACATTATATCTTAAATACCATTGGCAATTTTTAGTTATCTACACAGTCTTCAGCACTATTACTAATTAGAAAATTTTGTTTCATATAAAAGTAACTGTAACTAATGTTAAGTGTAATAGTGGCATTACACAGATATATGCATGTATTGTATGTTAATATTTATGAACACCATAGATAAGTATATATATTTATTCGAGTATGTTCTCTCCACTTTGCAGAGAACTGAAGTTTCTGGAGAAACCTAATACATTTGCAACAGAAAGTTGTAGACTTAATTTGCAATCCTTAAGAAAATGTTAAAAATAAAGATAAAACCAAAAAGAAATAATAATAAAGCGCGAAGTGAAGCTAAGAAATGAAAAATATACCAAAGAATGTTGCCTTCTAAAAAACTCTTAAATGAAATTTTATTAACCAACCGGTAATTCACAGCTAAATATGCCACTACAAGAATGTTTTCCTTATTCAAGTAATTGAAAATAAGCGTAAATGGTGGAACACTGTAATTATAAACAATTAAACAAAGAATTAAAAAATAAATAAGAAATTTATAAATTAAAAAGGCGTTCAGTCCATACTACAAAGTTTACACAAATAGTTTAATTTATTTTTATTTAGCTACAGACGTATAATGCAAAATAAATACAATATTTTCGTCAAACAATAATATATTGTTCATACTCGTACACAACACAAGCACACATAAACATCACATGCATACATCCATATACACACATACACATGCTCCGAGCTGTCTTCACAGATAGCACCAACAAGTGTTAATCCTCCAGATTGTTCAAAATCCAGTCTACATAGTAGGTGACGCGCGTGTAAATGCCTGGCCAAGAAGCCATACCACAAGGCTGAATACCGAACGATACAATACCTACTACAAAGTGTGGTGAATTTATCAGACGCCCACGCATCGTCAGCGGCGCCCCGGAATCGCCCTGACATGTGTCCTGCATCGGCTGTCCACCTGCACACAACTGCAGTGTCTTATTCACTGGAGTTTGTATGGTTTGGAACTTTTGCGCACACACGTCCGTATCCCAAATTAGCAGTGAGATGGTCCTTTTCACAGCACTATAGGAGCTCACCTCCGTGCGGCCCCAACCAGCCACATCGGCATATTCATTTTCAAATGTCATTTGTCGTAATACGTTGGAAAGTGGCAGACAAATGGGTCGTATGGTCTCTGAATAGTTAACATTGTCCGCCATGCGTATTAGTGCAATGTCATAGAATTCCGATTGTGAATGTGGTATATACTTATCATGGACGATGATACGTTCGATCTTCACCTCCACATATGGAGGCCAACAGTTTTTATTGCCGTCGGCAGTTTCATAGCAATCAGGATCTGTTCTGGTATCCCACTCACCGAGACGTACACTGTCGAGCTTCCATGTGATCGGTATACTAGGATTCCTAAGACAGTGCGCGGCGCTGAGCACGTAGCGTTGGTTGATGAGCACGCCGGCACAGTTTAGTGCTGTGGCATTGTATGCTAAACAGATATATATACAGAGATTAGGTGGTATTTCGTAAAACTAGTATAAATTTAATGTCAATGAACAGCTGCTTAAACGCAATACAGAACGGGCTGTTACAACAATTCGAAACTGCGTTTAAAAATGATTGAGCTTACTTTGACATACATACGCAAGATATTAGTTATAACATATCTTAATCTGATACCAGAAATTGCGTTTTAGCTATTTTATACGCAACATTCAAAAAAAAAATACTTCGAAATATTTCACAATTATTTCACTTTAATTATTTAAAACTGTACCACACTTGCCATACTACGTAGTATAATAAGTAATTGTAAGTAAGTAACATGTTGCAGCAGCGAATAATAGTTTAGTTCACCTAATGGTTGTTTGTAACACCTAAATCTAATTGTGAAAAATTTAGAGTTAGGTATAAATGATTAGGATGTTCCTTGGCACCATTGCCACACCCACGAAATGCCATTACACGAAAAATTGTAGAAGGCTATAACTGAGCCCCATATTAAGATAGGAAACTGTAATTTGGTAGAGGATAGACACCACATTCGTGGTGTGAAAATTTGTAAAAAGTGGCCATTTCCCGCTCTCCAATAAGTTTACACAAACCTCACTAAATAAATAAAACCAGAAGCAATTAATTTCAAAGTCAAGAAGACAGGAATTAGAATAAAAATTGCACAATAGACGTGGCATCAAATAATGAAACGCATAAAAAACAGTCGCAATCGGATTAAAACTTTTCAAGACCACAGGTATCAGTTATATGGACTTTGACAATATGTGAGTTATCTTTCTTCTGTTAATAATATGTCGTGATGCCAAAAATGAATAAAATCGACAAAAGCTCCCATTTACTTAATACGTAAGATATCTTAGCAAAGATAAGTCTACATATAATATCTGATATACTATAGTTTAATTCTGAAAATGTGTGAAATCAGTCCACGAATTACTTCAGCATTATATTGCATATAATGATTTTCTTCATTTTAGCAGACTTTATGGTATACCTAATATATCGATCTACATGTGTGTGAATTATCTTCATAAAATTATGTGGAAACATGTTCTCGAGTACACTTGAGTAATGCCAAACGTTATTGAGATAAGTTGAGACCTTCCATTATACTCCTAACTTCAATATACCCGTTATAGTGATTTCCAATTTTCCAACTACCTTTAAACCGTTTATGTCGGTCAATATGTGTGATATTGTAATTAAATAAAGTTTTCTAAAAATAACTTATGTACATAAATACCTCGGACTCGAAGCAAAATGTAGTAATAAAAGTTAGTGAGTCTATGACCTATAACTATAAGTTAATAAGATATCCAATATGATTGTAATCCATTCAAAGTTTCTTCGGATAATTAAAGTTGAATGTTTATGCAATATTTTTTAATATAAAGTTTTGCAACAGCTAAAAGTATTTCCCCGGCTTGGATATCAGGTTACAAAATGGTTATACCCGAACTTAGCGCTTTCTTATTACTATAGAGGTATTAAATATTTGTAATGACTTTATTGATCTCTCATAACTACAGAAATGAGCTATTTTTATACAGAACTTACGTCTCTGGTACTTTATCAGTGCCGACCACGGATATTCATCCACCTGGGATTCTACGCCGCCAAAAATTCGCATACTGAAAGTGATTCCGCAAGTGCCTGGTGGTGGTAACATTTTACCCGATTCCCTATCGTTATTTTCCGCATTTGGATTATCTGGACAGCAGACCTAAGCAGAAGTAAAGCCCCGTTTATTTACATAGTTTTTTATTCACATCATAGCAGATGGGCTTACACGTGTCTTATCCGCTCCTGATGTGGCATTGACGTCAGAGCCACAGAAACTATTACGCAAATGATTTAGTATATTATTGTCTTTAAGAACAAAATCGACTAAATAAAGTAAACTTGGGCAGTCGGACAACGGTACGCAATGACCTGAAACTCCGACAGGTGTGTTGCAAACGCCATAACTCACAAACACTAAAAGAAGATACGAAATTATATTAGTCAAAGAAGCGCTATTTTTTTTTTTGTTTTTTTAACAAAAACGCTCTAGCATATTATTTACAGTATGTAACATTTAACTTTCATAAGAGAATTTTAAAATTAACCGTTCTCGAGTGTTTCGCTCAGAAAAAACGGTTCTTAATTATATATTAGTATAGCTGGGAGGAGAATCGCTTACAGAAAAATGTCTAAATAAATTTTAGCTCTGATAAGGGATTTTCCTATTTTTTAGCTAAGTTTCAACCTTTCGTATGTAACTATTTGGCCTATAACTATAAGTATTGTATATTTGTGCGGTTAACCAAGAGATAGCGTAACTTGATTATTATTACATTGTTCTAATATTCCGAACATGCTTTGGAAAGCTACGGCCTTTGCGTGTCTGACATATACTGAGTCAACCATTTAAAGTTTAAACAACAATAACTTATTTACTCAAATATGTCGAACTTTGTGCTTGAAAAAGGTCTTTTGCGGGGAGTTGTTCTTCTTTACTTTAATATGAAGAAAACCTCAAATGAAAGTCATCGTATTTTCGTAAAAGTTTATGCTCGAACTGAGCAAACGTGCCAAAATGTGGTTTGCACGATTTAAAATTGTGATTTTGGCTTGGAAGACGGAGAACGTCTTGGGTGACCAAAAGAAGTTTGAAAATGAGTAACTGGAAGCATTACTCGATGAAGATTAGTAGCAAAAACAAAATGTTTAAAAGCATACATTCATAACCCAAAGTGCCATATGAATTGAAATCAAAAGACCAAAAGAGAAATACCAGGGAAAATGCTATTGCTTCAAATGGACAATACTTTGCATAACTACTATACATATTAGAGAATAAACGCACGAATCTGTATAGTTATAGTAGTCAGTTTATTATGTAATAAATTTATACACAAATATGTAGCACAGTAATTAAATTACAATAATAATAAATTTATTTTCATAGTGCTAGTGTTTAGCTATTTAGTCGAAGAGGTCGAAACCGCTATATAGCTGTGGAAGTGTTATTGTATTCCAATAAATTTTGAGCTGGATTTAAAAAATAGCTTCTAAAAAAATAATATTGACAATTTCCCTTTATTTTTAGATCGACTAAAATAAGCTACATATTTAATATAAGTACGCTGGTTGAATCCAACGTCTGATTAATTTAAGAGTGATTCATATTAAAATCTGGGTATTTATTTTATTGATCAACTTTGTACATCATTAGCGTGCTAATTACGTACATAAATACATGTTATTATTCAGCATAAAAAATAAGGAATTGTAAATAACTAGACAACTTGCTCATGCAGTGCGAAACATTCAATTCAATTGTAGAGAAAAATGAAAACCCCATTGTAATAAAGGGGTTTTAAATTACAACTGGTGAATGGCCTATGCGAATATTTTTCAGAAAGTGAGGGAATAAAAATTTAAAAACTAATATAAAGTCGATTGAAACATTATACATTTATGAAATGATAAACATTATATCAATACCAATACCCTACATTCGATATAAGCTACTTGTATACTTATATATACGAGTATGTATAACCGCAGTAATAATTGCCAGTTTATAACTCCATATTTTAATGAGGTTTTTTGAGGTTAGAAATTTATTAATTAAACTGTTTTGTGGTTTCTAAGGGTGTTTGTGATATTTTTGACCACATACCCGAAATCTGCGTAGAACACGCGTTTGCGATGATAACCTCACAATACCGTGTATCCCATAGCATTAATTTTTAACACAGCGATAATAAATATTTTGTAAATTTATTCGAAAAACAGGGATCAATACTGTCGACATTTTAAGAAAAACATTACAATTGGAAGAAAAACGAAAAAAAAAAACATGGCAAAAGTTAATTATTTGGTTTCTTAAATTAACTGGATTCTTATTTTAAAGAATACCGTTGGGTGAAGAAATGGATGATGGAATGGATAAGCCTATTTACATTAACGTTCAATTCTAATTTTGGTGAAGATTTAATATTATGGGATAATTTAACGTGAATACAGTTATTGGTAAGCACTTCAGGGTTTGTAATCACGAAAAATGTATAAAAGCACAAACACACAACTACACAGAGGCTGGGAAACCCCATTGGCATTGTGGTTTGACTGGATACCTACCAGTGTTTACGGCCAGTATGTAGACAGCGACGAAGAGACAAAACAATAATTCGATTGCCCTTAGCATCATTGCTACCGAGAAATCACATACAATTTATTAATTATATTATTGCATATAAAAAATAAAAATGCGCTCTTGGAAAAATCAAATCCGTAAGTGGATGTGTCAATGCGTCAACTTAATAATAATCGCTAATTTTACGACACTTTGGCTGATACTAATCAAGTATTCCGAGACTAATTACCGACACGTCCGAATCACCCTATAGCACTGCCGCCGTCTACTAACTAGCAGCAACCCAGCTCAAGCTCGAACTGAACAATAATATTTACTGGCAGTTTTAAAAGCTTACGCTCTGTATTTTTTACAAATAATCTATAAATATACGTGCATATGCATCTAACCTATACATAAGTGCATACTCGTACATACGTGTACCATATACCTACATATATGTATGTACGAGTAAGCGATAAGCTAGGGCGCTTAATCAGATACTCTTAACATTTTAAGACCCTTTGCTTCTCATTCAAGGAGTTTTATCAGTAATATTCAACTTATATCAGATATGCTCAGCCAGCATCTGGGCTATATGCAAATGTAGTATATTATATATACATTGGTGGGTACAACAGCTGTTGAGGTAATTTTGGAAGTTACTTATGGGTATGTTGGAATTTTATCGGTAGGGGTTTTCAGTTTGAACCCATATTAAAGAGAAAATTTTCGAATGTATGAGTACATATAGATTAAGATTTAAGCAGAAATAATGGTTTGCTTGCACAATTATTTTGATAACGTGTTTTATTTTTCAATCGATATATGTATGTTCATACATATACATATATGTGCATTCGTGCCTAGGAAATATTATAATGATTAATATTACTATAAATAAATTGAAGTTGCTAAGATTTCTCGGAAACTCTATATAGTCTTCGAAATCTAATGAAATTCTAACTAAAATTTTAGTTATTGATTTAAACGGGGTTAAATAAAATGCTGATACCATAATCACCACCATCAAATATATGTATATAATATTGTATATGTTATATGCAGCGAATATACCATATGTATTTGAATATATTATATATGTATATATACATATATTGTATAAATCTTAAAAGCGTTTTCTTAATAATCATAAATGGTGAGCTTAGTTTGTTAAGTTTCTCAGTTAAGATTTTCTATAATACCTGGAGCAATCTTGCTCTCAAACATAGACCTCCACTTTAGAACATACATACATATCGGTATTTTATACATTATTTACCTCAAATTTTAAACTTAAAGATGTACCACATATTGACATGGCCTTTTAGATACAAAAAGGTTGGGTACGAAAGTTTGACCGTGTTAAGCTGGTATACAAATAAGTTTTGTCCGCCAATACTACAAGTATTACCTCAATGAATCAATATTTATTTTGACGTTTAATATAACCGTTTCATCTTGTTAACAATTTGTTTACATTTTAAGTTCATTATGCCACTGCAAAATACAAAGTAATTTTATAATGAACATTATGCTTTTAAATGTTTTAATGTATTCAACTTGGCAATTATAGAACTCTTTCCATTATCCGGATAGAGGGATAACACACGTTCCATATTAAGATTGAAAATTTCTGTTAATGAATTCAATTTGATCTGTAATACATTTTTTCTGAACCAGTAGTCCAAAAGTAAATTTATTTTAAAAAAGTTCGATTTTGTTATCGATTTTTATACCTCGAACGAGTTTGGCATGACATTTGTAACACCCAAAGGGAAACGTCGAAGACCCTATAAAATTTATAGTTATCTACGGCAACTAGTGCCACAGTTTTTGAGATATCTTTTTAAAATTTTGCACACAACATTTTCTCCCCAAGAATCTGCGCAAATTGCCCATATTGGAACACTATAGCATATAGATGCCATACAAACTGAACGATCGGAATCAAGTACTTGTATGCAGAACTGACCGATCAAAATCAAATTCTGTAAGGAATATTTTACATTTGTGAAGGGTATTGTAGCTTTTGTACCACCTAAGTTAACGTTTTTTCGATATTTTTTTTCTTCTTTTTTTAATTTTGTGTCGTGATCAACGCTTAAATTGTGATAGTTGGAAATAAATTATCGTGTGACATGTTTAATAAAGTGTGAACAAATTATTTATTGAACACGTCTACAGTCTAAGAGATTGATCGAATTCGATTAACTTCCATCTCAGTTTAAAACAGGAGTGTCTCCTTACTGTTATTATTAACGGAAGTCACTGATATAACCATTGCGCCCAACAATAGTCTCTCTTTTTAAGTTTATGTTTGTATTGAACTGATGTGAAAGTACACAATTTACACATTAAGTTCGATATCTTGGTATAAAAGGCCTCCTAATAGGGGATATTCTGTGCCACAAAATATATTGTAAGTAATGGTTCCGTCCTTATTTAAAATCCGGTAAAGTTACTAATTCATATCCACTTGTACTACATATTGAATGGATGTATATATCATGTAATGTGAAGAGTCTCTATGCGCGTACATGAAATGAAAATCTTCATAAATTCTACACCAATCACACATTTTAATTAAAACTTCAAGTACAATAATACAATAGCAATGAAATGTCTCAATTATAAAATATACTTATGTATATTTCTTTTCATAATTAAAAATATTCAATCTTTTTACAATAACTGTTATTACTGTTGTTAGGGCTCCATTGCACCTTTTATCCATTCCACGTAGTTACCCACGCGCGCGTAAACACCTGGCCAACCGTTATAACCACATGGTTTTGGACCAAAGGAAATAACGCCTGCCACAAAATAAATAAAGCGATTATTTATTAACTCAGGCATCATCAGTGGTCCACCAGAATCACCACGACACGAATCAATTCCACTCATGCCACCAGCGCACAATTGGTGCGTGCCATCGATAAAGCGATTCGACGATTTATAAATGATTTTACACTTATCCGTTTCCCAGATCCCCACATTAATAGCCATTTTTACTGGCGATGAGGCAGCTTTGGGTTTGTTTGTGGCTCCCCAGCCAGCCACTTCCATTGTGCTGTTCACGAACATGCTGTCACACAAGTCGGTAGATGCCGGTAAACAGATCGGACGTATGAAATCGGTATATGACACACTCTGCTCCAGACGCAGTAAAGCTATGTCGTAGAACTGTTCATTTGAGTTGCTTATGTAGTTGGGATGTGCTATTGCCTTTTCTATGCCCAACTCAGTGAACGGCGGTGCGCAAGACTTCTTGCCGTTTATGTCCACCTCACAGTCAGGATCCGTCCTAATATCCCATTCACCCAATCGAACACTATGCAAAACTCTTTCGTTGTTCGAATTGCTTCGACTTATGCAATGCGCAGCCGTGAGCACATAACGGGAATTGATTAAACTGCCACCGCAGAGAAATTCCAGTTCATTACTACCTGTATTAAAGGGCAATATACAAGTAGCTTTGATTAAGTGAGTTAGTATTTAATGCCACATACGTGTTTTATATCGAAGTAAGGCCATCCATGGATAGTCTAAAATTCTTGTCTTATTACCGCCATATATAAAGTCTGAAATCGTACTACCGCATTCACCGGCAAAGGGTAAAACATTTCCAAGGCCCTCTTGCCTCCCGATCCTTATATGTGAAGTTGGGTCTTTCAAGTGTTTTTCTGGACAACAAACCTGCATCCAAAGAAAGATCAGATAGTCTAATATATTTGAAATATTTGAAATTAGTTCAATATAAATAGAAATAAGTAATAAAACTCATCAAGCATATTGCCATAGTAAATAAAGTTGTTGCAGTTTGCAGTGCGACACATTCGTTTTTCATCTCACGAACAAAATCGTCAGTAGCTCTTTTCAAATGAAAGAGAACTAAATTACAACCCCTGCGTACGAAGAGTCGGAGTTTTCACGAGAAATAAATGAAACCCTTTTATCAATATGCAGGGGATTTTGTAGGCGAAACTTATACGCTTGACTATAACCACCCGTGTATTTGCCCCCTCGCACCTTCGTAGATATGATCTACCTTTCCCTATAATCAAAACAGCTCTTTTCTAAAAAGTTAGAAATTTCGGGATTTCTAATGACCATATTAGTCAAAACAAATTAGCATTTTCTGTGTTTTTTTTATGTAATATTGATCTAGCAATGCATCAACGACTTTCTTCTAAATTAATTGGATAACGGTTTTGTTTATGTACCATAAACCTCAGTGAAGTGACATATATTGCTATTTGCTTGTATATATATATATTTATATCTACATAATTGACGGTTCAACTTTCCCGAGATTCTCTTATTCGGAGTTTGCGCCTTGATGCCATCCGACAAATGGAATGAACTATAAGTTTTACTCTACTAATGGATTTCATTGAATAAATTTTAAACATAGGATATTTGGCATTGCCTGTCTAGGGGCTACTACTATCAGAACAAAGCCGGAACTGGGGTCGAACCAGCTCGTTGTTGTTTTTCGTATTGCAGTTATCTGCAATCCTGTTTGGGGAAAATGTAAGTCATGGAAGTCATTTAACGGTAGGTCCAGGAAATGAACGAGTTCAGCTGATCAAGCAGAATAGTTGTTGTTGGTATATCGACAGCAAGTCATGTTTTGTTGTCTGAATTCACTCAGATTTATTCAGGTTGTCATTGGCGCTAATTACCGTCAGGTTGTAGTCAAGTCGATTTTGAGTAGGAAGGTGCCATACGAGTGAGTGTAAAGGATATATAAAGATGCTGTTAGTTGTAAGTCTACTAAAGTGTCTACAAATCAGAAACCTGAGGGTTGCTCTTGTTATTTTGACAATCGAACATAATAACATATGTAGGATCGAAAGCAAACCCAGCGCAGCGATAGTACATGCATCACAGAATGCTCTCTCAATGCTAAGTTTACTCACCACAATTCGGTGTGAATTATCTTTGAAAGTGTTGTCATAGCCACATTGACTTTTTCGGAGTTTTTCCTCATTTTCGGCATTCAAAGGCCCAGAAATGATGTCCACAATAAATTGACACTCGATTAACTGCACACAGGTACCGTTGCCATTGAAAGGTGAGACGCAACGGCCATAAGTAATCGCGGCTGTTGTAATACAAAATCAAATGGTCAATGTGGAAAAAGTAAACCGTCATCAGCGCCTGCTTTGTGATGCACTTACAAATGTTAGGCACAGTGTAAAAAAACATAAGCAATGCAATGACACATGCGTTGATTAAATGCAACATTTTGCTAAATATTTAAACAGCAATAACAACTGCAATCAATTAAAATACTAAACGAGTTCTTTAACTACAGCCAGTTGAAAACTTAAACACGTCTACGTCCAGTACCTATCACAGGCATTACTAAACTCTAGCAATGACTTGAATGCAGCTGAGCTTGGAAAATAAGACATAACCAAACAGCGACTCTCATTCGCTATCTACACACGCTTGCTTATTGATTTCGTCGAAACGCTCGTTATATGCACTGTATGCCGTCTTGATGACGATAAGACGCCTACTATGAGAGTGGGGTTCTCCGAGTTACCGAATGCCTCTTATAAACATTACTCACGGCGCTTAGCTCTTCTAACTGCATAATGATGGACAACGAAAGTGTTCAGAAATCATGGCAAACATTTTTTCTATTTGAATAGAAAGAATACGCCGCGCCCAGTTTAATTCAAAAATGAAATACGTTTTTTACTCTCTGGTCGACATGGTTTTCGACCCAATACATGTGCTAAGCTTATTTATTTATGTATATTCATGTTGATTTAAACATGCGTATTTTAAACACCGTGCGCTACACTCGCGCGCTTTTTTTTATTGATTGCTGAACGAAGCTTAATCGGTCATTTCCATTACTTCCGAGATAAATGTGTACTTGCAAAATACAAATAAAAATTTCCTACGGATTGGATTATGATGAATAGTATTTCGGAAATTCCTAATATGAGTAAAACGGCCAATTTATTTCGTTATTAGTTCGAATCCGAATGCGACTTTGAAGCTTCTTTTGTTTTTGAAATTAAGAATAAAACTCCTTTTTTTTTGTTTTTTGATGCCCACCTTTTGCGTTGTTCATTGGTTTTATTCCAAATATCTAATAGCACTAAGGATAGGCCGTTATTTTTATTATATTGTGGAATAATCATTATAGTTGTTTAAGATACTTTGAATGTATTTTGAGTCTGTGCTGCTTGAATTATCGATTATACAAATATGTACGAGTTGTCTGTCTTTAATCTCTACAAATAACTACGATTAACAATTCAATTTAAATATTTTTGTATATAAAAAATGTTTTTTTGCAATCTAGATGCTGGCTTTTCTCTTATCAAAAAATAAACAATCGAATAGCAGATTCCAATTTCATACACATAAAATTAATTTACTTTTGCTGTTTTAAATTTAAATTCTCTTGTTATTGCCGTATGTGTAAACTGGTTGGAAAGCTTCACCATCATCTCCCTCGCCATTATCGGAATCTTCGCTATCGAAAGTGTTGTCTGGAATATCGTACAAACGGATCATGGGCTTGTTGGGATCCTTCATAATCAGATATTTGCCATCCTTCTGTTTCATTACAATATCGATAATGCACCGTAGAACACCCCAGGCATTATCCATGCTCAAATTGATTTGCGTAGCAAATTCATGTGGTTTAAATTGTTGGGTTCCCAATATGACATGTCGTGAGGGATCTCGTGGATTACTACGGGAAACATAACCTAGCTTCAATTGATCGGAACCGGCAAGCACAGCTTGTACGGTCCATTTGGCTAGCTTGCAGGCATTATTACGCAATTCGTTTGCCAACACAGCGCCGCGTTGGGTATCCAATTTCTGACGCCATTCAACTCCATTCGCCAATTTTGAGTCCCATTCGTTTAATGCTTTGATCGATAAGAATTGGGGTTCTCCATTTGGTGATTGCAATACACCATCGTGTTCACAGCGAGCAACTAAAACCTATAGTGATATAAGTAAATATTAAATTCCGCACTTTAAACGAAGTATTCTATATTTGTTATACTTACAATGTCACTGCCCAAGTTCCACTTCTTATAACGGTAGCCAACACTAGCAACTTCAACATCTTCATCCTCAGTTATGAATGGATTGGCTTCTTGGAACTTATACTTAGGTTCCTTGTCGCCGGTTTTCAGCACTTGCTGACTGAAATTGTGGTTTATGAATGTTGCTTCGATTGCCAAATTTCGTGGTGAATTGGGAGAACTATCGTCGTCAGTTGGTGGTTCAACAGATGTTTCATTGACGGTCAACAAATCAAACTCAGTGTTGTCTCGCTTATCCATGAAGATTTTATCACCTGGAATTATAGAGATCATGCCATAAAATCAGTACCTTAAATAAATTAATAAGGTTGACAATAAAACTCACCAAACTTTTCAATAACAATATCCCAAGAGTAATTAGATCGTGTGGAACACATAATGGTGGCCAAAATAGCATCGGTAGCAAAAACGTTGCCCACAGTTTTGGAAAGACGACGAATAACGGGATCATCGGTAGTAGTGACAGTATGTACAATGCGATCAATTTTCTGTAGCGCCTTCTCATTCTTCACATTAATGCGGTCATAAGTTTTGTCATAGTATTCAAGAGTACCGCACGTTATTATGTCCTCACCCTCTTTGATATTTGGCAGCGAAAGTTTAGTCAGACGTGGGAAGTCCATTTCTTCAATTGAGGTCCAGTCTGAACGGACAGCAACAGACGATTCCCGAATCTTAGGTGGCACACCACGCGATCCAAACTTTTTACCCATACCGCGGCGAGGATCACGGGCTTTGACATTTTTCCCACCCAAAGTAGTCATACCAGAATTCAATCCTCCACGTTGATTGCGACCACGGGCGGACCTGTAGCGAGTGACAATACGTTACAAATATACTTTATTAGGAAAATAATGTGGAAACATACCTGTTGTTGCGCATGTTTGAACGGAAGCGTCCACGTTGATGAGGTGGCTTCTGTATGCGAGCCGTATCAACGAGATGGAAAGTAGTCTCATCTTCCTCATGATAATAAGCATATTGATTGCCAGTACCGAATGACGAGGCGTACTTATCTGTAATAGTTAATCAAAATCAAGATTTATGATAAAAATGTTTTCGCCTCGGTTGTGGGGAATCATTAAGCAAAATATAAACTTATTTAAAATATACTGATTTTTTATGATTTTACAAAAATGTTAACAAGCATTAGCGCAAAACTACCGTATAAGTAATAATAAATGATTTTTTATATATTTAAGGAATTACGAAATATTGCAAACACGAAATTGCTGCTCGCCTCTGTAAATGTCGTTATAAATGATATGTAAACAAAACAGCGACACGCTTTTTTTATTTTTGCTATTTTACAGATTTGCAGTCAAGATACGTTTGACATTTCTCTTTCAAGGGAAATTTTAAGCTTGCAAAGGTGAATATGGCTGCCACGATTCACCAGCCAGACAACATAACCTCACAATTTAAAAAAAAATCGACCAATCCCTGTTCCACAATTTATACAACACTTTAATACAAAACTCACTTTGGTATTTCTTGTCGTTATTAGAACTGCTGGTCCAATCACAAATCTTCCCTAGGCGATCGCTTTTGCTGAACGGCTGGTATGGCATATCGCGAAAAGTCTCCGGCAATTCACATGGCCCCCAGCCATTTTCATTAAATTGCACTGTCGGCTTTTCAAAGTGCGGAAACTGTTGACTAGTATTTATAGTCTCACTCATTGTTGCTATTTTTACTTAATTTCGCGTAATAAACCAACCTTTTCTATTAATTTTAGCACTTTTTCTTGCTCCACCGTTCAATTGATGACAAACGAAATGAAAGAAAAAGAATAGACCAATACGTCAATATCATAGTATAAAGGAGTAGCGAAAGTGCCCATTCACAGTACTTTTCCCTCTGAGGCGTACGTTCACAATATAAACAACATGGCTGAGAACGGGTTGCGCATAAAAAAACCAAACAAGCAACACTGTTACGCAATGCTCAAGTTTGGTAATACTGGCAACACATTTGAATATTTTTGACATGGACAGACTTATTTTGTTTTTAATATAATTATTATTTTTGTATAAATTTATAAAACTTGTCTCCAGGGTCGTTGAATAAGCATTTTGTGTATCCCGTTATTTGACAGCTTGCTAATTGCACTTACATTTTTCGGTGGTGAACACTTATTAATTTACTACAGTTAAAAAGAGGCAAAATATATATCTTAATTATGCTGGAATTTTCCAATAATAGTCGCTCATTTAAGAATATATATTAAAATCAATCAAGAATATATATATTAAATCTGACTGATAAAATACTAAAATTTTACATAAAACTAATATTTTTGGGACAACTTTTTCATAAATTAAAAGAAAATATCAATATGCAACCATTTTCCGGTCAAAAGTCGGCCGTCTTGGATGTTAATAGAAACTCAACCCCTAGGCAAACTTGACGTATCTCGATTGAGACTCAGAGAATGTAGCTTTGTTTACATCTGATCAGCTGATAGTTTCTCCTCTCCCTTTTTACGATAAATACTATTTTGCAATTTTGCTTCTTCTTCCCATAAATGACAATCCAAATGGATAACTGATGTAGCCAGATATTTAGAAATAACCATGATAGAATAGGGTAGCAAGTAATAAAGAAAGTTACAGTCGGCAAATCAGTTAAATATTGTTCTTTAGTTACTTGAAATTAAGTTGTGAAATTATTGACTATCAACTTTCTAAGTGAATATTAATTTTGTTGTTGCAGTTATTGAGCTATGCAAAGCTTGTTTTAGTATAATGGTATCATTTAAGACAAGTTACAACACCAAGTCCTTTTAACGGGGTTGGCCCACGGAAAGAGGTAAGCTATCAAACTCTCCATTTATAGATAAGTTTGATATGTCGAGATAATTCTACCTTAATTTTGAAGGGTTTTACCTGCAACAAGTAAAAGAGAAAATGAAGATTTTAATTATCTTTCTGTGCAAGACGTCGATTGGATTTGTAGGTTTATAAGGGTCATGCAGGTATTGTTGTAAGGTGGTGTTTATCAGACATGAATAGCCATCTTAACACTGTCCAACGTAGAGTCCTCGTAGTCCATATCGGTGTAGCGTAGTTCATTATTATGTGGAGTGCAATTCGCTGAAAGGGCTGTCCAATAAGTACTTAGCCTAACCGCCCTATGGGGACACTATCGCAAAAGATCGTCAAAAATTGGTTTGACAAATTTCATGTCGGTTTTTATGAACCTGTAATTTTTTAAGATGAAAACTATTTGAGAAATAATTCGCCATTTCCAAAAATTTTTCCGGCTGTCGTGGGAACCGTATAAAATTATGTTCCCAATACCAGCTACGCTCTGCTCTATTAGATATCAAACGTTAAGTCTCCCCCGAAGGAAACTGAATTGTTCCGTCTGCTTCCAATCAACATATGTATCTTTTTTTATATAAACATTGATATCAATTGAATTGATTTGATGACAATTGAATCGAATTTTTATTGCATATTTAATAATATTGATGTGGTTGTTTAAGTATTGGTGGCGAATAAGCTTTATTCTGAATTATACCTTATTCTCTTAGTACATTGAAGCCTGAGCCATTCGACTAGTTAGAACACGAATTTCTCAACTATTTGTAGTTTAAGCTGAATAAGCGGATAAGCAATTGACTATCTGAATATCAATAATATATAATGAAAGATGTTGCCAAGAGTTTTAATTTAAGTTTCAATGCCAATTTAGATGAAAACATATTGCACACAATTTTGAACCATTCCATTGTCCAGTTGAAATCATTAGTTAAGTGACGTACACTATATAACGAAGGGCTAACTTAGTTCAAGAATGGAGTCTGGAATTTCTTTTTCAAAGTATAAGTATATGTATGTAAGTAAGTATACCTACCTCGATGCAAACATTTTATAGCATAGAGTTATAACGCTTGTTGCGTTTTTGAAAACACATACAAGTATAAGTATGATTAAAATATATGTATCTATCTATAATCCTACATCTATTCAGAATATACATACATAACTATTATACTCATAGAAAATTATTGCTACTAGTACCTTAGTATTACTAATAAAAAACTTATTCGCAAAAATTCAGTGATCAAACGATATGTCCCATGTTTTTTAAAAATTACGCAATTATTTATTTATAATTCCCAAAATTGTTGATCTAGGTGAATATTCATTAACTTTGTTTAGAGTTGTTAATAAATTGTGTTGTTCGTTGATTTACAAATATTTTGAGTAATATTATAATTATTTATCTTTAATGATTCACATAATGATATTATTCTTATTATTTATTGTTTCATACTTTGTTTGCTAGTTTCAATGATTACGGTAGTTTTCCGTTAACGAACAATATTTTTACGTTAATTGAGAAAGCATTTTGTGTAAAAATTTTTTATACATGTGCATATTTTAAATATTAAACGGTTTTATATATATTTGTAGTTTGTTATTGTATTGCTCATTTCATATTTCCACAAAAAATTTATGTACATATGTATACCCATATACTTGTATGTACATACATACCTCTTTCTTCTTCCATCTCTGATATTTTCATTAGCAATAGTATTTCAATATTAAAAAAAAAGTATTTATTTAATGTAGAAATTGCATGAATTTCCCTCTTTTAGAACACATATAATCTGATAAAATTTGACTCAGACTGGCCCATATTAACTGCGCACGCAAGTAGAATCGATTGATAAAACTTCTTATATGTTTGTATGAAGTTTTATCTGCGTGAAAAATTTTTCTGTCTATTTTTATCATGAAAAATAAATCGATCAACGAGTTTGCATGAACCTTTTTGTTTCCATTCGAATCACGACTTCGAAATCGTTTAAAAAGTTGTAGAAGAGTTTAGGAGAGTTTACTTTATCACGAGCACATGTATTTGAGTGTCACAAAGCATTCCGTGAAGATCGTGAAGTCATCGAAAATTTGCTTCTTGCGAATCGTTCAAACGTCAGCGTTAATGGCGATAACTTTTGGTGTCGACAAATTTATAGAAATAGTGCTTGAAAACGGTCGAATTGGTAACAGAAAGATAACAGTGGATCTCAACATAACTTACAGACCGACTCAACATACCTATTTAGGGTATGAAGAGTGTCAATGCTAGATTTGTATCAAAAAGCTTGAATTTTTTTCAAAAATGACATGGAGTAGGGATCGCAATAGAAATGCTTGACAACGTAGCTGAAGATCATAAATTCATCAAACGCATCTTTGCATTTAGGAATATGACGTTGAAACTGTTGAGCAATCTAGCGAATGGGACTCTAAAAATGAGCCGAAACCGAAAAAACCTAAATTCGCTGAGGGCCATTCCAGCCGAGCCTTGTAACAAGTCTATGGAAAATGGAGTAAGCGTTGGCATGCTTGTTTTGGATCAGGATCATATTTTAAAGGCGGTAATTAAGTTTTGTATTAAAATATGTGAAAATCTTGGTTTTGTTTATTAGTCCGGGCCAAATTTGATCATATGGTATCCACATATTTACGTTGGTTGGTATGTATATATTCAAAATATCTAAATACTCGTATAACTATGTCGTTATTGAGGGTGGTTTTAGTCTTTGAGTTTCACTCTACATAATTAGGGGTGCCTATCACATTTACTCAAATGGTTACAACTCCATTTCACATATTTTTATGCAAGCTTGAGTCACTCGATTAAGTGCGTCGCTCTCAGCGTGATTTATAAGGTAATAACATATTTATATATATATATTATATATCCTATATATATTAATGTCACTATTGGGAAAATAAAGTTTTTCGAAGCATTTCACAAACGAATTTACCATTTACTTACATACTTATAAACAAATATTGATAACGAAAGCGTACACATACCATAGTCTGCTCATAAGGAGTTACGCGGCTTGTAAACAGATACAATACGTACTCGCACTTACGCATTTACTCCATAAGTACATATCTAACGTATTTGAGTGCACAAGTTAAGCAGCATTAAGCTTATTTTGGCATGTGCTCATCGTTCTATCGGCAACGTCTACGTTCATTTGTAAAATGAAAGTAGAAATATATGTACAAATGTAAACTTCTGTATGTGTACATATTTATGTACATACACATGTATATATTATAGAATATGTATAACCGTTCTACGCCAACTCGAAAACCAACGAAAGTTCAGTCAGTCACATTTTCGAGTTCTAACCATTCAGATCTCTTTGGCGAAACACCCGCATAATTAAAAACTTCGAAAATTACACAGTCTATATTTGAAACATCAAATTAGCAATACTTTAATGAAATTACAAAAGGGGTTTAGAATTGTTGGGCATAATGAGCGGTGTAGTGGTTATTTTTAGCAATATTTTAATAGAATTGTATGTGTAAACGCATACATACCTAGTATATTTGAATTTCGTCGCATATGTGCAGTTATAGTATGAACAAGCTGATGAAAACACAGTGCGAAGTACAGAAGTGACGCATGAACTCGTAAAAATATTTAAGTAACATGCATATATATATACACCAATAAAAAGAAAAACAGTAAACAAATATGTATCTAGTTGCTCAACTGATTGTTTGTCGCTATCAATAGTATCAGCCAGTTCTGTGCACATTTACCGCTTCAAGAAAATTAATTCACATTCCAATTATATGCGAAATCGCTATTGGAAACGGGTCGCACGTGAATATCTACCATTGAGCCGAACGTTCTTAGCCGGCCAGCGCACACCCGCCGGGCTACGAGTACAACATATATTTATATATATATATATATATATATATGTATGTATATATGAATTTCAAATGCCGGCAGCATATACAGATAAACGAGTAAGCGAACGTGTTTATGAATAAGCATGAGTTTGCATCGGTACATACCGAAAATAAGGTGATTCGTCTGCGTAGCGTCTCACGCTCAACAGTTCGCCAGTGACGTGGTTGTTGCGCCACTTTCCGGAGAGTGTAATACCTACAATAATTTGTGAGTGCTGAGAGCTTTACGCAATACAAATCGCAAAGAGCACAGGTAGCGGTTTTTATAAGTTTATACCTTTAACCAATAAGACGAAATCTCGCTAGCAGATATTCAAACTAAACATTAAAGCCAGTATACGCAAATCAACAGCAGCCGCTTTTGCACATAAACAGTTGCAAAAATGGGTTACGATGAGGTGCTTGTGCCCTTGGGAGATTTCGGCAAATATCAACGTCTTATATTTTTTTTACTCTGTCTTACAGCTATTTCTTGTGCCTTTCATAAAATGTCGCGTACATTTATTTTTGCCAAACCGAACTTCCGTTGCCAACTTCCTTTTGAGCACCAGGCAAATGACACTCATCTTAACGACAGCAAAGCAAACGATTTCGAATTGCCGGCTCACCTGTGGCGCTTAGCGTATCCAGCAGATACAGCTGATCCGAATATAGGACGTTATGAGGCTTGTAGCTACTTTAATATTGAAGATAAATACTATCAGTTGTTGGGTAGTAGTGTGCTGGCGTATAATGACAGCAACTCGCTACTGCATCAAAATATTACATTGAGTAATGAAACGGTGCCTTGTAACGGCTACATTTATGATCGGTCCAAAATTACAAACAGCGCCGTCACAGAATGGAATATGATTTGTGATCACAGTTTCTTGGTAGCCACTAGTGATGCGATATTTATGTTTGGCGTTTTAGTTGGTAGTATCGGTTTCGGACAATTGTCGGATAAGTGTGGCCGAAAGCCGGTCTTCTTTGTATCGCTGCTGATTCAAGTGTCGTTTGGCATACTGGCCGGTATTGCACCAGACTATCTTACCTATATAATTGTACGCTTCATAATTGGCGCCACAACTTCGGGAGTGTTCCTCGTTGCTTATGTCATTGCTATGGAGATGGTGGGTCCAAAGAAACGTTTATATGCCGGCATATTCTTGATGATGTTCTTCTCCGTTGGTTTCATGCTTACAGCGGTATTCGCCTACTTTATAAACGAATGGCGCACACTACAAATAGCAATTTCATTACCGGGTCTTTTATTTATCGGCTATTATTGGATAATACCAGAGTCTGCTCGTTGGCTGATTTCGAATAACCGTAAAGAGGCCGCGATCGCCAATATTCAAAAAGCCGCTCGTTTCAACAAAGTACACTTAGACGCGGCTGAAATTAATCGATTACTAAGCGATGAGGAAAACGTAGAAAAATTGAAAACCAAGGAAACACAAGAGGAAACTGCTACGACTACTAACAGAGCAGTATCCGTTTTTGATTTACTACGCTATCCGAATTTACGTCGAAAAACGTTGTTAATTTTTTTCGATTGGTTTGTGAATAGTGGTACTTATTATGGACTTTCGTGGAACACAAACGCTTTGGGTAACAATATACTGTTGAATTTTGTTATTTCCGGCGCGGTTGAAATTCCAGCATTCACCTTTTTGCTTTTTACACTCAATCGGTGGGGACGACGCACCATACTCTGCGGCTGTATGTTGGTAGCCGGATTCGCGCTGCTGCTCACCATTGCCGTGCCGAAAGAATGGAATTGGCTGATAATTGTACTGGCAATGATTGGTAAACTCGCTATCACCGCTTCTTATGGCACAGTTTACATCTTCTCAGCTGAGCAATTCCCCACGGTAGTGAGAAATGTGGGTTTGGGCGCGTCTTCGATGATGGCACGCATTGGCGGAATTTTAGCGCCCTTCATCAATATGCTGAGCAATGTATGGCGTCCATTACCGCTAATCCTTTTCGGAAGCGCTGCATTCATCGGTGGACTACTGTCGTTGCTGCTGCCTGAGACACACAATAAGCCGACGCTGGAGACCATAGAGGAAGGTGAACATTTTGGTAGAAGGGTAAATACGAAGATTGAGCGATCTAATAAAGACATATTTATTGTGGATAACATGGAAAATGTGCCTTTGAACAGTAATGGTAATCATCCTGACAAAATACCAATAAAAAATTTGACTAGTTGAAAAGTTAAGGATATACTTGTATACTCAAATTTTAGTTTAAAAAATTTGATTTCATTTTGCGCCCAGCTGTGCAGATATGTAGAAACCCAAGAGCTTATAATAACATTCTCGTAAACCTTTCGATTTAATCTAAATATATATTATTTTCATATATTAATTTGGAAAAAAAAAGTTTCAACTTTTATACATTGTGTTCCGGCTATTTAAATTATATAACCAAACTTTTGGGAACTTCAACCAAATATGTTATACGATGTATATGTATGTATATATTAATTTAGACTATCGTACTAGTTATCATAATTTTCACATTTATCAAAAAGTATTTAAAGTATTTAACTGCTTTCAAGAATTACCCTGCTGTATAACTCAACTATCGTAATTTTGCATTTACTTGCAGTACACTCTATCTGCTTAAATATTATCAAATTGTGATGAGTTATAATTATGAATTCTACAAACTAGCAACAATAATCTATATTATTTTATGAATTGTTAATTATAAATGGACATTTATGTAGTGGATGTACTAAATAAATGAAAATCGATTAATATATATAAATATAATTCTTAGATCTCAAAAATATGATTTTTATATTGATTCAGGCGAAAAAAATGCATGGCGCTCAAACTACAATAGATTGAATGTGGTTTTTGGAAGTCTAATTGAATTGAAAAATTTCATAATCTTGGAGTTGTTACCATTTACTAGAAAACTAATTTTTTTTTTGTAAATATTCAGGCAGTAAATTGTATCTACCTATTTTTATTGCATTTTTTAATTGGTTCTTCTGTAATTTAAATGTTCTTGTTGTCAAGCTGTCTCGATTTTTGCACCAGACCAATTACAGCTACGAAGTCACATCCATCAATCCCTCATCCATTTGAAATTTGTGTCTTCCTCTGTTGCCACCAGCATGTACCGCATCGGAAAGCTTCAGGTCATAGCATTTGGAAATATTGGAACAAAAAACCTGCTACAGTAAAGGGTATTATACTCGTAGTTTCGGTGCAGCCGAAGTTAACGTTTCTTTATTTTAAATTATCCTCTAATCAAAATATCGGCCCAATGAAGTCAAAGTCTTTCGCACTGTATATGTATCGGACAATAACTTAAAAATAACTTCCACGATTTTTGCTTTTTTTCTTAAACTCAAGGAGCGTCTTTTTCTGGTAACAATATGTCTTCATACCAAAACTGTGTAAAATTGGGTCAATACCTCCCCGTGTCCCTATGTACCTAATGCAAATATATGAGTTATCCTATTGAAACTCAGGGTGCATCTGTTTCTAATAACAGTGTTCCCTTGTGCTTAAAATAGATCAAAGCGGGTGAAGGGCCCTCATATACCTAATATAACGATTTTCCAATATCCGGTTGACTTTGTACTGGTATGCAGATTGGTTATTCTGTGAGTTATCTTACTTATATAACGATATGTCGTAATGCCAAAATTGGACAAAATCGGGTAGTTTAAGCAATATTAGAATTTTAAATTTCAGGATGGCATATACCGTACATAATGGTCAATATGTAAGATATCTTAGAAGCATTAAGTGAACGTATAACACTGGATATAATCGTATGTATGTACATTAGTTTAATGGCAAAAATATGTGAAATCGCTCACCGAACTATCCCAGTTCCCATACATATATTATATCTAAAGATTTTCCCAGACTCTATACAGAATATGTACATATATCGATCAATAGTAAGGTCAATTAAAACATTTGAAGTGACATAAATTAACAACAAGAAGAAAATTGGTGAGATAATTATACATAAAATTTCAAAGCTACCCATCTTTCCCTTGTATAGAAAAAATTATATTCAAGGTCAAAAGTCAAAAATTATCAAAACATAAGCTTAATTGTTTGCTTGTTTTACCAAGATATTGATTTTCAGCAGTAAACTTTTCTTTTAACATTGAAATAAACCTAGACTTATTGTGGATCGAATACGACAGTAACTCTGGAACAAAAATGTCGACGTATGTACCCAACGTATTTATCTAAAATAACGTTGAACGTTTCTTCGCTATCCCACACAATAGTAAGTATCCTCCGTCAATGATGTATGCCGAATCATATCAGTATTGCTAATATCATTATTAACTTTTTGATAATTATCTATTAGACATATAAATGGTGATGCTCCGGATATCTTAGTGATAATAAGTTTCTCACCATACTTTAGTTTCAGTCGTAGCTTAATCGTTCTGTCTACATACTAAACAGGAGACAGATGTTCCCTGAGGGTCACAATGGCGTATAACATAAAATTGTTTATCAATGAGTAATTTTGAAAGAGTGTGCAAAACAAAAGATTTCGGTATTAATTGCTTGCACGTGTTCACTAGTTAAATTGTTAACATCAACAATACATACATATGTATGTCACCTATTGTTTGCTTTTTCGAAATTCTTTAAGGCTTTGCGGTGGTTAGCCTTAAGGTAACAACTAACTTGGCTCATAATCATAAGTTTTTAATCCTTGTCCTGGAAAATCACAAAAAATCGCAAAAAAATCATATTTTGACCCTTGACCTTGAATAGAATTCTTGCCATATAGGGGATTTTCAGCTTGTTGTGAATTTATGTAACTTCACTCTCATTTTTTTGGTCTAATTTGACCGGACTTCAATATGTCAGTAATTTTATATGTTTATATCGGTCAATATGTGGTATTTTTTAATTAAATTAAGTGGACAATTTCTCTAAAAAATAAAGTAGTTTAACGCTGAATATGGTCTAGACCAAGGTTAATAATAGAAAATAATAACAGCTGAAAGTATTTCCTCGCTTTTGACTTTTACAAATTGCGAGAGTATAAAATGTTCGGTTAATCCCGAACATAGCCCCTCCTTATTTGTTTTTGAGTAGCGTTTTATGAATTTTTTTTCAGGTTTCTTGGTTCATAAAATAATGTTATTTGTAGTATTCAAGAATGAGTCATTATTTTATTTATGAAATGACCACAAGGATAGAAATTGTGACGACGAGAACTCGGCATTTTATCCCCTCTACTTAAAGGTGCATAACTTAATGAATTTTTATTTTGAACTTTGTTTTGAAAATTTTTGTTTTCTTGAAACATGAAAAAACAACTGATAAGAAATGAATAGTTTACTCCTACGTAATTTAAATCCCGAAGGCCAATGTATACTTTTATTATAAAAGAAGTACCCAGGACTGCATCATTCATGTAACCCTTATACTAAGTTCAAATTCAAAATGAACAAGTAAGGAAGGGCTAAGTTCGGATGTAACCGAACATTTTATACTCTCGCAAAGTCAAATAGTATACTCGTTTGAGATTTCTTTGTGGATTGGCTGATATTTTCGGTAGAAGGTCAACTATAGGCACTGGGGTCCACATATTTAGTACTTAGGGGCTTAAACAGTTTTGGTTCGATTTAGACAATTTTTGGCCACAAGGTGGCATACTTTAATCGCATTATTCACGCAAAGTTTTATCCCGATACAGTCATTGTTGCCTGATTTGCATAGTGGAAAGTGAAATAATCAGATGGAATTTAAAATGGTGTTATATGGAAAGTAGGCGTGGTTGTAGTCTGATTTCGCCCATTTTTGCACTGTGACATAGAAACATGAAAAGAACGTTATGCACCGAATTTGGTTGAAATCGGTTAAGCAGATCTCAAGATATGGGTTTTCACCTAAAAGTGGGCTGTGCCACGCCCACTGTCTAATTTTGAACGCGGTTCCTATAAGGTCATCTCATACCATCCCAGAGATAAAATTTAATGACTCTGGCGTGTTTAGTGCTTGATTTATCGCGCTTTTAGTAGTTTTTAACAGTACCGTTATATGGGGAGTGGGCGGAGTTGCCACCCGATTTCAACTATTTTCACACTGTCAATAGAAGTGCTAAAAATATTTGCTTCCAGTGAATTTTGTTATTATAGCATTAGCGGTTTAGGAGATATGCACATTAAACCTATTAGAGGCGGAACCACGCCCACTTTTTTAAAAAAAATTTTAACTGCAGATGCCCCTCCCTAATGTGATCCTGTGTACCAAATAACAGTCTTGTATCTTATTGCGGAGCTTAGTTATGGCAAGTTATTTGTTTTTGATTAATGGCGTTTTGTGGGCGTGGCAGTGGTCCGATTACGCCCATCTGCAATACCAACCGTCTCACGGTACCATGAAACATGTCTACCAAGTTTCATAAAGATATCTCAATTTTTACTCAAGTTAGAGCTTGCACGGACGGACGGACAGACGGACAGACGGACGGACGGACAGACAGTCACCCGGATTTCAACTCGTCTCTTCATCCTGATCATTTATATATATATAACCCTATATCTAACTCGATTAGTTTTAGGTGATACAAACAACCGTTAGGTGAACAAAACTATTATACTCTGTAGCAACAGGTTGCGAGAGTATAAAAATCCTTATGTACATTCAAAGTAATAATTGTTAGTTTTCATCTCGTATCTAATTTCTTTATTTAGAGAAAATTTACTTTCATTTGAAGAAAACTACAATGAAAGACTTTGACAGCTAATTTGGATTGAGATTTATTTTAATTTCCATTCCAGCTGGGATCAATGACATAAAGCAATAAAGAATGTCGTTTGTGTATGTAGACATGTATGCTTAAATATCTGGCAAATGGATTTGCTTCTCAATGAAAATGTATGCAAACAATCAAGATCGTCAATTAAGTTGATGGCTACACAACAAGTGAAAGTCGTTTATATTAACATACATATGTACATATGTATACATGCCACAATTTTAAAATTTAATAATAAAATATCTTGCTATTTTTTTTGTTTTTTTTTGACATTGTAAACAACTAACATAAACATTACTTCTTTCGAATTTCAGTTGACAAACTGTCTAGATATCCAAAAGGCATTCTTTAATTACACTCGACCAAGGCAAACAATTAGAACAATGCCTTTAAAAAAATTTCATTTATATTTTAATTACCATAAATTTGTATAAGAAGAGTAAGTATTTGTAATAGTAGACAACTAAACTATAGCACATGCCATATAGATACATACATATGTACAGTACTGTGCAAAAAAAAAAGCAACAAATTTATTTCAACCGAAACTTTTGATATATTTTCCTAAAAAAGTTTTACAAAAATGTGATGGCTACATATTTCATTCTTGTATTCTCTCTAACTAATAAAAATTCAAATTATAATTTGATAGTAAACAATCACTAAATAAAATAACAAAAACTACTTCATAGTGAATAAGGAAGTGTGCAAAACTAGAGCAACTAATTAATGTTTGGTATAAGAAGAATTAGCTTTTATAAATTAAGCATATTCACGGGGCATTGATGCTATTAATTTATCGATTCTGGTTTGCGGAATGTATCCCTATGCCGTTTTTGAAGCTTTCAAAATTTTTTCCTGGTTGCGGAAACGTAGACCCGAAACTATCTACTTTCAAATACTCAATAGGTTCTCGATTGGATTCAAATCCGTCGATTGAGTTGGGTAAAGAAGAACTTGAACTGAAAGTCCACTAAATAATATTTTACCAATTTAAAAAATTTTTTTTTGGTCGCTATCGTGTTCAAACACTCAAGAAAGAAACATATTCCATTCAGCATATGGTATCATTTTCGTATACAAAAAGCGGTACATTATTCCATTTATTTTTTAAAAGGACCAACATCTCAAATTCTTCTTGACAATTTATCCAGTAGAAATTTTTTTCCATATGTTTTTTGTAAGTATTGGTTTTGTCTATGACTCCTTAAATCGTTTTCAATTGGTGGATATATCTGGCAATTTTATACTTTTTACCAATTTTGCTTTGTGAATATTCATTATGGAAATCATATATTTTGCACTTAAGACTATCACCATATTTATGTTATTCTGAAGAACTTTGCGACCAGTGTCTTTAAAGTGATTTGTTGGTTTAGTTTTGGTAACTAAAACTTTTTGTTATTTTATTTAGTAATTTTTTACTAAGAACTTATATTTTGAATTTTTTTTAGTTAGAGAGAATACAAGAATGAAATATTTAGCAATCACATTTATGTATACCATTTTTAGGAATATTTATCAATATTTTCGGTTGAAATAAATTTGTTGCTTTTGTTTTGCACATTACTATATATATAGTATGAGTATATAAATATTCATGCGCATAATTTACAGTATCCGTCTATTTTCACCAATTAAACATTCAAAAATAAAACATGTGCATTATCATAGTCAAGTGTTTGTACGTGTGTATGTACATATGTATGTCGCCGTTGTTTCTTAGTTCGATTCGATGTTTTGTGGCACGCTTTTGAACAGCTTTGAGAGGCTTGTGATGGCACTTGCAACATTTATTAGCAATTCATTGATATCCGAGAAATATATTTAAGTACTCATATCGATATTAAATCGAGAGTAAATCAATTGGTTTTGTTCGAATTAATGAACTGCTATGGCTATTGAGGGTCTATTTAGCTACCACATACTTGTACATATGTATGTTCACACATATAATTAATGTCGTTTAAATTTATTCTTGGAAGCAAACTAAGCCACCAAAAAAAAATAAAAATAATATATTAACAACGTATTGGTACCGTCGCTTTTAATGTTAACCGGCGAATGATGGAATCTCTAAGATTTAATATTATATCATAATCCGGTTTTGCGAACTTTATACCTCAAAAATTTTTGATCAAATTTTAATTTTTTATGCCCATCAAGTGATGTTAGGATTGTTGATGTTGACGATTGGGAATAAAAATATAAAATTTTTTTAATTCTTATGTGTAAGTTTGCCGACCAGTGCTCTAGAATATTGAAGGTGATGACTCTGTGCGAGCTCTAGTTTAAAATAGTACACGAAGTACGCAAACGCAAAAAATGTTAATTACAATTTTTTTTTTTAATTAAAGTTTAAATGTAATTAAAATTATATTTCTTTATTTATCAATCTGGTATATAGGATTGAAAATTAAAAATAAAGTAAAACGCAATTTTTAAATCGGATTGTGACATTAGACATTTTTATACTCTCGCAACCTGTTGCTACAGAGTATAATAGGTTTGTTCACCTAACGGTTGTTTGTATCACCTAAAACTAATCGAGTTAGATATAGGGTTATGTATATATAAATGATCAGGATGAAGAGACGAGTTGAAATCCGGGTGACTGTCTGTCCGTCCGTCCGTCCGTGCAAGCTCTAACTTGAGTAAAAATTGAGATATCTTTATGAAACTTGGTAGTCATGTTTCTTGGTACCGTGAGACGGTTGGTATTGCAGATGGGCGTAATCGGACCATTGCCACGCCCTCAAAACGCCATTAATCAAAAACAAATAAATTGCCATAACTAAGCTCCGCAATAAGATACCAGACTGTTATTTGGTACACAGAATCACATTAGAGAGGGGCATCTGCAGTTAAATTTTTTTTATGTGGGCGTGGTCCCGCCCCTAATAGATTTAATGTGGAAGTCACTGGAAGCAAATGTTTTTAGAACCTCTACCTACAGTGTGAAAATAGTTGAAATCGGGTGGCAACTTCGCCCACTCCCCATATAACGGTACTGTTAAAAACTACTAAAAGCGCGATAAATCAAGCACTAAACAAGCCAGAGACATTAAATTTTATCTCTGGGATGGTATGAGATGACTTTATAGCAACCGGGTTCAAAATTAGACAGCGGGCGTGGCACAGCCCACTTTTAGGTGAAAACCCATATCTTGGGATCTGCTTAACCGATTTCAACCAAATTCGGTGCATAACGTTCTTTTCATATTTCTATGCCATAGTGCGAATCCACAAAGAAATCTCAAACGAGTATACCATTTGACTTTGGGAGAGTATAAAATGTGCGGTTACATCCGAACTTAGCCCTTCCTTACTTGTTTAATCTCGTATTTTTATAAAATAATAAAAACAAATTTAATTCAAATGTTAATTCAATTATTATTTTTAATACATTATTCAAGTTACAAATACACTCGAAGTTTTGATATTATTTTCCATAGTATGACCGTTATTAAAAAATCTTTTAACAGAAGGAAACATCGAACACCATATAAAATACAATATATACAAATATGGGTAAGTGTATATATGTATACTTATATGATCAGCATAACTAGTTGAGTTGGTGTAGCCATGTCCATCTGTCCGTCTGTCTGTATATATGTGAAGACTAGCTCGACCGCAGTTTTGAGATATACTTGTAGGTCTGAAATTATTCACACATAATTTTCTCCCAGGAATCGGCTCTTTTGCCGAAACGGCCGACATCGGACCGCTATAGTACATAGCTGGCATACAAACTGAATGATCAAAGTCAAGTTCTTGTATGGATAAATATTTTATTTTTTATTTTATTTTTTATTATAGAAAATATTTTCACGAAATTTGGCATTAATTATTGTCTAAAGTAACGCTGAAGAAATTGTTCAGATCAAACCACCACAACATATATGTATGTAGCTGCCATACAAATTGACCGATCAAAATCATTTGTGTACTATAGCTTCGGTGCAACCGAAGTACACTTTGCTTTGGCAAAATCATGGTTTTTATATAATGAAAGTGAATTTCTCAATATTTTTGGAGAAAACATATTTTATAAATTTGTGCTAATGCCACACTTTTTTGTTGAATTTTCTAGAGATAACAGATGATTGCCATTTAGTGGCAAATAAAAAATTTTTATTTTATCTCGAAAATTGTGTTCTTATTTATATTAAAATTTGTTATTTGTTAGTATTTGCATATATGATTCGAATATACTTGCTATATATAAGCAGGTCTTTGTTGTTTAGTTAATTAATTTAAATGAAATAGATAAACCATTCGATTACGAATTTGATATGTTAATTCCTTAACGCTTTAATATGAACACTAAACTAGCAATGTGGTTTCTAAAAATGTATTCAAAATCATCACAGCGCTTCATTTGGGAGTTGTCTCAACATATTTATATTTAAGGTAACAAAATATACACGTGCCAGGGTATAAAAAACGATTTTAGGCGCCAAAACCAACCCTTAAAGTGCTCTCTGTGGATTTACTATACTCAAAATCAAGTATAGGCTGAAATATATTTGCACATATGTATGTCTACGAATATAGATATAAAAGTATTAGAGAGCGCATAAACTAGAAAAAACTCCGCAATCAGCTGTTTTATCTAGCAAATCACTAAGTTCGCTTAGTAGTTCTCTGTTTATATGCATTTGAAGGCCATGTGAGTGACTGAGTGAGATTACTTATGAATACTATAGTACATATTGTATATACCATAGTTTGATAGATGAGTAAGTATAAAGCTTTGTATGCACAGAGTTGAAGTGTGTGTACGGTAATTGGCAGCAACCCCGCTCATTTGGCTTGACTGCCACAACTACCGACCTTTTTAGACAACGAAACTACTAGTTGACGCTGTTATACCTTCTATGAAAAAGTCGGATTTTTTCAGTTGCTGAAATTAAATTTTTAAAAAGCCTCAACTGTACTTACTCAAGAGTTGTGCGTGAAATATGTGTATACACTTGTGTGTATATTCGTAACATATTTAGTATAGTCTGACTAGTCGGACTAATTGCATTAGCTAAACTTCAAAATATCGATTTTTTAGTTTTTATGAAACGATAATTTTGGAAACCAAACCATTTCTAAACTATATTGACGTCTTCAAATAATTATTGTCACAGATTATTATATATTTTTTTAATTTCATGAAGGGTATTTTGAATTCGGTATAACTGAACGGAATTGACGTTCCGTTGATTGTTTGATTTTTGATTGAATGAGAAATAAATACTATGGTCAATAAAGCAATTTTGAGTAGATCGCCAGTTGTTTGTTGGCGTTGAGCAAATGAGAGCATTTAGCGTCGCATTGTAAATTAATAATCAACAACTGTGTAATTTAGATTTCTGTTGCGAATATTGAGTATAGATGTTTGTATGTGTATGCCTTTCTGGCTATGACTTTAATGACGGCATCAGATGGCAATTGGAGATACGCTTTAAGTATTTGCTGTTAGTCGTCTATTGGTAGAGATCGTGAACGGTTTAACTGGAAACGTTCCGTAGCGCGCGAATAAATAAAGTCATACAATTGAAACCCTGCACCTTATAAACAGAATACTTAGCCGGTAGTTTCATGTGGTATCTACATAAACACAGACGCCAAGTGAATTGGAATATTAAAATATTAATTGATTACGAAAAACAAATGCTTGTACAGTTGTGATTAATTTATTTGCGCAAATTACTTGAGTACATATGTATGTATGTACATACAAATACTCTGAAGTACGCACTTATGTGTCTTTTGCGGGGCATAGACTTTGAACGTGTCAGTAGGTGACGTATACGCAACGTATGATAACCATAAATGCGTGCACATAAATATGTATGTATGTATGCGCTCTATACAAAAAAAAAATTGCATATACAGAGTAAGAGCCGTCATTATCAAGTACATTGTAAAACTAATTACTTTACAGTTATATCGAAAAACGTTCTTGACATACATATGAATTTGGAAGTACTGAAACTTTGACTGTGACAAAAAAGACAACAAATTAACCAAAAGCTGTATCAGCAAAATAACAAAGTTTATTGCCATAGCTGCGGCAGCACATCATGCCACCAACGGAAACCACAAATTAAAGTCATAGTGAAAACTTCGCATTTTGTGCACAAGTTGAAACATAGTTGTAGCAAAGACTACAAAGAGTGATCAATCTAGCACGCGTTGTGCGAAATTCTAGTGAAGTTGTTAACAATTTGGCAAAGTCATCAGCAGGTATAGTTAAGTCAAGCGAACTTTCTGAAGGCCTTTCACACAAAGCGAACATACGATTTGCTCGTTTGGCGCACATGTGGACACGCACACTGCAGTAACACATACGCACACAACATCAAGTGTATCTATGTACATCTAGACATAATAAACAGAGCAAAGAATTTAGTTGTTTTGGTCGACTTTTAATGGTGTGATTATTCGGCTGCTACCTGCTCGCAGTTTGGAAAGATAGTATATTTGCGAAAAATTCGACAATTTCTTCTGTATAACAGCCGCCACAATGAGTTATGATGACGTCATTAATTATTTGGGCGATTTCGGCAAATATCAGAAACAAATTTATTTTTTACTCTGCCTACCGGCTATTTCCTGCGCTTTCCACAAGTTAGCTGGTGTATTCCTTTTGGCGCGCCCAGAATTTCGTTGCTTACTGCCGTTTGAGAATCCGTTAAATGCAACATATGACTCTTTTCCACTCGAACATTGGAATCTGAGTTATCCTATAGACGATCTAACCGGTAAATATCAGAGGTGCGAATATTATAATACTGACTATACAACGGACTATTTGGAGACGGCGACCATGCCGGCCACAGGCAATGGCACTGTCAAATGCAGTCACTACGTCTACGATCGTTCAAAGTACGAAAATAGCGCGGTTACCGAGTGGGATATGGTGTGTGCACGCGGCTTATTGACCGCCACAAGTGACAGCCTATTTATGCTTGGCGTATTGTTGGGCAGTATTGTATTTGGACAGATGTCGGATAAATATGGACGCAAACCCATTTTCTTTGCCTCTCTGGTTATACAAGTTATCTTCGGCGTACTGGCTGGTATTGCTCCTGAGTACTTCACCTATACCATATCACGCATGGTTGTGGGCGCTACAACGTCCGGTGTCTTTTTGGTCGCATATGTCATCGCTATGGAAATGGTGGGCTCGACATATCGACTTTTTGCCGGCGTGACCGTACAAATGTTCTTCTCAGTTGGTTTCATGTTAACAGCCGGTTTTGCATATTTCATACATGACTGGCGTTGGCTGCAAATCGCTCTCAGTTTGCCCGGATTATTATTCATGTGCTATCATTGGGTCATACCGGAATCGGCCAGATGGTTACTCTCTAAAGGTAGGAAAGAGGAGGCAATCGTAGTTATTGAGAAGGCGGCACGCATAAACCGTGTGACCATACCGAGTGAAGTATATGACAATCTAATCGATGAAGCAGCTGAGCGTGAGAAAAAAGAGGAGACTGTATCTGAAGGCGCAGATGAAAAGGCACCCACCGTATTCGATCTTCTGAAATATCCGAATTTGCGTAAAAAAACACTTGTTATTCTCTTTGATTGGTTTGTCAACAGCGGCGTGTACTACGGGCTATCGTGGAACACAAATAATCTTGGTGGCAATGTTTTACTAAATTTCATGATTTCTGGTGCAGTTGAAATTCCCGGCTACACATTTCTCCTATTTACGCTTAACCGTTGGGGTCGCCGCACAATACTTTGTGGTTGTATGCTGGTCGCTGGTGGTGCCCTGTTGCTAACCATAATTGTACCTGCAAGCAATAATTGGCTTATAATATTGTTTGCCATGATTGGCAAGTTGGCCATTACTGCATCGTATGGTACTATATACATTTTCTCGGCGGAACAATTTCCTACAGTGGTGCGTAACGTTGGTCTAGGCGCAGCGTCAATGGTAGCTCGTGTCGGAGGCATCTTGGCGCCATATTTAAATTTATTGGGTGAAATATGGCGTCCTCTGCCATTGATCGTGTGTGGCTCTTTGGCATTCTTTGCGGGGCTCTTGTCTTTGATGCTGCCGGAGACGCTTAATAAACCGATGCCCGAAACGATTGCCGACGCCGAACAGTTCGGAAAACGTACACGCAATGCTAAGTTCGCCGAAGCAGGCGGTGAGGAGTTAGCCAGAATTGTTACACCGGAGCAGAAAAATCACGTTGCGGATGGAAATACATGATAATATTGCCTAAGTTTTTTAAGCGAATTTATTTTAATATCAGTAAACCGTTATCTTAATATGGAAACTTCTTAACTGATACAACATGTTAATTCAATGCGAATTATTATGTTAAGCAAAAAGATAAATACAATAATTTAGGAAAAGGATAATGCAAGCACAAACCGTACTTTGAATCTTTTCTCGTTAAGGTAACGGTATACATACCATACATTTATCATTAGGATTACTATTGTATAACTCTGGGAAAACGTTTAAAATAACCAAAGAATCTTCAAAAATGTATTGTTTTATGTGTTATGTGAATATTATCGTCGTCGATAAAAAATATGGTTACATGCAATTGTACTTTTATCTATAAATTTTCATAATTAGATTTCTAACTAATGCATTATTTTACATAAATTACATTAATTAGTAATTACATTAATGTTAACTTAATATTGCTCTCCAAAATAAAGAGTTCTGTCTAAAATTATTTATTTTAATAAAGACATAACAATTATGTTATCTACTAAACCCCCCGGTTCACTTACAAATAATATAAGTAACATTTACTGTAACTAACCTCAATATTTGCAGTTTTCTCAGAAAAATTTCTATATACTTATGTACATTTATGTGTATGTATGTCTCTGCACAGACAATTTATTTCACTTGCATTTATTATATTCTATATTAGATTAAAACATTCTTAAGTGTATAATATTTAAAATCTTATATAAATTTATTCAAGTACCAGAGTAATACGACACATATTTTTAATAAAATTAAGTGAAGTTCGAAACTTCGCATTGAAAAGTTTATGAAAAACACTGTTATAACTTGACCAAAATTAGGAAAACACTTCGGTCAAAAAAACCCTTAACATAGGGTTTTAACTTAACCATTACTTCACCTGCTTTTATAGTATTCTTAACTCTATACATATTCTACACTCTGTACACTGTATATATTCGAAAAATGTGTCTGTTTTTTGATTCCTTCTGAAAATTTGACCTTTCATTTCTTATGAAAATTCTGACATCGCCTTAAATTAAAAACAAAAATTACGAGTAAAATTCTAAGCCTTTAATATGGAAAAAGATTGCGAACTGAGACTCGGACCACCTGAGCGGTCACAAAGGATTGATGTTATAATCGTGGGGGCGGGCATATCAGGATTAGTGACAGCCTATAGGCTTTTGGAAAAAGAACCCTCATTACAAATAAGAATATTAGAAGCAAGTGATACTATTGGTGGCAGTTTGCAGCAAACACCTCAGGGTGAAATCGGTGCCAAATGGTTCGAAGAGTCGCAAGCTCATGTCTATCAACTGCTGCAGCGTATGGAAATACCACTACATCAGCGTTCTATTGTGGATACAACATTGCCACGTTGTTGGGAACTCGATCAAACTGTATCTTCAAATTTGGCAAAATACGAGTTGCAACGTTATATAAACGAATTACAAATAAAAGCACCTTTCTTTAGACCGGGCCGATTCAGGTTGGTCCCAAATTTTTGTTATATTATATTATATAACCCTGCAGTAATTCGAATCATTCTAGAATTCATAGTACAGTTTTTCATATACAGGTCATTTGACAGTGACCTAAGCTGTACCAGTAGCATGTTAATTTCAATGAGTTTTCCGACGTTTAAAATTAAAGATGGTTGGAAAAAGTTCCTAAAATAGTTGTAAGCTATGTATATGGTTTTAGACGAGATAACGTTCTAACAGCTGATAAAATATATAAATATTGTTAACCAATATTTGACAGTCGCGTTGAAAGGCAGAGTAAAAAACCAAAACCGAATCATCGAACAATATGATTCTTTTTGCATTTTTTAGTAGTCTACAAGAATCTAGGCCACGATAGTGTTGGGGCCATCGAGAGTACTTTTCGGGTCGCCTTCGCATTACTGCAGGCTAATAGCAGTTCAAAAAGTATAATAATTGCTCTCAATTGCAATGACTACCATGATTTCTTGCAGCATTAGAAAAAACTCAACAAAAATGGATAAACATATACACAACCGATTATTTTTCAATGAATCGCGCAAGTTTATGACCAATTTAGTGGAGTTGGTTTGTGGTTCGAAAGCCTCCGATATTACTTACAAAGAATTCATGAGCCTTTGCTACGGTTGCGGTAGCTTACAAAACATAATAAATATGTAAGTTCAAATAAGCTACCATATTTAAAATATACTCTTAAGGAGAAATATTTAATAACTCACATTTCAGCTACTTGGACTGTCCGAACACTTTACTGGAGTTCGATAGTGCTCATCTACTCAATGTGCTTACACAGCGGTTGCAAGGCACAGAATTTCTAGTCTCGCGACAAGTGAAATCCATTTGCCATTATAAAGACTATATTGAAGTGCATGATTCAACGCAGAAGGTACACACAACGGATGTGCTCATTTTGGCAATACCATTGAACTCTCTCCAACAACTCAACTTCTTACCGCCAGTGCCCATGGAGTTACGTAAAGTAATGAACAACAAACTGAAGTTGCGCTTAATGTTAACAAGCTTTATAGCTGGCTACGGCGATGCTCATTGGCGGAATGCTGGCTATTCGGGTAGTTTTCTTAAGAATGAACCATTTATAGTGGGTTACGAATACCGACCCAATGTTTATGGCGGTATGATGATACATGATAGCGGTTCGGAATCTTTGGTACGTTCCATTGCGCTAAAAGCATTCGCAGAAAATTTTGGTGATGCTATGGAAACACCGTACACCTATAACCAACATACATTTGAGTTGAGTTCATTAGCACATGTGCCACTCACGACACCGTGGCATCGTATTGTATGGTCATCATCGGCCGCTGCATCCACCTGCTATCGCGGCTTCTTAGGTGGTGCGGTGCAAAGTGGGCTGCGTGCGGCATTGAATGCTTTACTATTGGTGCGACCACAGGTGGTGACATGGACCGATGTGGCCGATGTACATTGTCAAAATTGTCCGAATATTAAAGATGTGGGCGCATTGCAATTATGGATGAGTGGACTGAACCTATATAATGTCGGCTATTATACCCTTTACGCTTCGAGTGTAATTTTAGCACTACAGTTTGCCTTTAAGAAGTTTGGTTGAGACTTATTATGAACATATGGTGTATACATATTTTTGAAATAAATAAATATACGAATGGAGGTGTGTATATACTATTGTACCTCTACGTAACTAAAGTCAGAAACCTAATCGTGTTGTATTTTGATTAAGTATTTATTTATTTGTCTTATAGTTATTTGTTCACGTGTCAGAATTTGCAATTTTATATACTCCTCGTTTATTATTGTATTTTTGCAATACGTAAATGTCACGTATTCTATTAATTTAGTATTTATGAATAGTCTAATGCTGCAAACAGTCACCGACATTACGCCCGTACTTACCGCCCGTATCAAACGAAATTTGTCTAAAGCTATGTCCGTAGTGGCACCGTAGAAATCAAGTGTACCCTTTTGTTTTCATTTCACCAATAACGCAATTGCTCAATTTGTATACATGAGCTTGCACACATTTAGTTTTTTAGTTACAATTTTTCATAATGTAAAAGCTCAAAACTGAAATCCAAATATTAACAAGTAAGGATGGGCTAATTTCGGATGTAGCCGAACATTTTATACTCACGCAAAGTCAAATGGTATACTCGTTTTAGATTTCTTTGTGGATCTTGCCGCCTTGTTCTATGTTGACCGATATTTTCGGTAAAAAGTCAACTATAGGCACTGGGGTCCACATATTCAGTTCCTAGGGGCTTGGACAGTTTTGGTTCAATTTAGATAATTTTTGGTCACAAGGTGGCATACTTTAAACGTAAACGCAAAGTTTTACGCCGATATAATCATTGTTGCTTGATTTGCATACTGGAAAGGGAAAAAATCAGATGGAATTGAAAATGGTGTTATATGGGAAATAGGCGTATGTTTCGCCCATTTTCGCACTGTAACATAGAAATATGAAAAAAACTTTGTGCACCGAATTTGGTTGGAATCGGTTAAGCAGATCCCAAGATATGGGTTTTCACCTAAAAGTGGGCGGTGCCACGCCCGCTGTTTAATTTTGAACCCGGTTCCTATAAAGTCATCTCATACCATCCCAGAGATAAAATTGAATGTCTCTGGCTTGTTTAGTGCTTGATTTATCGCGCTTTTAGTAGTTTTTAACAGTACCGTTATATGGGGAGTGGGCGGAGTTGCCACCCGATTTCAACTATTTTCACTATTAGGGGCGGGACCAAGCCCACTTAAAAAAAAAATTTAACTGCAGATGCCCCTTCTTAATGTGATTCTGTGTACTAAATAACAGTCTGGTATCTTATTGTGGAGCTTAGTTATGGCAATTTATTTGTTTTTGATTAGTGGCGTTTTGTGTGCGTGGCAGTGGTCCGATTACGCCCATCTGCAATACCAACCGTCTCACGGTACCAAGAAACATGTTTACCAAGTTTCATAAAGATATCTCAATTTTTACTCAAGTTACAGCTTGCACAGACGGACAGACGGACGGACGGACAGACAGTCACCCGGATTTCAACTTGTCTCTTCATCCTGATCATTTATATATAGACCTATATCTAACTTGATTAGTTTTAGGTGATACAAACAACCGTTAAACGAACAAAACTAGTATACTCTGTAGCAACAAGTTGCGAGAGTATAAAAATTACAATTTTTTATTACATTGTAAGTAAATATTTCATTCTAAAAAATATAGAGAACACTGTTTCTTAAAATATACATAAAATTTTGTTTTAAAAAACCATTTCACAAAATTTCAAAAAAATTTATATAGATGAATGAATTATAGTTAATTGTTTTTATAAGATTTAAATAACTTTTTCCTCTTTTTACCTAAAATATGAATCGGAAGTGCAAGATTCTTTTTATCAATGAAGAAATACATATATCAATATACATGTATGTACATATGCATATGTGTATATGTAAGAGTCATTAGATATTGTAAAAAAATAACATGCTACGAGCCTTTTTAGAGCGCACATTTTTCTTTGGGTGTTAATGTAACATTTCTAACCGATCTGAAATTTGCAAACGTCGTTTTTTCGCCAAGAAGCTGCTTGTCGAAACCGCCGATTTTGGATCACTATTAGATAAAGGAAGTTGATCGATCAAAATCAAGTCCTTGTAAGGAAAACTTCTATATTTGACAAGATATATTCACGGAATTTCGCATAGTTTTTTAACAAGGCGACGATACAATTTTCGAAAAAATTGTTCAGATCGGAAGACTCTACTACCTATACTCTTTCAACATGTTGAAACAGATAGCATATTAGTTTTATTCCCCTAATGGTGGTTTGTATCATCTCTATAATATATAATGATCAGGATGACGAGGCGAGTTGAATTTCGAGTGACTTTCCGACTGTTCGTCACTCCGTTCAAGCGATAACTTGAGTAAAAATGAAGATATCTTGTGAAACTTCGTACAGGTGTTCCTTGGCCCCCAATGGGGGTTGATTTTAAGGATGAGCGGAATCGGTTCATTGCCACGCCCATTAAAAGCCTAAATATTTTAAAAGTGGGCGTTGAAAATAATTTTATTTCCATATCTTCCATACCGCGAAGTTAATTCAAGCAAACTTTCAGAGAGAAAATCTTTTTAGCACTTGCACTACACTGTGAAAATGTATAAAATTAGATAATATCAACGTCTACTCCCCATATACTGATTATGTTGAAAACTTTTAAAAGTGCGATAACTCACTGAATAAATGCGCCACAAGCATTAAATTTGACACCTAAGATGGTATAGAATGGCTTTATACTATGCGAAAATGGGCGAAATCCAATGACAACCACGCTTAATCCACATTAAACTAATTTTTAAATTCCATCTCATTCTTTCACTTTGCAATATAAAATTCAAACATCAAAAACTTTGCACAAATAGTGCCCTCAAAGTATTCTTACACCCAAAAATGTCGAAATCGGACTATAACTTTTCAAGAATTTTTGTTTTTATACTGCACTATGGGGCAGGGCGCTCTTGAAACGGACGTTAGAATTCGAAACGGATCTTACCAGATGCAGAGCGTTGTTAACAGGACTTAAATAAAACGAAAAGATCCAAATCAATCTCAACATGTCACAAAAATTCTTTTAAGTGTTTTTATGTGCTTATATACAGTACTATAATATATTTTATATTTATAACCTTGCTAATTTGTTTCACACAGCAAACACATTCACCATTTTTGTAAGTCGTTGTCGAGTTAACTGTTATCGTTCGGATATAGACTTGATACCAATTTTCACTGTCCTTCTGAAACCTTCATTGCTTTCGTAATTCTCATCTGGTTTTTTGCAACAAAAAATAATATAAGCAGAAGAAATAATAAAAATAAAAATTGAAAACCTATTATATTCAACACTTTTCAAATAATTATAGATAGATGTTTCAAATCCATATTGCTATTAATTTCGTAGCGGATTGCCTTCATTTTGCATCAATATACAAGTATAATATTTTAAAAAGTTAGTTTGAATTACCATATATGCTTTTTGTAATTTGTGTAAAACTTAATTTTTTTGGCAATTACATGAAGGTGTATGGACCTTCACTAGGAGATGGTTTTTAAGGAAACAACTGCTCCTATTAGGTTAATTAATTTTCTTGTTCATATTTATTTATTTAATTTAAATTTCAAATATTATAGTTTACTCCAAAAGAAAGAGTAGTGGTTCACTCATAACGGATCTTGACGGAGCCATTGGTTAAATCGAGCTTAAAATAAAGAAAAAATGTGCTGTTCTTCATTTAAATTACTTTATTGATTTCAAGATGCATTATGCCAACAATTACGGCTATAACAAATTCTGCATTTGCAATAACACATACCAAAATATGTGAATATAAGCCTATATTTTTCAATAGAACCTCTAACCACTACTTCTTCGTAGTGATTTTCAAAAATTGTTAAAATATACTTTAGTTTACTAACTTATCCATCAAGGTGTTGAAGTTTCCATCGGTAAATAATTTTCAAATATCCTATGCTCAGATCTCGCTAGCCTACGAGTGCTGTTGACCCAGCACTGTATAATAGTAATAGCAAAGTGTGTAATATTATTATTATTTTGTGCTAACGCTGTGAACAGACTTTTGAGCCAGTTGCCTCTGTCATTTCTAGTAATCGTTTTGATGACACCCAACACATATCATTATAACGGTAACATTTTTAAACCGTTTTTAAAAAAGGAAACTATATATACTTGTATTCAATTTTAATACTGCTTATTACTATTGTTGTATTTTGTATAATGTATGCACATGAATATATGGTACATATATACCTACATACATATATGTTCCGTTGCAAAAATACATACTTATGTATGTGCATATATATTTTTTATTTTTCTGTGCGTATCGTTCTTACTATTTGTGTGGCCTTTAAAAAATGATTGTAGTGAATACAAGTAAATCGGAAAGCAGATATTTATTTGTACATCAAATATTCATAATTTTTTATCGTTTTCTGCATATACATACATATGTTGATACAAACATGATATATCATTATTTGCATACCAGGTTTAACTCTAATGCTTATTTAATGAATAAAATATGTACATATGTGCAAACATTCTTGTATCTGTAAAAGGACATGCATAAATATATATTGTATGTATGTACATAGGTATACATATAAACAGCTCTTCCGCCTTTATTAGTTGTTTGAGTTTTGATGTGATCCAAGAAATAAGGTTCATAAATATAATATATGCCGTTGTTCTAACAGCTTCTGAAATATTATATGAATATACCTAAGTAAAAAACAAAAAGCAGAAAACTGTGATTTTAAAATTAAATAATTATAGGGTTGACAGTTAATTTTTGGTTATAAAGATTACCTCAGTAAACGTTTTAAATTAAATTTAATTAAAAATATAAAATAAGAAAGTTAGTCAGAATATTAATTTTCCCCCCTTTTCAATATTTCTAGAATTTAAAAAAAAAAATACATACATATATTTATAATAAAATATATAAAAATAATGTAAATAAATTGTCATATAATCATCACATATCACAAAAGTTAAAACAAATTAATTTAAATTTCTCTTAAATAAGTATCAACATTTTGGAATACAATAATAAAGGCTTGTGTAATCGATTTTCGAAGTCAACAAGTCTCACCTTGTGATATTATTTCCGTATTTATTAGTATATAAACACATAAAAACTACTCCTTAGCCATCTCCAAATAAAATGAATTTAACACGTTGGCTGCTGGTGTATCTCTGGTGATTACATATTAAATATACCAACCAATGTTCGTAAGTGTTTTACCTTTTTGATTATTAATTTCGAATATTTTGGTTTTATAAATTATGAATTAATAGTTTTTTCTATAGAAAGATATGTTTTCTTAAAAAAAAATATATGTATATGTATAGAAATATCATATTACAATAGCCACTTTCCACTTTCGTGGGCTTCAGATGTCTAAAGGTGTATAGTTGCATTGGCACCTGTGGAAAATTTTTCGATGTGATCACAAGTTTGGTTATGTGGATTGATTTTGGCTGTGGCCACCAATGACGCACTGATAGCCAAGGTATTAATGAAATGAATGGGTGTTAAACTTGCATAGTTGGTATACCGTTAGTGTGTCAAAAGGTATCATCAACAAAACTCTGACACCCACATTAATTTAGATAAAGTTACGTTGGGGGGAAGCAAACAACTATTTAAGTATTTATAGGAAGTTTTTTATGAAAGAAATACGTATAATCTGAAATTTGACATATATGACAGGTAGTATTAAAATTTGGGTTTTCAGCATGAATAATTGTTTTGTTTATTAATTACGCATATACAGATTTACTTTCAATAAAATACTTTTTGTTGCATTTTTCATCACTTAGAACGTTACTACTCCACCCTTGCGGTGGCACTGAAATCTAACGTTTGCACAGCAAATGTATATACACTTGTATATACAAACAATATTATTATATTTTAACTTACACTCACTTATACAAAATACAAATAACTTTTAAACATATTATTAGACAATTCCTTGGCGGTTGTGTTTACATTTTTTATGCTTTTTATTTATTACATTTTAATTTTATTTTTATTTTTCGATTCCACTTCACTTTTTTGTCTATCTGTTTAGTCGTAAGTTTTTGTTCAAAGATGCACAACGATTTCCCAGTTTAAATATTAGCAAAAAATATTTATGTACAACAAACAAGTGCATAAGCGGAGAGATTCAATATGTTCTTAGGTTAACAATTCCCCATTCTATATCTCAATCTCAATACATTCGAAAAATATCTAATGAATTTATTGAATTTGCAGTTCAACACACCTATTTTGTTCATAATCGTAGATAACATGGACATTTTACACTTATTTGGAATATATGTATGTATATCTTTACAATATCATTGGATTAATAGGGATTAATATTTATGTATGTGCTCATTCATGTACGTACACATTTATTTATATTTAAGCATTTGTAAATGCTTTCAAAACAATATAAACGTGGATATACAATTTTATGTCATACAACATATCAGGCGCGGCAATGTATTTGAGATTATATTATGGGTTAGTGAAAAAACGGCTCAATGCATATTAGTATAAGACTTCCACAATAAATTTTAATATATCTTTTTTTGAATAACAACATGAATTTTTATAAAAAAAAAAAAAAAAAAGGATTGCAAAATACTATATTTAGTGATTTATAAAAATTTTACAACTGAACATAAAATTTTGCTAAAAATTACCGTTGTCTATCGCGCAAGTACAAATATTTTCGATGGATTTCACATTTGATTGAAAATAACATTGATACTTTGGGTAGCGTTCAAGATGTGATCACTTTTAATAGCAATAGAAATGACTAATTTGATTCAAATGAAATCTTTATTATGTATATAAAATACTTGTGGTACAGAACACAACACACATCAATACATTCTTAATTATACACATTTAAATGGTTTACTTCAATTTTGTATGCATATAATACATAAATTTGACTGCATAACAGCTATAGCTAGAGTACTTGTTCGTTGAAATAAATGCATGTGTAGCTTACACTTGCTTTATTAAAAAAAAAAAATCTTAAAATTTCAAAACATAGATTCCTGTTCCAACACACCGGAAAAGTATACATTTTGCCAAATTTTTCTCGAATCTTTAATTTCAATGTGTAACACAATTTAGGCAGTAATTTTTTGCTTCTTAAATAAACAGCAACACATTTTTTTATAACATTCACAAGCATATGTATGTTACTTCGTTTTTCAGATTTACAATATATATGAATTGATAGAACTTTATTTGTTTAAATTTAAAGTTGTTGATTCGTTAGTAGTTATACAAATAGTTTATATTTGTTTACAACTACACAATCCACTAAGCAATCAATTTCTGAAGCATTTTTAAAGCTATATTTTGTTTCACCATCACACAATTTTTACAACAAAAAATATTGTTTACAATTCGTTTTCATAATTACTGCGAGTGAGTTGCGCGTAGTAGTTGCAAGACTCCACTCGACATATTCGTCGTTTTTAAGTTTCGTTTTAAGGAAATTATTATTTATTATTAATAATAATTGGTATTATGTTGTTATAAATTTTATATTTTTCTTTTTCATTAATTTAGCGATGGCAACAATTGTCGGAGATGCACCACAATATTTGTAAGTAATAATCTCAAATGATAGTGCATTTCCAAGCACGACGTTGTTAGCGTCGCTGTGTCTCCACCTCTGCTTCTAACTGAAATTCCAAATAGCAATCGTTACTTGTATAAAATGTACGCCATTGAGTACTCCCATCAACGCTGACATATCCCAAACCGCTAACTCACATCTGCCTATAGGGCGAATGCATTTTCAACCATTGAAGTACTAGCGATGGGCCGCCGGCTTGTATTTCAGGTGGTATTGTGCTCAAAGGACATTTGTCAATATTTAGGTATTTCAAATTTTGACAAAGTGCCAACTCGTAAGGTAGCTTTTCTAAGCAGGGATTTTGATTGATATAAAGATTTTCAAGATTTTCCAGCGAGCCAATCTCTTCTGGCAGGTACTGTAAATTATTTTCGCTAACTGACAAATGCGTCAAATTGCTGAGATGACCAATACTGCGTGGCAGTATAGAGATCTGATTTGTTTGCAAAATTAATTTTTGTAATTCGTGTAATAAACCGATTTCGTTGGGCAGTACTTCAATGCGATTCTCCTCCAGGTCGAGAATACGCAGTTTGCGCAGATTACCAATGGTACTAGGAATTTTTTTGAGCATGTTATTGGATAGCACCAAAATTTCTAAATTTTGCAAATTCATTATGTCATCGGGTAATTTTTGTAAAGCATTTGTGGCCAAATTCAATTCGACCATATTAATCCAAGTTCCTACGTCAAGAGGTAAAGCAGTAAGCACATTTTCCTTCATATTGAGTTTTGTTAGGCCTTTGGCTCGTGAAAATATTCCATATGGTATTTTGTCGATACGATTATGTTCCAGGTTAATGCTGTAGACGTTGGTAAATTGAGCAGGCCCACCAGTCGGGTAACTGGTAAAAGAGTTGCGCGATAGTGTAATATTTGTAAGTGCATTAAGACTAGCTAAAAGACCATCTGGTAATTGCGTTATACCATTGCCTTCGACATTAAATTCATCCATGAATTTGCAACTTTTCAGTGATGCCGGAATACTTGATAGACGATTGTATCTGTAAAGACAATGTTATGTGCATACATATCATTAAATTAACTATGTCCACTTACCTCAAGCCTAATCGTACTAAGCTCTTCAAGTTGCCAATGGATTCCGGTATGTCCAATAGTTCGTTGTGCTGCAAATCAAGTGCATTCAAAGTTACACATTTCCCTATTTCTTCGGGCAAATGTTCTAAGTGATTATGAGAGACATCCAGTGTTGTTAAATTTACCAATGCACCAATGGAAGAACCCAATTCGCGAATTTTATTTTCACGCAGACTCAACATAGTTAAATTAGTTAAATTCCGTATATCAGCGGCCACAGCGATGATGCGATTAAAACGTAAGTAGAGGGTGGTAAGAGAACGCAGGCGATAAATCACCGAAGGAATTTCCGCAAGCTTATTGTGTCTTAAATCAAGAACTTTAAGCTGTCTACAATTCTGTAATGACTCTGGTAAAGAAGTTAGCGAGTTTTCGTTTAAAGCAAGTGTCTTTAAATGCACGAGACACCCTATTTCAGTCGGCAGTTGACTAATCTTGTTGCTGTATAAATAAAGTTCCGTAAGATGGACGCAGTCCCTTACTGAAGTTGGTATAACTGTGACAGAGGACTTGCTTAGATCCAAACGTTTTATACCTTAAATATTAATTAAAGAAATAAGAAAGGAAATTATATATTATATTACACATTATATTTACCTTCTTCCCGACAACGCTGAAGCGCTTTAACAACATCTTGATCAGCTTGTATTGGTTTACTTTTTTTTGTCGTTGGCTTGGGTTTGTTAGATTCCGGGTGTTTTACCGTTACCATCTTCGGACGTGTTTCCGGTGGCATTTCGTTGTTATTTCCAAAATTACTACCGCTGGCACCGCTGCCACTGTGTGTTGGATTGTTTGAAAGATTCGTCGTTAAAGCTGCGGCGCAGCTACTGCTGCTATTACTGCTTCCAAAACAATGTGTGGTTAATACGCCACCACCACCGTTTTTTCCACTAACGTTCGTGCTTTCCACTGCTGTTGCGTCTTCTGATGCTAAAGAGGATGATGATGCTGTAGCGCCGGCAGACGAACACAGATTCATAATTTTACCCAGCGTTACGTTCGATGCCTACAGTTTGTTGCCCAAATTCGTAAGCAACAAGCCTTCGCGATGATTTCCTTTCGTAATTTCGAGTTATAGTGGCAATAATTAATGACTCAGTGATATGATGGGCTACCCAGAAAAAAAAATAATATATTTAGTCAATCTTTGATAACGATAAATAACTACTCTAAGGATTGAAATTTTATATTTCTCAAACTAAATCGTTTATGAGGACTTTCTAAGTAAATAAATTAACCAGTTGTGATCTATAAAGACTATTCTTTACGGTTTTTTCGAATGTTAACGGCGAGTAGAATGAGACACCAAACTTTATAGTATTCAATTCAGCTAAAAATAAACACAACGAAAAATTTAAATGTAAATTGTCTAAATATACATATAAATTTCAAATCAAAAGGGCATTACAAATGCATATTTAAGATAATTAGAATCTACACAAAGTTGAATGCTAAGGTTTATGCTTTCATTACTAATTCATGCATTTAGGAAAGTCAACTCGGCACCATCCCTCAAAATTACTTCACGAATGTGTTCTGCCGCTACAACAATAACAACAAGACATGTATTTTTCAAACGTAATTTGCGTATCTACATACATATGTATTTACTTTCATACTTTTATCTATTCTCAGAAATGTATTTGTTGATTTAGAAAAACTTGTGGTAAATGTATAGTTTAGGTTCCCCAACTAAGGAGGCCTCAAAAATTAATTTTTTTTATGAAATCGTACTTTTTTGATGCGAAGATTACAAATCCGTAAACGGAAAGGGAATTTTTTCGATAATTTATGTATACACATACATATATAAAAATATATTTAACACACTTTAGACATATTTTTCGAGTAACTTATTTTTTGTTGTTGTTGTTGTTGTTGTAGTGGCATCAGAATTCTGAAAAATTCAAATCACTTAACTTTAATTACAAATTCAACGAGTGAAAAAATAATACTAAAGAAATGTAGTGGATTCCGGCCGGGCCTTAAAAAAAATTATGCTGGTCGGTACAACACCGGGGTGTCCATAGTTCTTTTGCGTGCTGAGTTAGACCGACCAGTGTTATTTTAAAATAGAATTATTGAAAAAATCGACTTTTCCCTCAAGGATTTGTATTGTTCGCCTCCTTCGTTGGGGGACCTAAACTATACATTTAACCAATTTTTTTATTTCGAATTTATAGCTTCGACAATGCCATTGCTGTTTCATATTTGGGAGACTTCCGCCGGGTAAGACTGCATTGTATTATGAATCAATGCGTGTGTATGTGTATAAATATGTATGTATGGTTGTGCCTGAGTTAAGCCCATTTAAAATTATTTTTCAATCAATATCGACAATCACAGGCATTAAGTTTAAAGTAGAAACAAACCCTATCACAGGATGGTATACAAATCAGAAATGAAAGTTGGCAGTTTTTTACTTGATACACAAATTCTAACAAAGCACTTCAAACAAAAATGGAAAATGCTTGATATGTAAATATTCATAATCAACACACCAGTTTACACAAGGTTTAGGCATTTACTAATATAGAACTTAATCACACCGCAGTTCTAACAATTTAATAGATTTATCGGTGGATAGATTTCTCTACCTTTTTTAAATAAAATTCTTTAAACTTTATTAGTATTCTTTAAGCCTTGCAGAATGGTTATTCTTCCATATTTTGACATTTCTCTCTTTCATTCTTTTCGAAGGGTTGCTGCTTGCCTGATAAGAAAACAACAATTGTCAAATGAAAATTATACCACTTTACAATGATAAAAGAAAATCAAGTGTTAAAGCAACTATTAATTTTATCATAGCAATTTTCTTTTCATAATTTATGGAAGCCATCTGGGTTTAGTGGTGCTTAGCTTGTTGATTACACAAACATACGTCAAGTTTTCAAAAACAAATGGAATGTATACCTTTTAAAGTTGATTTTTCGTGCCAATATAGTCTTGTATTATTTTATAAAAATTGCCCACATTGATTTTTCATACGCAATCGTCGAGTAGAAGTTTTTTTTCGCGACAGTCTCACAAAACTAGAAATTATAATGTATTTAATTCATAATTGAAATTTCGGATAAATTTTACCAATTAAGCTAAATTTTATTTGAATATTTTGATCCTTCACTTTAAATATCACTGAATTACTTTCACTTGTCTGCAATCAAATGTCCTGTCTATTGAATAATTAGAGAATGTGAATATGAAATTTTTCGCACAAGATTTTGAGAGTTTCAAGAAATGAGATTCGCAAAACGCATGCGCTGTGAGAAGACAAGCTTTAAACCCTATAATAAGACTGCCACAAACTTTAAAATATTTTCTTTCTTTAACATTTTAAATGAGATTCGTCACTTCTTCGTTCGTAGAATTATAACCTGATCACCCAAAATACTTAAAATTGCGGGGATGAAATTAAAGTATTGTTTAAACTTTTTAGTCAGAATCTGTAAGTATAAGCACCTTATTACTATCAAAGTGTAGTTCTTTTTTGATTGATTAAACACAGATGTGAACCTTAGCAGTGCTATCAGCTGTTCGTTGAGTAAAAGAATGCCAACCGATACTTAAATAAAAGAAAAGGTACCACCATAAGTAAAAGATAACTAAAGCACCAATATGAAAGTGTTTACTGTACCACTAGTAACAAACAAATAAATTGATAGAAAAAAATCAAAAGGCAGGAGCAAATTAAATATTTAAAAGAATGTAGTTATAATTCAACAAACCATGAAAAAAACAATTCCTTTAGTTACCATTGTAAATGCGGGCCATCACAGTTACGAGTCGGGATTAAAGCTGCAAAAGCAACTGAGTAATCAGAAAGCTGAAAATTGGGCCAATTTCCGTAATTATCTAATTTTACAGCAACATGATCCAGTGTATACCATAGGTATACGAACGAAGAATTATTCGGATGCAGATGAACAACGTTTACGTAAATTGGGAGCTGAATTTTATCGTACAAATCGTGGCGGATTGATAACCTTTCATGGACCAGGTCAATTAGTTGCATATCCCATATTACATTTGCATCAATTCCAACCGAAAATGAGATGGTATGTTGCTACATTGGAGATGACAGTTATTGAAACTTGTCGCAAAATGGGTATACCACAAGCTACTACTACATCAGATACTGGCATATGGGTAGGAAATAACAAGATTTGTGCAATTGGTGTACATGGCTCTAGATATGTTACAACACACGGCATTGGTCTTAATTGTTGTACCGATTTACGTTGGTTCGAACACATTGTTCCATGTGGTATTGAGGGAAAAGGTGTTACCTCATTGAGTCATGAGCTACAACGCAATGTATGTGTAGAAGAAGCAGCGAAAGTCTTTGTACGATGCTTTGTCGAACATTTTAAATGCCAAATACAAGATAATTTGTAATAATTTTATACATATTTTTCATATTAGTAATACATTTATAATTCATATGCTAAGCTTAACAATTACAATTGGACCATAGTTACACAATCTGTCTTTTTAGTCTAAGCGAAGTAATAATTTTATATAATACTGGTCTGAAAATTTAACTAAATACAGAACCATTGTCATACAAATCTACTTACGTGATTACAACTTTCAAGTAGATATTACAGACATATCGGCGAATAAAAAATTTCAAAAGAATCTTATTGAAAACGAGATTTATTTAAATTGTTTTTTGCCATTTTGTTATCAATAATAACTTTTCCCCTTTTTTGAGCCTCTATTCGACCAAGCTCACGTTGCTCTGCTTTTCGCAAGCGCCTTTCGGTGCGCGATTCTGGGGCATTATTAAAATATCGGTCGCGAAAATCATACGAATTCGAAAGTTTGCATGAAGCTTGGGAACTGTCTGGTACACTAATATCACGCTTTTCATAAGTAAGTAATCTGCGAGAAGTGAGCCCTGAAAGTGGCTGTTCTGAATTGCCTACCAATACTAGGCTACTGTGTTGGGGTATCATTTCGTCCGTGTAGTCATCTCTATAAGAAAAAAATACTTCAATAAAATCAATGACATTATTTGTAGCATAACCAATAGACAGTACCTATGGTACGGTAACCAGCACACCAAGCGTCCACCTACTTTTAAGTGATGTGCGGAAAAATGGAGTAGATCGACATAAAGTTGCTGTAATGAATAATGCGAGGTAGATGGATAGTGGGGCATATCTTTAGATCGCGTATTTTTCTTTGAAATCGTCTTTGATTCTACTTTTTCAGTCGACTCCCGAATGCCATACGGCGCTGAATATGTAAATATACATAAGTACATCATAAATATTATGTAACCAAATTACTTTATTCCATTTCCAAAATGTATTTGTTTTTTTGTACTTCGAATGTATTTTTCGATGAAATTATTTGAATTGTCCTTTTTTCAAAAAGTATAAATTGCTATAGATAATTTTGAAACTCGTGAAACGTACTTACGATCTGTTATAATGGAATCAAATACGACTCCTTCTCGCCAAAGGGGGTTAGAGAAATCTGATATGATAACATCTATATATCGGTCGCCACATCCATATTGTTCTAAATTGGCACGCACTCTTTCGTCTATTTCTCGAACTTTTTGTGTAATACGACTTGGGCGCGAACGACCATGGAGCATCATAAAATCTATGTCCGCTCCAAGGACATAACCTGTAACATAAACGTAAATGTTAAAAGCTCTTGTAAATAACTTTCATTCTACTTACCACCAAACTTTGCTGCACTCACCAGAAGAGATCCCGTCCCTACGAACGGATCCAGAACTAAGTCACCATTCTTAACAAGAGCTTGATTTACCATTAGTAAACTCAGCTGGGCATCCATACTAGTGTTTCCAATAAATTTACGTTTTTTCAGTGAAAGTTCCTTTATGAGATCTCGTTGACCATTGGCAATCTTTAGTAAACAAACAATTAACAGATTAAAAATAAAAAATAATAATAAACAAAGTTACCAGTCGCCCAAAAAGTATATCATCTGGTTCAGAAGGAACTGCAGTTGGATCAAGGCCATAAAATTCGATGTAACACCACTCTGTTTGAGGTGTTTTCAAATCGACTTCACCTTGAAATGGTAAGTACTCTAGTGTCTCAATTTTTTCCACTTTTTCCTTCTGCGAAATGTGCTTGTTATAAGTCTCAACTACAATTTTGAATGATTTTTGACTATATGGATCTATAACGTTTTCCTTGGCCTTTATACTATTTTGTAATATATCATGGAAACTTTTTAGGTTATTTGAGTGCCCCCATAGTTCATATATACTGCGCAGACTAACAGAACGCGAGGCAAATTTAATAGCTGATTCTTCGTTGGCAAATTCGACAATCCAAAACGGTTTCTGTTTAATAAAAGAAGAATTTAAAAACAAATAAGTTATGTTTATAAACAGTTCCTTACCAGTGTATTTTCATTTAATAATCGATGCTTCAATCCAAATAACTTAATGATTGAGTTGAATTCCTGCGCAAGTGTTCATATAAGAAAAGAATATTATACAAAAATAAATGCAACCACTTACGGCAATGCGGAAATCTAAATGTTCTTGTGCAAACCACAAAATATATTTCTTCCAATTGTTTGTCATCTTTTATATTTAATAAATTATCTAGTAAATATTGGAGCTTTGCTTTATTTCTGGTTTTATGTTTACTAGCGATGTATCGATAATTAATATTCAAAATCGGTCTTCCTATAGAAACTGTGTTGTCGATTTATTCACTATGTAGTAATAAATAACAAACGTTATATTCAAGTGTTAAGGCAGTATAACAGTATTTATTATGTCTATATTTTTACATTAAACAAAACCAAAGGGAGCTGTAAGGACTATTAATAATTGATAAGTATTGCTTTTATATCCTTGTTCCATTTGATTCGTGGTTTGAGACCACCAAATAAAATCAAGTAGTACTAAATACAATCTACTCCAAATAAACCGAACCCTGTCCACGTGGTAATTTTACGTTCCACAAGTTGCATCTTCTTAAAGCGTTGCTATTCAAAATAATATATGTTTATTTAATTTTCAACCCGAATAACAATATTTTGTGAATCCACAGACATATTTTTCTTAAAATTTCAAGTTACATACTAAAAAAATACGAAGAGATACTCTGTACTATTTCATTTGTCGGTATACTCCGAGGAATTAATTTTAAATATAAAAGTGGCCAAAGATGCGTGATCCATTGCAACTCTGAGCAAATGTCAACTCGGCCATTTTGCTGAAATTTCGACGGTGCATAGAGACAGGCCGACGAACTTCACAAATATTTTGCTTCAAAAACGCATTTTGTTTGCGAAAATATTTGAAAATTAGCAGTTTAAGAGATTGGTTCTAAAGATTTAATAAAACAATCATGGCGCGATATACTCAACGTCCAGAAAATGCTCTGAAAAGAGCGAATGGTAAGTGCATACAAATGTGTATAAGACCATGCTGCCGAAGACTCAGTTTTTGCAGTCGTGGTAGACAGATGACGATGCGCTGAAATGTCACATTTACAAGTATATATACAGATTTATCCAAAATGATTTTATATTATACCTATCTATATAGAATTCATTGAAGTTGGAAAGCCTTTGCGTGCTTTGGACACCCTACAGGAGGTATTCCGTAACAAGCGCTGGAACTATGCCTACTCTGAGACTATTATTGAACCACTTATGTTTAAGTATTTATACTTATGTGTGGAGTTGAAAAAATCACACATCGCTAAGGAGGGTTTGTTCCAATACCGCAATATGTTTCAGCTGGTGAATGTGAACTCTTTGGAAAATGTTATTCGAGGATATTTGCGTATGGCCGAAGAACACACTGAAGCCGCACAGGCTCAGTCCTCGGCAGCAGTCGCCGTTTTGGAGTTGGACGATCTGGACAACATTGCTACACCTGAAAGCATTTTAATGAGTGCTGTATGTGGCGAAGATGCACAAGATCGATCCGATCGCACAATCCTATTGCCATGGGTGAAATTTTTATGGGAATCTTATTGCCAGTGCTTAGAATTGTTGCGTGTGAATACGCACTGTGAAGCCCTGTACCACGATATCGCCCGCATGGCATTTCAGTTCTGTTTGAAGTACAATCGCAAGAGTGAGTTTAGACGTTTGTGCGATAAGTTGCGAAAGCATTTAGAAGATATTTGTAAAAGTACTACCCAAACTACTGGTGTCTCAATAACAAAACTTGAAACACAACAGTTGTGTTTGGATACAAGGCTTTATCAATTAGATTCGGCTATACAGATGGAATTATGGCAGGAGGCGTATAAAGCCATTGAAGACATACACGGTTTGATGGCATTGTCAAAAAAAACACCAGTGCCAAAAACTATGGCAAATTATTACCAGAAATTAGCAATGGTTTTTTCGAAGGCTGGAAATCAGCTTTTCCATGCTGCAGCATTGTTGAAGCTGTTCCAATTGACACGCGAATTGAAAAAAAATTTAACAAAGGATGACATGCAACGTATGGCTTCTCATGTCCTTATAGCAACTGTTTCGATCCCACTGCCCTCGGCTCATCCGGAATTCGATCGTTTCATTGAGGCCGATAAGAGTCCACTAGAAAAAGCTCAAAAATTAGCTGTGCTTCTAGGTCTACAACAGCCTCCAACGAGGGCATCATTAATTAAGGAAGTTGTGAGTATAAGAAATATATATTTAGTTTTGAATCCACTATTATTTCCGATTATAAATTTATATTATAGGTTAGGCTGAATGTACCGCAGTTAGCTTCTGAAGAATTCAGAAACTTATATAACTGGTTAGAAGTGGATTTCAATCCTTTGACTTTATGCAAGCGTGTGCAAACTATTATCGATGTGATTGAAAGCGCTCCCCCAGAGAACAATTTGCTGGCGCCTTATATAAAATCATTGAAAGATGTTACAATTATGCGATTGATTAGAGAAATTTCTCAAGTTTATCAGAGTATTGAATTCAGCCGTTTGTTACAATTAGCATCGTTCTGCAATATTTTCGAACTCGAAAAGTTGTTGGTTGAGTCAGTGCGTCATAATGATATGCAAATTCGAATTGATCATCAAAAGAAATGTATTTACTTTGGAACTGATCTAACCGAGAGCCAGAGGGAAGATCACCCCGATGGACCAACGCTACAGTCAATGCCTTCTGAGCAAATTCGGTCTCAATTGGTTAACATGGCAACTGTTTTAAATCGTGCTGTATCGGTTGTGTATCCTAACCGTGAAAAAGATCAGCGCGCCAAACTGCGGGCTCAAATGGTATACCACTATCACGAGATCAAAGATCGTGAACATCAACGCATTTTGCAACGTCAAAAGATTATCGAAGATCGTAAAGAATTTATTGAAAAGCAGAATAATGCACGTGAAGAGGAAGAAGCACGTCGTTTGGAAGAAGAAAGTCGCAAGGCTAAATTAGCCGAGCTAAAGCGACTGGAGCAGGAGAACGAAGAGCGCGAGAGAAAGCGTCATCAAAATGAAATTGAAGCGATTAAGGTCAAGAGTCTAAAGGTAATGTGAATACAAATTAATAATTACAATTAATTTTAATCATATAATAAATACTGACTAACATATTGTTATAAATAGGATAAAATGCAACAAATATCGCAAACTGCGCACGGTAAAAAGATGCTTTCTAAATTGGATGAAGAAAGCATTAAGAAGTTGGATGCGGAACAAATCGCAGCTAAGGAATCTGAAGAATTGCAACGCGAACGCAAAGAATTGCAGTCGAAACTCAAGTCTCAAGAGAAAAAGATCGATTACTTTGAGCGAGCTAAGCGAACGGAGGAAATACCTCTTTTCGAAAAATATTTGGCCGAAAAACAAGTTAAAGACAAAGAGTTTTGGGAAGCACAAGAACAACAACGTATTGAGAACGCTATTACAGAACGTAAAGACGCTGTCGCACAACAGGAGCGTTTGAAACGCATGTATGAGGATCGTGATGTCTTCCTAGAGGCGTTGAAGAAGGAACGTGCATCATTGTATGTTGAAAAACTAAAGAAATTCGAAGTTGCTTTGGCCGAAGAACGTAAGCGTTTGTTAGCACATCGTTGCGAAATGCGTCGTCAAGAACGTCGTCGTCAATGGCTTCGTGAAAAGGAAGAGGAACGTATGCGCAGAGAAGAGGAAATTCGAAGAGTACAGGAGGAGGAAGAAAGAACTATTGCCGAAGCTTTACGCAAGGAGCGTGAAGCAGAAGAGGAGAAAAGACGTATTCAATATGAGAAACAACGTGCTAAGGAAGAGGAAGCTGAGCGCCGTATACAAGAAGAACGTGAACGGTTATCTCGTGAATTTGCTGCTGAGAATCGTGAAAAGGGCGGTGATAAGGATCGCGACCAATGGCGACGAGGTGATCGTGGCGAACGTAGCGAGAGAATAGAACGTAGTGATCGCATCGAACGTGGTGATCGTGTCGAACGTGGCGATCGCACCGAACGCAGCGAACGCGGAGAACGTATTAACGCTTCTAATACAGAATGGCGCCGTGAGCGCCCAGAACGCGTCGAACGAGGCGAACGGATCGAGCGTTCTGAACGTCCAGAGCGTGGAGATCGTTTTGAACGTAAAGAAGGTGAAAGTGGTGCATCCGACTCATGGCGTGTACGTCGTGAACCCGATCCAGCTGCTCCCCGTGCAGGTGGTCCCGGGGCTGGGCGCGATAATCGTGAAGCACGAGACGGTCGGGACTCCGGAGATAAGTGGCGCCGTGGTGGCACTGGTGCTGGTGCTGTTGGCGGCGCTCCCAGACGTGATGATCGGGAAAGTCGTGAAGGCGGTGGAAATTGGCGAGATGCGCCACGTAATGATCGTGAACGCGATAATCGAGAAATACGCGACAACCGCCGCCGGGATGAACGAGGTGATAGACGTGATCGGGACCGCGGAGCTGGCGGTGGTGGCAAAGATTCCGGAAGTTGGAGAATGGAACGTCCTTCTGGTCGCGATGACAAGGAAAGAAGTGCTCCCAAACGCGAACCTCAAGAAAAAGGTTAGAAATTGAAATTTTTTTTATTTCAATTATTTTTATTCATGTCCTTTGTAGAGAACAAAAGTGCAGATGATGGCGAATGGACTAATGTACGGCGCCGTTAAGTGTGGATGTACAAGTAACTATGAAGTAATAGGCCAGAATTAAAACAAATATTTCGATGCAAGCGAGCAAAAATTACATGTTGCGAAAATTGTTTGCTGAAATCCTAAATTACTATTACTATTTTAATAATTGCCGATTGATTGTACTTGGTGCAGTTGTCATTTATATACGAGTACACATATTCTTACATGCTTCGCTTAGTCTATTGTTCAATAATGGAAATTAACTCGTAGTATTTCAACTAATACATACATGCTATGAGTGTATAGAAAGGCACATTTGCAATTTCTTCAATTATCAATAAATATATATATATACATTAAAATAAAATGAAAATTTTCGACATTTTTTTAATTTAGCTTTCAATTGTAGGATAGATAATCCTTATAGGATGTCAAGTACTGCATAATACCAGTGTAATTTGAAAAAAAAAAAAACAATTTAAAAACATGATACATCTCTTAAAACCGACTTATTAAAAACATGTAAATTCCCTAAAACTCGAAAACAGTCTGTTAAACAAATGTTACCATATTGAGAAAATTCAGAACGAGCTGAAATATAAGAATTAAATGAGAACATCACTACATAATAACTTTTGCGTTTGATCCAGGATATCCTAACATTCTTGAGTGGATCTATATGTTGGAATAACTTTTGGGAATTTTAGAAGGCGTCTGGCAGAAAAACTTGTGGGTACATGGCGTCTTGAACGAAAGGAAAGGAAGGATTTCTTATTGCAATTGTAGTAACTTAAAAGTTGTTTCATTTATAACACTGCAATAACTATTCACTTTTGACATAGACAACAACTGATTTAAAATCGGGAACATTTTTAATAGTAGTAAATTGTTTATATGGAAATCGATGAGAAAAATATATTCTTACTTAATTGGTATTTGACTGTTAAAATTAAATATACTTTATGATATCTCATTTTGTTATCTTCTTTCTCTTCTTTCGTAAATACTAGTGGCAACACCTTATACTTGCTTCATTATTTACATATATTTTCACGGTTTGACAATTTTATTATCGATTGTGTTTAGTCGTGTAAAGTGCATATAAAAGGAATTTAATTCATAAAATTGTCCGGAAGCAGTAAAATATATTTAAACAAGCTTTTTTGTTTTTCTTGTGCATTTGGGTTAATTTTGAGATAAAGTTAAAATCTAAGTATTGAAGTTAAATTATTATACCAAAAAAGGTGGACTAAAAAGCGGCGATAATATAGAATGGTGAGAATATCCAAGCAAGGTATACCAGCGGAAAGGCAAAGCGACCAAAAACGCATATAAAAAAATAAAAAACTTAAAGGAAAGGGACCTTTCAGGCGTCGTCGTCGTTTTCTTGGTATACAGATTTGTATTGCAAGCGGTACAACAACTTTGAATACATTACTAAAATTTTGGATTAGAAATTTTTTTATTACATTGATACATATAATACACAAGTAAATTGAACTGTGTACAAGTTTTCCCACAAATTAAATTAAAAATTTCACTATGACCAACATGGAGAAGCAACATGAAATGGTAAAACGCAGTCTGGTGCAATTCATTAGTGCCCACATTCCAGGAGCAGATTTTAGTGTTGTGGACGAAATAGTTTTGCAGTATATTATTTCCATTTTGGAGGAAGCTTCACAAGATCCATGCTTCGATGTTGAGGACTTCGTCGAAATGATGGGCGCCTATTTTGCCGAGTTTTCCTCAATTGACCAGGGTATTATTTGCGAATGGATATATAAATTGGCAAATGAGTTGAACGAAATGGAAAAGAATCAAGGAAACCAAAGTTCCACAAATTTATCTTTGAAGTATGCTATATCTATATATAGTTAAGAAACACTTACATTAATAAAATGTATATATTAATTTTTAGTTCTTTGAGTCTCTCTGATATTATACCCGAATCAAAGTTACGTGCACGTAATGCTTCCATTTCTGAAAAGGATGAACACGCCATAAATGGCAGCGGTGCAGGTGGTGCCGGTCCCAAGCGTGCACAGCATTTATCAGAAACAAGTGATGGTGGTTCTACTGATAGCTCAACATGCGATTATTATTTAGACGAAGCCGAAGTTTTGCAAGAAATGTTTCCAGACACAGCCTATGTAGAGGTGGGTATGCGTATGTATAAACAAAACACATACTTATTATTATACAATTGCTTTTATTTGGCCTATTGTAGACAATTGAGATACAGAAGTAGTCATATAACTAGGCTCTCTATTCCTCTCTTGTTTGTTTAACTAAATATAAACAATTTAATGCATATTTAAAATTTTTGAATGTGCTTCTTCGGTATAAATTTTGCGGAATAAAAGTACCACTTTTCAAAGTCTAGATTTCATATATCTTTTAATTGAATATTGATACAATCTGTTGCTTCTGCGTAAAATTTTAAGTAAATTTTCCTGCATCACGTGAAATAGATCGTTTGTCGTACTTTATTCATAATGTTTGACACGAAGTTTGCAAAACCCAGAAAGAAAGGTCGGAGAATTTATAATGTATGTATATAATGAAATTTCGCACATGTCGTTTTCTTCCCAAAAAGCTGCTCATTTGTCGGATCCGCCGATATAAGACCACTACAGTATATACTTTTTTATTTGACAAGGTATCTTCACGAGTTTTGGCATGAATTCTTGTCTATCGAACGCAACTATATAACCTGATTGATCAAACTGCCGTTCCCACGTCAGCTGGGTCTACGTAAACGGAAGGGAGCCGGATTTTATCCGGCCAAGCACTGTCAACTCGGCAGAATTCTGCCGCTACAACAAGGATATTGCTGCCATAAAAACTGACCGATCAATCTCAAGTCCGTTAGATACCTTCACGAAATTTAACACACATTATTGTTCAAAGATATGCTATAATATCTGCTATCATTGAAACTGATCTAACAAAATCAAGACAAATATATTTTATTAACCCTTTTAGGTTGCCTAAGTTGTCACTTGTTTATTATTGTGTTCGTTTCTTGTTTGTTGCCACAAGTAATTACATTGCTGAATTCTATCTCACATCATAATCAAAAATAAATTAAAATCCTGAAAACACGTATACATGTATCTGATATATTACATTGAAATTCTCTTTATTTAGGTCAAACATTGCATTGCTATAGCTAAAGGGGATATTGACAGTGCAACTCAAATTCTATTACATCGCCAAGAGACAGGACAAAGCTTGACCGACAAGTCGATTTCAATTACTGGACGTAAAAATATTGTTGTAGATGATGCCGAACTAAAAAATCGTATTATTGAGAGGTTCATTGACCGACACTTACATTTTTTGAGGTAACATTTATAGCTAATACTCCATTTTTTGTACCTACCTGCAGATACTCATACGTTGATAAAAATGCCACTCAGCGTGAATACAAGCCAATGGTACCGAAATTCGAACCAAAGAAATTGGTTCGCTATAGAGATAACAAGATTGTTTCATTGAAAGGCGAACGCTATACTGAAGTTAAGCGCGACGAGGAAGCTGAGTTAAAAAAACCCAAAAAGCAACTTCAACCGTAACTAAAGTTTTTGAAATCCTGCTATAAGTATTTTATAAAAAAGTTAAAACAGCTGAAACAACAACAAAAGCAACCACATCGCAAATATAACAAGCAACCGCTTCAACATTTCAATCACCATTTGATATTAAAAAATTTGAAACAAATTATCACTACTATATCAATGATAATTGCACATACAAGTGAACCCATACTACCAATAACACTAAAAAAACTACATACTCTAAAAAGAACTAAACTATTGGTTGAAATACTTGAAATCTCAACGACGGTTTACGAAAACCAACAAGTTACAAATATTGGCGTTAAAGCAACAATTCCATTATTAAGGTCATTATTCTCCAAAAATACAATGCTCCCTAAGCGATTTGCAATGTGCAAAGCGCTCGAATACCAACATAAAACAAATTCCAATTTCGTATTCTCAAACATTTATAACACGACAGCGAAGTGCATTTCTAATTTAGACTCTAGATGTGAAACTTTTGTGATTTCCAATACTATTACTAGGATAATTGAATATTTATTATACACTAAATCTCACGGCCATACGAATTTTGTGTATCGCTGCATCTATTTATCCAATATTTTACAGCGTAAAAGTCAAAATAGTTTTATTATATTTATTTGTAATATTACGTTTATTTTTTATTTAATTTTTATTTTATTTATTGAATTAGCGTGGAACGTTTTTCAAATATCCTATAATTATTTAGTAATATTTATCGTTTTTGGCAAGCTACAACAAGAACATAAATTTAGTGTTAATTTAAAATTTTTATGAGTTAATATTTTTTTACGAGAAATAAGTTGATTTTACAACTGTCGATATTTGCTACTACTATTTAATAGGAAATTATGACAATGTTGGTACGCTGATGGCTTTGCATTGAGCTAGCATTGTGATAAATGCATAAGTGAAAAAGAGCAAACCATCCGCAACAAAACGATATGTATACATATGTAAAGCTTGAGTCTGCTACACGAAATTAGAATTTATTTCATACGCCTGCGGTGCCTAAGTTCAATTAAATTGCGGTTTTTAAGTGCAATAGCGTGCTATTAGTGTATATAAGTTACAAAATATATGATTTAATTTAAAATGTGTTAAAAAAAAAGTTATTTATATCGTATATTTACATAAAAAGAAAACAAACAAAAATTTTGAAATAATAGTTTTTGTTCACGAATTTCGGTTAAACTTCTCGCTAGCTATTGTCTGAAGCCAACAATTAATTTCTTTTGCACTAATCGGTTAAAGCGGCACTTACATACATATGTAGATAGAAAATACGATCGATACACATGTCTTTAAGACGCACGAGCTCAAATAGACTTATGAATTTACCTATAGCTATGTTTATAATGCAAATATAGTAATTTTTCAAGATGATGTTTTATACTGTATTTTAATGTGTAATTGAATTGAATGATCGAAGTGTTAACAAAATATGGATGAAAGAGCGAAGTGCGAAAAGAGATGAAATACGAACGATTTAAAAAAGACATGCCATACATATACAATACATTAATTAACATTCGTAAATCTACGCTTAAACTCAGTTTTTTTTATATTTATTTCAATTTATTTTATTGTTAATATTATTTATTTTTTTGTTCCATGTTATTGCAACAAAATTTTAAGCTTAACATATAGAAGTTATTACTGTTGGAAAGGCACATGCTAAATAACTCTTTTTTTGTGTGCTGGTGCATATAAAAAGCGTTATTTTTTAAGCTAACACAGTTGACATATTCAGATAGCGTTTAAAATTAATGTCACTTAGAGCCTTTCTGAAAAATAACCAATATATGTAAGGTGAACTGAATTGATTGATTTGAACTTATTTTACTATATACAATTAAGAAAAAAAAAAACCTTAATACCGAAAGCTAAAACTCAGTTATTAAAGCAAAAGTTGCCAAAAAGTTGAAATGAAAAGAAAATAAATGGAGAAATCAATAAATCCTAATAATACTAGTCTCACATCTAGATGTAAATAAATGCGATTTGCCATTTTTGCTGGATGAATAAATGTATGAATACGCGAAATTGGGAGCACATTGATTTTAAGACACAGCATTTGCTACCATAATACACCAAACACTCACATAAACACACATAATACAGCAATACACAAGAATCTTGCATAAACAATGTGTTGTGCAGTGCAAACGCCAATGCATTTTGCAAGCGTTATACGAAAATTTAAACTCACTAAAATTAATATGTTGTAACTTAGTGTGCTTCAATGTAATTCCTAGTAAGCTACATAAAATGCGAACTTACCTACATACATACAATACATACATATTACATGTTTAACTAAAATTCAAGTCAAGAAAAGTAGTGAAATGATCATAAAAAGTCCTAACTTACGCACATAAAAGTGTATTAAAAAGAAAAACGAAAAAAGCGTTTAAACTTGCTGCTGCTAAATATATTACACAGTTGCACAAGTTATGTATCCCTTTCTTTGATTACTACTTACCTTTTGATTGTTAAAAATTAAATTTTTAATTTCGATTTATGTTTTATATAAATCAAAAATTTTGAAAATATATATTTCATACTAAGTTATATTGCCGTAAATATTTACAGTATATTTTAGATTAGTTTCATTATTCATTAAAATATAATCTAATTTTTTTGAGTTGTTATAATGGTGTTAGGTGTGGTCGGTGACATAAAAAAATGACAATTTGAAATATTTTTTTTTTGCTAGAAAATTATTGTATTTTATAAAAGTAAAAACATACCAGCGTTAAATACGGCTTCGACTTGACTTGACAGAAATTTGGAAATAAAATTAATAATTTTTAAAGCAATGGCTTTTTGTGTTGATCCAGTTCCAAGACAAACAGAGATTCAACTAAAATCAACCGGACAAAAAAAATTATGTTTATTAATAAACAATCTAGCGACTGATCGATAAATTCTTTATAAAAAAATTGAATCTAAAAAAAAACCCTTCGATCAGGCATTAGTTCTTCATATTTTCAAAAAGCTGTATAAATATATTCCTTTGCAATCTACCAAGCGGCTTTCGAGCTACAGTGGTCACCAGTTCAAAAAACATAGTTTTGGGAGAATCGCATTTAAAGTTTTACGCGAACGTTCCAGTGCGCCCGAGAATCCTTTGCATATTATCGAATAACTCGAAAAATATTTGTCGAATTCACTATAATTTTAAATAAATTAGATATTATAAAATACTTTAAGACAATTAAAAAAATATCGATTTTTTGAAATATCTGACTACCCCAAACAACTTATAGACACGAAATACTTTGAATTGTATGCAATTTACTAAACTGTTCTTGTATTTTAGCTGCAAACTGAATAGTAAACCGCTTTTTTTATGTTTTCTTGCTTACAAAATTAAATTGCCAGATGGCAAATACAATTAAAGAAATTTGATGGCAATATTTAATAAGTGTATTAATATTAATATACATATATATGTTTTTCACATTTTGCATCACATATTTGTATTTATAAATTATTATATTTATAAATTATTATTATACATTTAAAGAAAAAATAGCAGCTATCTTCATTTAAATTGCCGCAAACATCGCAATTAGTTCGTTATATAATTCGCTAACGTATTATTTATTCCATTTAAATAATAATTTGCATTTTTACTACTTTAGATATTAAACAATTTAGTAGTGTCTATAATTTATTTTAATTATCTTATTATTTTAATATTTTTTCTTTTAAATCGAAACAAAGTCGCAGATGACTTGAAGCCTTAATTTTACATATATCTTTATTAAAATGCAAATGAAAAATAGCTCTAGATATACATACTGATATTCGAATTACAAATATATAAATATATATATAATATAGGTATGTTTTATCCGTGCACAATTGTCATCTATTTATATGAATTATTATTATCCTTATAATGCATAGCTCTTGCCCAAATTCACCAAATTGAATTGTGTTGACACTTTCTTTTATTTTTGTTTATGTTTTTGTTTAATAAGTTTCTTTATATTTATTGTGATATTAGTATAATTTCATCACAATTGAAAATTAATACGCTATAACCTTAAACAGATATTAAAAGAAGCATATGTATGTATATATATTATATGTATACATACCATAGATATTATCCACTCGCTGAAGAGGCGGCAAAAAGTTTGAAAAAGTTCATTAAGAAAATAAATTCACTATCTACAATAAAATGAATATAAAATATATAAAAATTAAAAACTCCAAAAGTTTTTTCAAAATCATAAAAAATAAAATACATTGGTTTGCAAATGGTAGTAACAAAGTTTGAATGTGATCATTTGTATAGCATTTCAAATACCATGTATGTAGGTATAGTATTTTATTTATTATGATTTTGGAAAAAAATACATCTTTTGTTTTTATTTTTTCGAGTGAGAAATGGTAAGTAAGTGACGAAAGAAACAATTATATATATAATTACAATAATTTTTAATTATTATTTATTTATATGTGTTATCTATATTTTTCAAAACATTTATTTCAGTGATAATCTTTATATGGACATAAATATTTACAATTATATATTAGTTATTCGTTTTACAAGACGTTGTTGTTGTTGTAGTCGCAGCAGAAAACATTCTTGTAGTAATTTGGAGGAATGGTTCCTTGGCCGGATAAAAATGCGGGTCCGTTCCGGTTACTTAGAACCGGCTGTCGAGGGAACGGCGTAGCCTTCATTCGTTAGCCAGGTAGCAGAAACAATTTTAAATGAAAAAGTGTTTCGATAACGTAAAAACACCTCTAACAAAATCAAGTCCACGTTAAGTCCTTTGTCCACATCGTCCGGGACTCTTAAAACAATATTTTTAAAAAATATACGAGGCAAAGTAAAATATTTATATATAAATCGCTTACGCGAAAGCGTATTTAGTTCATCAAAAACTTTTCACTTTTTCTTTATTACAATGCCAAAATAACACTTAAGCTAAAGTAATCCTTACCGGCTTTTTAATGTAGTATAGTTTGTAATCAAAAATAATCTAACCTGACAAAAATTATGCATATTAATTCACAGACAATTGTATCATTCATATTAATTCACAGACAATTGTATCATTCATCATTTTCGGTATCACCCACTAGAGCACTGGGCCTCACAGTCGTATCATTGTCGTTTTATATACATGCATCGATCAAAAGATAGTGAAGCTTTCCGGTAATTAAATTTTATATCGGAAATATAATTGATTGCAGTTATGAATAGCATTGTTGTTAGCTGTACATACATACTTACATAGATATATGTATGTACAAATAAACGTTTGATTTATATAAACAAGTACATACATACATACTTGTATATATATATATATTCTAAAAACCACTTTTTTATTTTTTTCGAAGATCAAACTTTGGTGTGATATAAAAATAATTATGTTAGTAGATTATGTCTATATTTTTAGTTTTTTAGTAACTTATATTCTATAACTAATAATGGCTTTTGAAATAAGCTGAACTTTGAACTACGAAGACAATTATTTCGGTTTTTGAAACACTGAGAAATTACTTTTTTACTTATAAGTCAATAAAATTAGTTTGATCCAATACCCAGAACAAAAGTCGTTTTTGCCGCATAACGCATTTTCCAGGTTGCTTTAGCAGTGTTTCCCAGATACCAAAATTTCACTGGATGTACTTCCGCGTCTGTTTCGACGAAGAATCGACTGTTGTGGCGATTAAAATCGCTTCTGTATTTTAATTCGGTCTCAAAAGTAAAGTTATGCAATTCCTAGAGCTTTTAGCATAAATATAGAACTTTCCGAAGCTAAGAAAGCTTTACAAAAAAAAAAAACTTTAAAATAAAAAGAAAAATGGAACCCATCTAAATTAAGAATATGAATATTTAGGTCAAATGCAGATTTTTCCATAACAATTATTTAAGATTACTTAGAGTCAAGTTTTTGATATATAAGTATACGATCGAAAACAATTTAACGCAAACTAGAATATAAAAATATAAAAAAAAATTATACAAAAAGGACTGTATCTTGATTTTGATCGGTCAGTTTGAATGGCAGATATGGACCGATCTGAACAATATGTTTGGAGATCTCCCTATATATTCAAAGCCAATATCCATTTTGTGAAGATATTTGTTAAATAAATAAATTTTCCACACAAAAACGTGTCAGTTTGTATGACAACTATATGCTATGGTGGTCCAGTGTCGGTGGTTCTGACAAATCAACAGCTCTTTGAAGCGAAAAGGACGTGGTAAAATTTCAGATCAATACCTTAATAACTAAGGGACTAGTTTGCGTATATACAGACAGACGGACTTGGCTAAACCGACTGAGGTCGTCACTTTGATCGTTTATATTTGTACTTATATATATATATATATATACGATATTTCCTTCTGGGTGCTACAAACTTCATGGCAAACTTAATATATCCTGTTCAAGGTATAAAAAATAAAATAGTTAACGCTATATAAAATACATATACCTAATTGTATGTATACCATAAAATACTATCTAGAATAGAGAACAGTTAGTAAATGACATTGTTTTGAGTATTGGATGAGTTGTGTGCAAAATAAATATTTTCTTGCGCTAAATTGTATTTTTGTTTTTGTATGCAAATTGTTAAATATTATACCATATTCTCTATATCATCACGCCTAACTAAATTGTTCTACTTTGCCAGTCCAATAAGATAATATAAGTAACATATTTCTAGTTAGACAACTACTAAAGATTGCAACTCTGTATTTAGTTAGTGCTAAGTAAGCATGATAACATCAGATAGCCACATTTTAGTAGCCTCTGCACTTCAACTGGCTGTGATGATTGTATTGAGCGATTATACATGCTGGTACATAATTATTGTATAGTGGGGCAAAGCGTTCGAGAGCTCCAATCGAACGAGCAGACGTCTTTGTATTGCCGACGAGACAAGTTCTAAAATTAACATCGTCGGAAACAGAATTTGTGTAACGAAAATCAAAAGAAAAATTACTTTTGTTGTTTCTGTACGTTGAATAATTTAAAGCGGTAAGCAAGGTGGACCAGACCAGTATATAAATTATTACGAATATATGTACGAATGCACATTTGTATAGCGTATATAATATACATGTGTATGTGTTTGTATTTGCATACACGTGTACTAAAGAGAGTTGATCGCCAAACCAGAATATTATCTAGTATATTTGAATACATATGCATATGTATAAACATGTATGTATGTATATGAATACATAAAGTATTGTGTTAAAGCGTGTAGTGAATTTTTTAGAAATAAAAACAAAAATATGAAATAAACGGAGCCAAAAGAAAGAAATAAAATAAAAACAATGCAAAACAAGTGAGCAAATGAATAAACAAACCAATAACAATCGACCTGCTCTGGCGAGGCCACGGACCAGGCGTCGTCTCACCGCTGGCCACAACTCAAATATTAACATCAACAAACTGAGTGCACTATATACATACATATGTAGATATATCCTTTTGTACACATTTATATGCCCATATGTATGTGTCCATTTGTACTTACATCATATATGTATGTTTATTTACAAAGTTTTTACACACCTATGCCACCTCTGTAGAGTTGTGCGTGTATGAAGGAAATTATTTTTGTTTTACTATTTACAATTTCTTAATGAGTTAAAAAGTTATAGCGGTAAAAAGTGTGAAAAACAAAGTTTAGGGCGCGAAATCACTTAGAGCAAGCTAAAAAAAAGTGATAAGAGTAGCGAGATATGTATATAGTAAAACGATCAGTTATGTGATAGTTATTTTTTCCCTCGATTTTTAAAACTAACGAAAGTTGATTTATTTTTTTATTTTTAATTATTATTATTCATATTTTTATTAGCAAATGAGCTTTGTGCTTCGCCGTTTATTTGAAAGCGACCGCCTTCTTCTTATTTTCCTTTTTTCACACCAAAAAAATTATTACAACGTAAATGTCATAATTTTTTATTTCTTAGCCGTTATTTTTAGAACTGAGCATAATTTTGCGCGACATAGATATTTTAGTTGCAATTCGTTGTAAATGTTAAGGTGATTTTGCTTAGAATCAAAATTAGCAGAACACAAAAGCGCAGTTTTGATAGCAAATTTTCCAAAGAAAGATAACTCGTGACAGTTAAGCATTATAATTGGCTTTGCTAACTTCGTGTTTTGACATATGCAAAGCAAATACGCACACTTCCACATATGTATTCGACTACAAACACACAAATTAACATACATATGTATGTGTGTCAGCAAGTAGCGTGATCCCTGTAATCGCCTAAAATTACACTTATCTTGCAGCTCTGTCATTACTTTGTAATTAAATGACAGAAATTTCCACAGCATTACCTTGGCTGCAAGTCATGTGATTAAAGCAGATATAAAAATATAGACGTATGTATGTACAAATGTGCCGCTGATAAGGGATAATTAGCTAATTTGCCGAAAAATTATGAGCACGTGATTTAAATTCGCCAACGCATGCTTGTAGTTGTAAGTGAGGCAAATGTGCCGTCCGAAACTAGTAAAAGTAAAGTTTGCGATATATTAAATATATGTACGTATGTATACATATGTACATACATAAGTAAAGAAGTTTATAGAAATGTTTCCAGTTTATATTGCCTCCAATGCAGTCACTTATGACAGCGCTACAGTCACATGAGGTCGCAGACTGTCGTCGCTTAACTGACTAATGCACACACACACACATGCGAATTATAAAAGTATACATACATAATTTTAAGTAAACAATATAGTATATAATGCTGCCATCCCTAACTCCATTCCAGCAGGAGGCCTCTCATATCAATCGAATCATTGAGTCTCGTATTTATCATATTCATAGCCAACTGACATTTCACGACAAGCAGAAGCTCGTTCGTTACCTTTAATACGTGCTCTTATAAATATATATGCGAGTATGTATGTATATACTTCTAATATAATATTATATCAAAATAATACATATGTATGTTGTTTGTGTTGTGTTGTGTGCTGGGATTGACGTTGGAAGCATTCTTGAGTTTTTGAGCATTCTACTAGCTGTTAGCTTTCTGTTGTTAGCGCTTGGCTTTTCAACAGCTGCCTAATGCAAGTTCTCGGTAGGTGTTGGTAATCTGGCAAATAAATACATAACTATGTATATATTTTGCAAATTTTTTCGCTCAAAAATACATATGTATATACATACATACATACAT